TTCCTAACCCTAACTGGGTATTTACTAAGTTTTTGTTTTGATTGTTGCCTTCTCTGCCTTACCTCGTATACGTCTTATGTAATTCTTTTCTCTTATCTTAAAATTCTTATCTGCGCGTATTATCTAAGCCCGTGCCCTATTATCTAAGCGCCTATTATCTGAGGGCGTGCATAGCCAATACATATAATGCGAATCTTATATAATATGCTTTTAGTTGATGACATATCGAGCACACCCGATGTTGACAAACTATAATTTACCGACGTTTCGAATTTCCACACAGAAAACATATTCAGGTATGATATATTAAAGACACAGACGTAAGATTTCTTTTACTGGGTCCCAGGAGACCACAGACCGGTCCTGTGAGAGCGCTCGAAAAGTATGTGTAGGCAACAAATTTTGTTCGCCTATTTTACATCAAGTTGTGTAGAGAGACTGAAACCTATGAGCAGAGGATATATACACTTTTTTAACACAGACAGTCGCCGAACTCGTAATAAAACTAAAATAACGAGAATTGGAATAAAATTATGGACTGTTACCTACGGGAGTACCAAAGAAAGACCCTTAGTTATCGTTTGCGACGACTATATGAATTTTAAATAAAACGTACCATAATTTGTTTAATTCTTTGACTGTGAAGCATTTATGCTTTTACTTACATTTGTCAGCGTTTCAATATTAAAACGTAGCAAACGAAACTAGTTATTTATAGCAGGAACCACAAGTTTCAGAACCACTGCGTATCTAGAACGTCGACGAATTACACCTACTCTCAAATGCTGACATCATCATTCTTTCTCGTGACGTCATAATTCTGACAATCGATGTCATCAATTGTAACGTTGTTACGTAACACAGTACTCATACTATCGTGACAATACGGCAAATACAAAGCGCTTTGTAATGTCGTTTTATGTCTCGATGGCAGAACCTGCGTGCCTTCCTGCAATAAGATAAGAAACTTTTCTTTACTCAAAGCTTTTAATTGACGTAAGACATTAAAAACGTCAGCAAATGAAATCGTTTTGCTAACAACTATCGTACTCTATATATATATCTTTAACAGGCGGTAGCAATCATAGCTTGTAAGTAATAGCAATTTACCGTATTTCACGGACTATAAGGCTAACTTCAAATTTTCCCCACAAAAATCGATCTTACGTCTTATAACCCGGTGCGCCTAATGCAGGGGTCTCCAACTCAAAAAATGTCTCGGGCTACGTTTTAAAATTTATTGACCACGCGGGCCGCGAACCAAGAAATTAGATACAGTATCTGAATGTATTGGGATAACAGATTCAATGTTTTGCCTTATTTTGCGTTGGTTTGCTAGTCTTAAGACAGCATGCAAACTGACTTGCTAACTTTCATATTTGAAAAATTTGAAAAAAATTTGAAAAAAAATGGCTCTCAAATTTAAGAACTGCCAAACATCACAGGTATGCAACGTGAATGTGCAATTAGCTTTGCAAACCTTTCTCCGGGAACAATGAACTGACCGAAACTCGTTTATTTCGTCACAATGAACATGCGAAATGAAATTATTGTATTTATAACTGAATTGTAACAATAGAATAAAACATGAGCGTGGTAAAGTGGAATAACAAGGGAAATGTTTGCTTCACTTTTCTACAGTTTGTCGAACCGGATTAAAAGAAACGATAAAACTTACTAATAGTTGACATCGTACTATTTTAGTTTTTGTGGGAAAATTCCAACCATGACGCGGGCCACAAAAAAATGCCTAGCGGGCCGCATGTGGGCCGCGAGCCGCGTGTTGGATACCCCTGGCCTAACGAATGGGTCAGAAAGTGCTTTATGCATTGCTGCCTACACTCAAACTCAGTACCAGTATTGCTTTGAAAACCGTTGGGTCTTATAGCCAGATGTGCCTTATGTGTAAATAAAAACCCAGTCTAAGCAATTTATTGACAGTGTGCCTAAAGTGCGTTGAATAGGGAAACCGTAAAATTTTGTTATACTTTTCGAAATTTGTTACAGTGTTGTCAACAAAGCGAAAGTAAATCACGGCATTTATGTGTCGCATTCCGATGTCGTTCGGATTAATTGTAAATGCTCGATTTGATGGATGACAATCGGACAGATGTCAGGCTGTTAAAGTTTTTTAATAGTATTGAGTTAGGTTTTGGAATTCTCCTGGTATTGCCCCACCGATTATATTCCGACCTGTTTTATTCGATTCTGTTAATGAAGTTACACAACCTATGGGTTGCGACCAGGACTGTGCATTTAGAATCGAATATTCGAATCGAATTGTAATTTATTCGAATATGCTCAGACGGAAATTCCGAATCGCCGCAATATTTTTTTTCCATCCGCAGAAATTCCAAATTGAAATGAGCGGAATATAAAATAATAACATATATTTGCAAAATGTAATGCAATGTCGGGCACATTTGAGCACATTTGAGCACATTTGAAAAAAAAGCACATTTGAGAAAATTTCACATTAATAAAAACAAATATTGCGATGGCCAAAAATTAAAATGAGTGGATAAAACGGGGCTCCCGAAGTATGCAAACCAAGATGGCGGACATCGGAATGTAATAGGTGTACTAGATTAGGGTTAGGCCATAATTTTAGGTGATAAAACTTTGTCCAGAAGAAGCCTATTGTGATTGTTCTTGTTACAAAATATCAAAATGCTTTCTCGGCTAACTGATCTCATATTAATCCTTCTGCAGTTAATCAACGCCTCAAACAAAATGAATTTACATTAAGATGACAAACTCGTCTGTAACTTGGCACCAGGTTCAGAGCCCTGCTGTGCATCACCTGGAAAAGATCGCTCCGACCCATGTTTTTGTTGCGCTTCTTGTGACCAACTGCAGGGTCGCAACAAATTTCTATATTCCTATTCCTAAAAACACATGTGCCGATCTTTGGGTTTCTGAATCTTGCGAGATTTGACGGACGCTTTGGCGATGGATCGAAAACGTAAAAGCGAAAAGTTTGATTACCCGGCGCCAAGACGTCGTCGGGCCATTAATACCGCAAACAGCAATATGTCGGCGAAAGAGAAATTGCGTGATAAACTACCACAACGTCGTTATTCCGGGTTTGGTAAAGCGATTGAGACGGCAGAGAAACAACACAATTTCTCGCAGACCGACAAAAAAACTTCCGGTGCCGGTCCGCGGATCAGCGGTTGAGAACCACTGCTCAAAAATACAGTTTAAAAATTGTTAGTCAATATATTACAACTTTAATTGGTGTCTGATTACTGGGGGTTCGTGTTGAAGAATTCATGGCTCGGGGGGTACTTAATAAAAAAGGTTTGAGAACCCCTATGACATAGACCAGGGCGGTCCAAGGTTGTCGGCGCCGCGGGCCACAAAATTATTTTTGCATTGTTCGCGGGCCACAATAGTGCCAAGAACAGTTAAACAGTGCAATACAAGCATACACTTCTATTGTGTAAACACGTTATTATCAGGCATTGCCAACCTAGGCTAATGGAATCCGCATTTGATTTTTAGTTTTCTATGATGCCTATATTGTTATCATATATTCCAGACCAAACGATAAAAAGCCAGATAACAATTTAAACTGCCAGATAAACATTTAACTTCGCTAGTTGCCTCAGCTAGTCATAATACTAGTTAATTCATCGACAGTAGTGATGTAACAACATCTCAAAAAAATTTTCTGATTAATTTTATGAGAAGCAACCCAAAATACAATTTTTGATTACTCTCCGAAGACGACGCGGGCCATAAATAATGGAGCGGCGGGCCACATGTGACCCGCGGGCCTAGGTTTGGACCACCCTGACATAGACAGTCTCCGAACTTGTAGTAGAACTGAAACTATTTGGAATAAAATTGTGGCCTAACCCTAACCTGGTACACACACTACAGGAGTACCGAAGTGAGCACAGCGGTTCTCAAACTATCGGTTATGGAGCCCGTGAAGAGACTGACTATTGTTTACGGAGCCCCGCAATAATCTGTGGAAAAAGAAACAAAAAACAAACACATTCTTACACACCAAACAATGTTCCTGAGTGAATTAAAATTATTTTAGGACTCGGATGTATTTGCTGCTTTGTATTTAATAAATAGTCTTGACAAACATGTTAATAAAGTGTCAAAATGTGTCAATAAGGCGGTAATTGAAAGGTACCCCCGTAGTAGCAGGATAGCGAATACCGGAAAGTAGTATGTGTACCAGATTAGGGTCAGGCCATAATTTCAGGTACAAATACTATGGGAGTCACTTGGCTAGTTCCCAAACTTGTAATAGAATTAAAATAAAGAAAACTGGAATCAAATTATGGCCTAACCCTAACCTGGTATACATAATACGTTCGGGTGTCCACCATCTTGGTTCACATACTACAGAAGTACCAATTAAATATGGCGTATGTCACTCGTCTGAAATCCTACAGATTATATCATTGTTTCGCCCACTTTTGTAATTGTTCGTGAACAAACCACAGAAGTAATTTCAAATCCGGGGATCGGATCTATCGCCGACGCTCAAAAAAAAAAGTAATTATCCAGTTAGGGTTTGGGTTAGAAATACTTAGTGCTCTGGAAATTCAAATTTTCAAATCATTCTCAAGCTTTTCATTAGTGGCCGAGTACAAAAATACCGGGGATCTAAAATCTTGACTCGAACCTGTGGAAGAGTCCGGGTTACCACAAACTCTACACATACATCACAACTTTCTTGAATGCAATTTATATTTAAAATATTGTTGAGCGATGATGTCACATTCAATTAATACTACATAATGAGAATATACGTCATTCACAGTGATGACGTCATGAGGATGAAACAACACAGTGGAACATTTTAAAAAATACAGTGATTATGACGTTGAAAATGAAAAAAAAATACAACAATAGTCTTTACTTAAGATAAACTGCCCAAACGTAGATCACGAGAACTCATTCAGAAGTAAAAAGGACTCATCTCTGGGCAAAGTTACCGGTGAGTAAATGGGGGGCCGACTCTGGGTTACGGGTGAGTAAAGGGGGAGTCGACTCTGGGTTACGGGTGAGTAAATGGGGGCTCGTCACTGAGCAAAGTCACGGGTGAGCGCACCAATGTATTATGCAGAGATACTAATCCTATACGTGAATCTAAACCAGTGGTTCACAACCGACGGAGCGCGGCCCACAAGAGGGCGTAGACAATTTTTTGAGGGCGCGTGAAGGTTATTGAAAATAAAAATATTTGTTAGATTTACCTTGCCCGCCTTATTGTGGATATTTAATTTATCAAACTTCTCATTCATTCAATTATTTACGCTCCATCTAAGTATTTTTAACGTGTTTTTGAAATAAAGATACTTTCGCCTTATTATCTATTATTTGTAGCTTATTGTTAACTAGTTAGATGGGGCGCGAGACTTAACAAATTCCCAAAAAAGACGCGGCTTAAAAAGTTTGTGAACCACTGATCTAAACTAATCGTCACGTTTGAAAAACGTTGCTTTATGTGGTGAATAGTTATTGAGAAAATCCCTGGGGAAAGATGGATATAGAACTTAGTCTGAATGAAGAATACCCCCTGAATGTACAGGGGTGTCCATAAATATTTTTTGAATTGCAAACGGAATTTATCAATACCATGGTTAGGATATATTAAGAACTGACTTCATGATAAAATTCAAATTGTAAAGAGACTTTATGGACACTCTGCAGAACTCAATCTCAAGGTTATTGTTTAAATATCTTATGTGGATTGTGATAGATATTTTAACCAAACCAAAAATTGAACTTGAATTGATAGTGTTGGTTCTAAATCTATTGAGTAACAAGGCGGAAAAGTGATTTTCCGTCAAAGGTACTAACCCGACATGGTTTCACCCGGAACGTCAGATAGAATTTTTAATCAAAAAATTAGAAAACGCCGTAAAGTCAAAGGTTTCAAGGTTGAAGCGAAGTTTTGCGTTGAAGGAATCTTATCAAATAATAGCTGAATTTCATAGTTCATACGTAACAATGAGTTCAAATATGATACGCACATCGCAAGATTAACAGAAGGTTTGTCATACCTCAAAATTATAGTAACATTAAGTGATATTGTTAACAGTATTTGAGAAATGAAAAATAATAATACTGCCGGTGTTCAGTGTTTCATGTGTTTTCAGTAATTCTTCCATTTCATCCGTCGATTGCCCACGGTGCTACTACTCGGTACGGGAATGGCTAAAAAAAAGGAATTCACATTTACTTCTTAGTTGATATTTATACATTGTTTAATCATGTTTTCGCTCCGAGAAAAGGCCATGTACAACCAACAGTTGATATCTAATTCACATTGTTCGTCCGTGCCTTGTAAGCATCCAATGATATTTTCTTCCCGAAGGATTGGGGGGGGGGGGGGGGGGGGGGGGCGTGCAACTACGAGAAAGCTTACATAAAGTTGCGGCCCGCGGTTCCACGCAGTTATTTATATCTGGCCTCTTTCATTGAAGGTTTCACGCCCCTGGCCATCACGCCCACAAAGTGTCTAAGTGAAGATCGAGTCTCAAGGTCTACCAAAATTCCCGGATAAGATGGCTGCTCACAGGTTCGAATCCGAATAAGATAATTGGGTTCAAAGGGATTTATTGTCTCATCGCGCTTAAAAATACAAGCTTCCCTTTGCGAGATAGTCAGATTCGGCTCGGTGGTTGGCAGATTGTGATAATCGTGCCATCGCACGTTTACTTCCCCCACCTGTATTTGAAGGTTCGAATCCCGTGAAGTATATTCAAGTGCAGATGATTGCTGGATGACTGTCGATTATCTACTCCTATATCCGCCGTGGACTAGTAACCAAACGAGAAGCCGTTGTTCGCCATATAAGTAAGTCATAAGTAAACCCCACAAATAACTCCATGCCCCACATAACCCACAGACTGAAAGTGGAGCTGATAATAGCCACTGTCATTAAAAGCGACGCGAATCTGGCAATTGATCTACCGCGCGCATCATCATTTGTTTGCTTCCAATTATTTTTTTTACAGGAAGCCATCAAGTAACATGGTAAGTTTTTCCACATCAACTTGAACTAATCCAAATCTTGTCTAAATTCGAGTGGCGTGTGTTTTCAAGAGTCTTGAGGGCCTAAAAAGTGTTTTAAGCCACGAAAAACTGCTTTTTTAGATTTCGAAAGGGGACTCCGACCTTCAAAGCCCTCATGGCTACGCACCTGGTAGGCCCTATATCAATCTTTAGAATGTCCCATTTGCTCTTTTAATTTCGGTGGTAGTTCGTAGTTTTACTCTAAGATGAGAGAGTATGGCCTCGAGCGAAATCTCACAGAAATATTATTATGTCGTAACAATATAAATCTAACCATTTTTAACCTTGTAATCTGACTTTGCTGAACTGCCTGAACAACTTTTAGACGATTCTAAACTTGATGACGACCCTCCTGACGCTGATGACGAAATACCTGATGCTGACGACGTCACCGGGGATGACGTAATTGAATATTTCTTATTGACCTTGAGTGGACATTTATCGCACAACGTCTGATCATTGCAAGTTTTCGTTTCGCTTTCAAGCTTTGCGACATCAGTGACGTAAAAACCATTTTCCTTCCTTACGTCATCGTTCTTTTTCGTGAAGGTATAATTCGGGCGATTGACGTCATCAATTGTAACATGGTTACGTAACACAGTACTCATACTATCGTGACAATACGGCAAATACAAAGCGCTTTGTAATGTCGTCTTATGTCTCGATGGGAGAACCTGCGTGCCTTCCTGCAATAAGATAAGATACTTTCCTTTACTCAAATCGTTAAATTGACATTTGTGTCAAACATAAATAACACATAAATATAAAGACAAACACCACAGAGCAATCCTCTATACCTAGTGGTAAAAACGAGCAAGACTATGCAGAAGAATTTTATTGACTCAGTCCAAAAATGACTCCTAACCATGCGCAAAACATTGTGGCTCCGACTCCTGACTTGGCTGATTTCTAAAATATGACGCTAATCGACAGCAAGAAGACATTGAGCTAGTATTCTTGAAAGAGCCGAAATCTTTTCGGGCCTTCAATTGCCTGCCCTGGTTGCATTACACCTATCTAGAGACGGGGGCTAGGATGTTATAGCCCAAAATGTGTATATGTATGTATCATATGCGCTATCTATCACAAATTGATAATATTATTCTGTCTAGTTATGCTTCATTGATTACAAGGTATACTCTCGTCTGCTGGCACATCTCAATTAACATCATTCTGGCCAGTCACGCCCCATTGAATTCTCGCTATGCCTAATGTTAATGGCGAATCTCAAAAATATTATTCTGATTATGTCACGCCTCATTGGTTTTTGTTATCTTTGCTACTGACCGATCTCGATAAGGTTATTCTGGCTAGTAACGCCTCATTGATTTTTGCCATCTTAGCCACTGACCGATCTCGATAAGGTTATTCTGGCTAGTAACGCCTCATTGGATTCTCTCTATACTTAAGATTCTGGATTATTCTGGCTAGTCATGCCTCTATGGATTCTCCCTATGCTTGGATTCTGGCTAGTCACGCCTCATTGGATCCTCTCTATACTTAGATTCTGTCTTATTCTGGCTAGTCATGCCTCATTGAATTCTAAACAAACCTGCTCTTGAGCCTGGAATGCGCTTGTACTAAACTTTCTTCTCGTGTTTACTCCGTCACCTCTCGGTGCGCCGTGACCTGGTTTCCGGAAGAAATTGTCAAAATTGCGGAAGTGCTGAAAAAGGTCAAATAGTAATAAAATGTCTTTGAATATTCATGGGCTTTGTATGTTTTCACTCAAAACCATTGAGCGATGCTCAAATATATCAACAGGAAGAGTAAATCGAAGCAGTAGTGTTATTTACTTTTGACGACAGTGTACCGGTATTGCCAAAAGGGGCACCGCCGCGAAAATTATATTTATTATAAATGTTTCATTGTTTCTTATTTTGGATCAATAAATTCATTTTACCGTTTTATATCCATTAATTTCTGCTACGTAGTGTTCTGTTACGACGTCAGGTCTAATATAATTGGCGTAGCCTACCGCCATGAGGCGAGCGATCGTTTTACACATTATATTCAAAGCGTGGAGAATTACCGTATTTATTTTAGGCGACAATTTGTTATTTTTCTCGATATTCACAACATAAACTTTATGCCCATTAAACCTATAGTCGTGAAGCAGGCCTGGTAAAACAGTTTGATGGGCCATATTCGACCCGCAGACAGTAATTTCCCATCTTCGGGCTAAGTTAACCACGAAACAACCAGTGCCATACCTTCGCTTCCAGCTGCGCGACTCTTTCCTTTTCTTTCATTCTCATTCTTTTCCTGTCATCCGCTTGTTCTTTCAGTTCCCTGAAGAAAAAATCAATTATTTGAACACTGGCAATCTGTCTGAGTAATAGATTACGTGTTTTCACTAATTTATATGTTATAAGGACCCATTACAATAAAACAGTCGATATGACTACATATCTCTCAAGTATTCTAGAAAAATATTCGATTCGATTCAGAAACCATACGATATTCGAAAATGTACAGCCCTATACTCACATGTGGACACGGCCGGCTGAACGTACTCAGCAAACATACCTAGCATTTACTCTATACTTTACGATTAGCATACATGACTGTAGACAGTGTAGAGTACACAGTTATTACAGACGACAATTAACCCCTTGTTTAGTATTCATACCACACATCAGTGGCCGGTCGTACAGAGCGTTGTTTGAAGTAAGAGTTATAAGCTTCGCATAACGAGAAAATGAGAAAAAAAAATGGGTTGATTTACCTGTAATAAGACTCGACATCTCGAGGCCTGTCAGCAGCCAACTTCTGTGCTGTAACGTCGCTCATGACCCGTTTCTGGGGTTGAATCAATCCTGTCTCTGGATCCCGGGTCGGTCTTCCTACCTTGCCTTTACTAAACCAGGATGGGACATCGCCAGCCTGAAATATGGTTTTATATGAATTATGTTAGCCAGCGGCCTCGTTCAGAGATGGGTCTCCTTTACTTCTGAGTGAGTGCCCGAACTTTGCTCAGATCTTTACATTTGAGAGAGTGCTTGTGACTTTGCTCAGAGATGAGTCTCCTTTACTTCTGAGTGAGTGCCGGTAATTTTGCTCAGAGATGAGTCTCCTTTATTTCTGAGTGAGCATCAGTAACTTGGCTCAGAAATGAGTCTCTTTTACTTCTGAGTGAGTGACCGTAATTTTGCACGGAAATGAGTCTTTTTTACTCCTGAGTGAGGGCCCGTAACATTGCTCAGAGATGATACTAATTTATTTCTGAATGAGTGTAACTTTACTTAGAGATGATTCTCCTCTACTTAGGATAGGATAGGATTTACATATTTATCCCGGGGGAGAGGAAAGCCGATAAGACGGCTTATCCATATGGCAAACCACGGCCTCTCGTCCGGTAACCATTCCAAGTCGGGTATGGGATTAGTTTTTTACTGTATTGTTTGTTTTTTCGGAAGCATGGACTTGGTGGTGGAGGAAGCCGTAACCGACCAGCGGTTACGTAAACCACCCAACGAAGCAATCCTCTCGCACATAATCATCCCTGCATGGGATTCGAACCTGCAAACCCACGCGGAGTAATTAGAGGTGCGGTGGCGAGCGTATTCCTAACGCTTAGCCCGTTGAGCCACACCGCCGCGCCAAACTTATGGGTGGATACCCATAACTTTGCTCACCGGATGGCGTCTCGGCAAATCTCGGCCATCACCGGATGGCGTCTCGGCGTTAAAAAATTATGCTAAACTCACCGGCTGCATTAAAAACTCTTTCTCTTGGTCACGTAAGGTCTTCTGCAGGCTCATGCCTTCCTGAAGTTGAGATCTGAAGTAAGATATAAAAAGTGTTAGTGATTACTAGAATGAACGTATTGACCGTAAAATTTGCGAGAAGGTCGACGAAACTTGGTTAGTAATTTATAGGTACGTCTGTGGCATTTGCTCCACGTGTTTATTGAACAGCTTCTCACTCGGAACATGGATGGCTCTGTGCCAGCCTAGAAGGTTCGTAATCTTTCTAGTTCCGTATTCGCTACCATAATTTAGTAAACTGAAAATTTAGAAATCAACAAAAAAAAAAACAATCTGGAATCCAATCTGGATTTAGTCAATGGTCCGGGAGTTAGTTAGAAAGTTGCCTCTACAACCCTGCTACAGCCATGTTTAAAGTTATGTCAGTTTTATTTATTCACCGACCTGCCCTCCAAGGGTCGTAGGTCTTCAGTTCCTTTTTAATTGAAACTATTAAAATTTTTATATCTGAGAGTAGGAATTGGAGTAAATTTTTTGAACCCGAAACCGAAAGCTGAATCCGGAAGTCTAAGCAACCCACTATTGGACTCCGGGGTAATTGAATATTAGTTGGAGTCAATTTTTTGAACCCGTTATTGTGAGCCGAATCCGGGCAATTAAACATCTCGCTACCGGATTCTAGGGAGATGGAGTATGATTGAATTCAATTTTTTGAATCCGGAACCGGTATTTGAATCCGGAAAACTGAGAATCTCACTACCGGACTCCGGGGAGATGGAGTACAAGTTGCCAACACGGATAAGTTTAAATTTTTACCCGCTAGGTAATCGGGTCGCGCTGAGATTAGTCTGTATTTTCAACATACAGACCTGTACAATTCCTTTGCGCGTACTCGACGAGACGCTTCAGTTTGCGTCAGATTTTGTCTTTCTTTATCGATTCTGCCTTTCGTGTTCTTGACGACATTTCCAGATTCGTCAGTCAATGGAGCGCCTGCACCGGGCCGACCCCATGGACTGTTCCCGCCTTCAAACTGACGAACCTTCTCTGGTGTGGCAACTCGTGGTATGTTTTCTGTGAAATGAAATAATTCTATATGATTTACCCTATTCTTGCTACAGCATCATTGCATTTCATGCGTACGGATCACGCGCAAGTTATTGGTACAGCAGGCAATATCTGTGTTGGTGTGCAGCAAGACTTTTGTATCACCTAGTAAATTTATCATTCTTGCTAGAGCTTCCTTTCAGTATGTACATACGAGTCCGTCAGTACAAAAGCCCAGAATCCCAAAATATAAGCGTCCTATTTGTGTTTGTAATCGGAATTTGCTCTAAACAACAAGTCTCCGAACGAAACAAAAAACATTTTTTCAACAAACTCTTGAGTCGTGAACCTTATTTTACGTCAACCAGGATCCATAAGGGAAATTTTTAAAACGTGTTCATGTACGGGGAGCCTACGTATCAGTGAATGCAGACCCTTGTTCGAAGCGAAAAGCATAGTAAAAGGCGGGAAACCAACGTCCTGAAAAAACACATATGAAGTCAAACACTTCGTACCCATGACTATCAGAAAACACATATAAAGTCACACTTCGTACACACGACTATCAGAATACAAAATTCAACATTACCACTTCGTCTTGCACCATGAATTGTAGTTAAATTTCCCATTCGCTTTGTCAATGGCTCACCGTTGTCGCCAACTAGTGGTTCACCCCCACCCCCGATATGTTTCCGGGGAAACACTTCGCCAGGGACGCTGGGGTCGATAAATTCATAGATTCCATTGTCACCTGCGCGGGGGAATCGTCGTGCATTCCCACGGGAATCGATTCTTGGAGCTTCTGTAATGATAAAAAAGTGTGGGTTATTCATCTGCAGTAGGATCTGGATTTTTTGTCTTATTCGAATATGCATAAAAGCGCTAGAAGGCTATTTTATTCATGTTCCTATGAGACTGATTTTTCGACCCAAATTTTGCCTGTTTTCATGTTTTCTGGGAACTCTCCGATATGACATCCGTTAAATCTATGACTGGGCTTTGCTGACATTGCAATGACCGCATCAGTCACTTGGAATTTACTTATCCCGGGAAAGCCAATAAGACGCCATAAGCATATGACAAACCATGGCCTTTTGTCTGGTTGTCAGCCCTTATTACTTGTTATTTGTTCCACATGCATAGACTTGATGGCAAAGAGAGCAAACTATACGGGGCTTTATCATAGGTATTAGAGGCCCCTAGGCGCTTTTGACTTTGAAGCCCCATAGATAAAATATTGATAGTAGGAATGTAACTAGTGTTCTGTGTTATCTGAAATTGAATAAGTGAGTTTCAGTATTCATTATTGATTGAAGGCCGAATTATGGTTGCTTTACATATTTATTTGGAAAAAGTTCTCATGCCTACAAACATCTTTAGAGAGGTTTAAGATGATACTGGAAAAAGAAAACCCTATCGTCGAGTCATATACCTTTGTTTTCAAGAATCGCTCCAAATTGTTATTATAATTCCTTTATGTCGGCTTCCTATAAGCATAATTGAAAAAAATAAACGACTGGGAACGAACCTTTACCCCACGGGTCAAACAATTTGGCGTCGTCTTTTGGAACCGGGCTTGTGTTCTTGTAGTGTCGTCCGACTTGTACTCGGCCTAGAAATATTAAAATAGTAAGTTCGGATGTATCCGGGGGTGGTAACTTCGAACTAATTTAAAATATTTACTTTGAATACGGCTTTGTAACTTTGTATAAACGTGCTCAATACAAAACGTTTGGCTACTAAGAAAAGGTATTCAGTTACTGGAACAGTAAGTTCAGCATACCTGCGCCCCGTAATACTCTAAGTTAGATTTACCGCAATGAGTTTCAATGACCGGATTTAATTGAGATCGTACAACACGACTACAACCACCGCTCCACATACTCTTTCCACCGTTGGCAACAACTTCAGTGAGTATAGGATGCCTATTCCCCACACTCACTTTAAGATTGAAAATTCCAATAACCACCGGATATAACCAGACCTTCAAAACAGGACTCAGGCCACCGCTTTATATTGACCGATGTTGGTGTCAACGGGTTTTTGAACAGCGATATCTTATTTATTTTAAGCACAGTAAATCTAGGCATTTGAACTACAAGGTCCCTGAACTGGGTGTCAATCGGCTCTAACCGGACCACTGAGACACGACTCCAAGCACCGCTTTTTATATTCTTACCAACGTTATCCTCAAATTTTGCTTCTTCCTCTGCTTTATATCGAACTCTCTCTGCGTGCCTGGCATCAATAGGATTGTTCACATACGACAGACTAATGCTTCGTTTGGTGGCTGGCTTGCCTGTTCCGCATAACATTTAGTATTAATTACTTTAACTCTAGCATGACGTCATCGTTCTAAATATGTGCTGAAAATTAATGTACTAAGGCCGCATGCAATTGAAACAGTGTAAAGTTCTAAATAGGATTTAGACTGTCTACTTAATCACGTGATCTTTGACAATCACGTCAAAACTTGCACTAATCTGATAACCGTGCTAAATGTTGTGCACAAAGCTGCATGCATTTGAATCAATATTGTGTTCCGCACAAGATTTAAACTGCCTATTTTATCATTTGTAATTTGACAATCAAGTCAATCTTCCTGACTTTAATACGGGAAGGACTGTTCTAAATATTGTGCTGAAAATTAATGTACTGAATATTGTGCATGAAGCTACGTGCATTTGAATCATAACAATTTCTGACGAAGATTTAGACTGCCTATTTATCGTTCATTATTCGACAATCACGTCAAAGATAATAAAATCAAACTTAAGGCAGGAATAACTAAATAAATGCTGTGTTACAAATGCTCAGTGATTAGTAGTTATCTGATGAGACTACAATACTAAATCCTAATCACTAAATCAGACTAAATATTGGGTACTCCCGAAGTATGTGAACCAAGATGGCGGACATCGGAACGTAGTATGTGTACCAGCTTAGGGTTAGGGCATAATTTGATTCAAATTTTCCCTATTTTAGTTCCATTGCGAATTCGGGGACTAGCCAAGTGACTCTCGTAGTATTTTTACCTGAAATTATGGCCTGACCTTAACCTGGAACACAAACTACATTCCGGTGTCCGCCATCTTGGTTCACATTCTTCAAGCGTGTACTAAATCCTAATTACTGTAACCGACTAAATATTGTGCACAAGATCGATAACATACTAAATCTTAACTGGTAGTGTAAATTCGATTAATATTGTGCACAAGATTAAATTGTACTAAATCTAGATCGTTGAATTCAACTTATTATTATGCACTATCAGTGAAACAAGTAAAACTTGATTGTCAATTGTACCAAATCACAGCCATAAACAAGTGTAGTAAATTTTGAAAGTAAAAATTACTCAAATTCCGCGCCCGAATCAACCTTCTTTCTGATTAGATTAGATTAGTGAAGTGGTAATTAAAACGTGATAATTTTAATATAGTGATTGAAGTCCAAATGATGCTGATTTGAAACGTGCTGATTTGGGTTTTAAAGTCGATTATTTTAAAGATGAGTAATCAACTGTGAAATTACGTGCCATGATGCATACATGCTGCAAAAATACTTCATTCAATAAAATAAAGATACTCTAACTGTCGAATCTGAAATGTAAAGTTTTTTTACTGTAATTTTTAGCCGCTTTTTCTAGTTATAAACCAAAAACTTCAGAATTGTGAATTCGTGACTTTAAAAATGCGACTCCGGAGACCTAAGAGTTCATAGACCCTCAAAATGGGCCACAAGAGAAAGAGGTTGAGAATCACTACTGTCAATCATCTAGTCACGTGATTACCTTTGTTGTCACGGTTCGGTGCACCTGCCCCTGGTTTTCCGAACGGATCGTAATGCAAGCTGTCTTTCTCTCGTTCAAAATCTATGGACTTGATTTTAAGTGCGTTCTTTTCCCGGATATCCATGAGTGTGTCTGAAATGAAAAACAATTGACTCCGAGCATCACAATGTTTGAGACATAATCCACGTTATAACTTTTTGAGTACATTCCGTCTCCGGATTTACCGGAGTGTACTCGAAAGAAAAAATGACCGTTTAAAGACACTAACAATGGTGTCTAAATAGGCAAAAAGTCATTAGCACAACTTGAGCAGTGGCTAATGTAAGGATTTTTTGATGCTCCAGAAGTATGCGCACCAAGATTTTGCACAACCTGAATCCTAACCGGTACACACATACTATGTTCAGGTTGTGCGCCATCTTGGTGCGCATACTCTCGGAGGTCCGATTTTTTTTTTACCGGATTTCTCGGCGTGTATTTTTCGTAGCTTGAAACGCAATTTAGACCCTCAAGACTCTTAAAACCCATGCTTTTCGCAATTAAAAATTTCAGAACCGTCTTTTTTTAAAAATTCCTGGTTACTGCACTAAAATAAATAGCAGCCACCTAAATTTCAGTGACCGCTCACCTTGTTATGAGTGAGAGTCGTGGAAATATACACTCAAGGATGAGTATATTTTATTCCTGAGTAAATGCATACGGTCTTGCCTTGAGTGAATCCCATCAAGAAATGCACACAAATTTTCAGTATAAAAACGCAACCAGTTGCCTGGAACAGCTCCTACCATTCCTAATCACTGAAACTTCAAAATCAATTGATCGATTAGTTGCGAAAAGGCTCGTACCAAGGGCGGGACTTTTATTTACATTTTAAAAGGAGAGAAAGGAGGTCAAAAAGTTTCAACTCACAGCCCCCCGCCCTTTTTTTAAATTCCTTTACTAACATCCTGGATGCGGAAAAAAGCGATTTATCACAGCAACGACAATCCATATTTATAATACGTGTTAGCAAATCATACCTAATTCTTTCTTATACGCCAGTGCTGTGTCCCTACTGACGGCGTATCGTCGCATCTGGTCGTCTTCATATCTTCTCACTCGAGGGCGCCCTGGGGCACCAATAGGAACTGTTTTCTTCCAATCGACTTTCGGCGGCTGGGACACATAGGGGTCGACAACGATACCCACTCCGTTTTGGTTTTGTAGAGTTTTAGAAAATCCGGTCTTTTCGGCCTGGACAGTAGTTTTTATAAAGTTGATACAAATAATTGCGTTTAAAATAATTATGCATTGCTAAATATTTGTGCCATCCATAGTGTAACATCTATTGTGTAACATCGTAATACTAATAAACTGGCAATCTGCTTCTTCTCACAATTGAGGCTAATTCGTAAGTTTTGTCAATCCGGATTCGGAGTCTGAATTTGTGAACCGGACTCGAGTTAACTTCCAAAACTGGAGTCTTAAACCGGAGTCTAAGTCCATTAATTCTATGTTTATGAATCTAAGTCTACTTTTTTAACTCCGAGGTCGAGTCAAGCTTCTCAAACGAGTCTGATTCGTATGATTCATATGGATTCGGAGTCTAAATTTGTGAACCGGAATCGAAGTCAAAATCTCTGTAAACCGGAGTGGGAGTCAAACTCTCTGTAAACCGGAGTCGAGGAATCAAACTCTCTGTAAACCGGAGTCGGAGTCAAACTTTCTTTAAACCGGAGTTGGAGTCAAACTATGTAAACCGGAGTCAGAGTCAAACTCTTTAAATCGGAGTGGGAGTTCTAATTTTTTTTAACCTGGAGCAAGCGTTATCGTCAAAAGGGAGTCGGAGTCAAACCTCTTGAACGAAGTCAAAGACCTAATTTTTATGAACCCGGAAGCCGAACCAAACTTCCGAAACCGGAGTCTGATTCGTAATTTTTGTCAACCCGGATTTGGAGTCTAAAATTGTAAACCGGAGTCTGATTCGTAATATTTTTAACCGGGATTAGGAGTCTAAATTTGTCAACCGGATTCTGAGTTAAACATTTTGAACCTGAGTCGGAGTCGCTATAAGAGTCAACGATGATTCAAGTTCTTGAACCGGAGCATTATTTTAAATTTTTTTAGAACTTGACTCACCCTAGGTGCCCCGTATCCCGGTTTCCCGAAAGGAAAGTAAGTTTTCAGTTGTTTCATGTCGTTCTCTTGTTCTTGCTTCTTTGCTAATTCATCTCTTTTCCTTGCTTCCCGGTGTAATCTGAGAAATTCAGTCTGTTCTTCCTGTGCGCGTTGCTTGCTCCTGATTTCTGCAGAACTGGATGAAAAAGAGAAATTATAGGTGAAACGCGCCGTTCGCTATGAACAAGGCACGGCACAAGTAATCGAAACAGTACAAAGGTCCTGGCGACCGTGAGAGTCAGGCCGCCTTCTCCTGACATGTAAAAACTGGCTACGCTCTTGGTGTTAGCTGCATATGAATTCAATAATTCAATAGATATCGGCCTCGTTTAGGCTCAAGTTATTGAATTCTGAAGGAATACATTACTGTGGATACAACATATTTTACTGAGTGATACTAACTACAGAATTTTCAAAATTTGAAATAAAAAGGTTAAGAAAATGCGCATTAACCAGCGATTAATAAGCGGGAGCTTAATAGTGCGAACTCCAACAGACTAAGGAGTGAAACTCAATAGCCAGTCAGTAGTGGGCAAGGTTCTTGGAGCAGGTGCCAAAAATTTTGCCTACCCATACAGACGGGCCATGTGAGTGTGACATAAGAAATTACATTTCATGAACAATATTCAGAGTGTTACATAAGCAAAAGTGGAAAACAGTAAGCCTTGTGCCGAAACTGAATTTAATCACAATCTCAACAAATTCCTTGAGCAATTTTTTTAAGAGTAACTTCAAAATTAGGTTTAAGTCTGGTTGTGGCAGCACCAGGCGAGCCAGATTGAATTACCCAACGGGCCGAATTTGGCCCGCAGATCGTATTTGTCCATGTCAGAGCGAGATGGTCAGGCAATGCAAAAGCAAACAGATTCCTAATTTTACAATTTGTAGCCGTCCCGTATAGCTGCTTATTTATGATTAGCCTTGGTAATAGCTGACATACCGGATCGTATCTGTCGACGGATATGACTCCACTCACCGCAACCTGTAAAACAACTTACGTTTTATTTAGAAGTCTCAAATTAATTTTATTCTCTCTTCTCTCCTCCCCGCTCAGGTCTCGAATATTTTCCGAACCGAAGAAAATCCTTTTGCTGGAGTCGGTGGTAGGACTGGGTTTCCTGGAAATATTAGATAAAAGGTAGTTATGTGTTTATTCGACGTTTTACTGTAAACAAGGCGCTATCAAAAACCACTGACTATATATTTGGCTTTTGGATGATTTGTTGGTCAGAAAGTGAAATAGTTGGGTTGTTTTCGAATCTTTTACTAGGAGCAATTATCGGTACTCCCGTAGTATGCAAATCAAGATGGCGGACACCGGAACGTAGTATGTGTACCAGGTTAGGGATAGGACATAATTTCATGAAAAAATACTATGAGAGTCATTTTACTAGTGCCCGAACTTGTAATAGAACGGAAATGAGGAAAATTGGAATGAAATTATAGCCTAACCCTAACACATACTACGTTTCGGTGTCCGCCATCTTGGTTCACATACATCAGAAGTACTGAATTTCGGTACTCCTGAAGTATGCGCACCAAGATGTCGCACAACCTGTACCCTGACCTGGTACACAACCTGAGTTCTATTAGTGACGGCGGCTTTGTACAAAAGTTCCAATTTTTTTTGCAGTTATTGGCAAAAATATCAGTCGTTGCGTTTAATTGTTTTTATTGTTACGCTTTCTACTTTTAATTGGGGGCTCGCGATGTCACTTTCAGCAAACTAAAAAGATCTTTGTGCGTCGGTGGACACACTTTTTCCCGATTGGCTGTGTATTAGGACTTTAATTTGAATTTGAGAAAAGTCGGAAAAAATAATGCCTTATTCATACTTTATATCGTTTGCTCTTTATCAGCTGTGAATGCTTTGCTATGGATATGACGTGCAACTCGCTGTGGAGTTTTGAAACATCGTAAACTATGTCCTTTGCGATATCGCCAGGTAGTCTAAACATCGCCCTAAAGCGCGGGAAATGTTTTCTTAACTCGTTTATTTTGTCACAAAGGATTTGTAAATTTCGCGCGTGCCACCGGGCAGACGATTGCTTTGTTTGCGAACAAAACGCTTCTTGTTGAATGATAAAAGTATTTGAGGTGACACAATAGCAGGTGCATTGTGAACGAATAAAGTGAGATCTGACACTCGACAGGTCAATAAAAACATTGTTGTCCCAACGTGGGAGAGCCCATGCTTGGACATACATATGCCGTATATAAAGTGGATACAAATAAACAGATTATCTTAGGCCGTTTATAATTTATCGTTTTTCAACACCTGGCAGGTCTGGCCATGTTGGACGTTTGAAGTATTTTACTCGAGAAACGTAAACATCATTCCCATTAAGAACTTAAAGACGAGCCGCTTTTATACATGGGCTCTCTGTTATCTCATTCACCCATAGACATTTCCGAATAAAGTCCCAAGAAGACAATTCAGAATTGTGAATGTAAAATCTTTGCGCTGCATGGGTTGCGAGTAGTAACAAAGAAGCATACATAGCAATTTTTGGCAGCTTGGAACGCTTTTTAGACCCTCTAGACCAGGGGTTCTCAACCTGGGGTTCGCAACAAGACGATTTATTTAGTTACATACGATCATTAAACGGATGTTGCAACAAATTGTTAGTCAATATATCACATCTTTGTTCGGTGTCTGATTACCGGGGGTTCGCATTGATTGTTTCGTGACTCGGGGGGTACTTGACAAAAAAAAGGTTGAGAACCCCTGCTCTAAACCATGGGTCGGCAACTTACGGCCGGCGGGACTGATCCGGCCCGCGGAGCTGTATAATCTGGCCCGCGACGCTTCACTTAATTATAGTAACAAAATAGCTGTTTTGACGACTATATTCGTTACGTAACAGAATTTATTTTGAGACACGTGTAGACTAAAATATATTATAATCTAGCAAGTATATAATACACAATTACGCGCTTAATTAATTTAAATATAATCAGACAAATGGCAGCAAAACGCAGAAAAGTTGATGCTGAGTGCAAATGGTTTAATAGCGCAGAAAATATTTAAATGGTCAATCTTCGCGCGCTGCTTAAAATTTCATCTCTGGCGTGTGTGAAAAAATCTGATTCATCGACCATCCGTTCGTTTTTAACTTTCTAAAAATATGTGCGGCCCGCCAATGACTTGCAACCTTTAATTTTGGCCTGCGAGTGACAAACGGTTGCCGACCCCTGCACTAGATTCTTGAAAACCTACGGACCCGCTAGATGTTACGATCACACTTGGCAATTAAAAATTTCAGAATCGGCCTGGCTACGACCCTGGTTAACGCTTACAATATAACAAAGATAGGGCGCGTTGCTATAAATGCCCCCGGGTGACCTCTGGCGCTCGGCTAATGTCGGAGTTCGGAATACATAATAATATTTCCGTTTAATTAAATCATAATTTTTAATCAAGTGATTTAGAATTGGAATTGACAACTATTTCTAATTCAAATCAAAATTGACGAAAAATTAAATTTGAACAGAGTAAACGAAATTCGATTTGAAACATTTACAGCAGGGATTGGCAACTTTTTGTCGCTCGCGGGCCAAAATTAAGGTTGCAAGTCATTGGCGGCCGCACATTTTTTTAGAAAGTTGAAAAACCGAACGGATGGTATTTTTTATAATAAAAATCAAGCAGTGAAACATCTCTCGAATAGAGTATAGGTTTATTTCCTCATTGCATCTCATAAAATTCCATTCAAATATTTTCAGCGCCATTGAACCCTTTGCACTTAGCATAAACTTTTCTGCGTTTTGTTGCCATTTGCTTGATTATAATTGAATTATATGCACATTAAACGAGTAATTGTGAATTATATAATTGTTGGGTTATAATATAATTTAGTCTAAAGTATATATTCGTCAAAACTGATGTTTTGTTACTATAATTTAGTGGAGCGTCGCGGGCCGGATTGTAGTGCTTCGCAAGCCGAATCCGGCCCGCGGGCCGTAGGTTGCCTACCCCTGATTTACAGCGTGGGTTCACAGTCTGAATCTGCTTTCCGACTCAATGTTTACAAAGTCCAAATTTCAAAAACTTTATCATTTGCCACAATTTCGAAGTTGTCGTGTTCCCATCTTATCTTTCCCGTAACATATGAAAAATATCATTAAATCCCTATATATATTACCAGAGGGGAGGTAATCTTATCGCCTTTTCCTCTATAAAATCTGAAGATTTTATCTAATAGTTATCTCTTATTACCAATTTAGATGAGGTGTTTTTATCAGCCTCCCATTCTCGAGTAAAAATGGAAAAATATTATCGAAACTTTTATTTCAAATAAACAGGTTGATCTTGTCAACTTTCCTCTCGTAACAAAATATAAAACTATAACTAATCTTTACCTCTTATCAGTGAGTTCGGCAGCGGATACTTCTTCGTATCATCGGCTCTGAATCCAATCGGTCCTGTGAGCGGGATCCGGGGATGTTGGAGGTCATACACGTACCCTCGGTATCTGTCATGAAAATATAAATTGACTATAAAGGTGTTACAGCCAAATCACATATGGCTCGTGGCCCCGTTCCAGAGGCTTTACAGTGCTTACAGCCAACGTTCCTTCTAAGAGCTTGCTTAGTTGCGCGGAATAGAGCGCCATGTGAGCTCCAAAAAAAAAAGGTTTGCGCGGTGCAAGGTGCAAGAGGCGGTCCGCCGGCCACAACCCGGCCCGCCAAGTCAATTAGTGTGGGCCTTGTCAACACTCTTTTTTTTCCCTATCGAGCATAAAATCCGAATCCGACAGACGCTCACGTAGGTAAAAATACATAACATTTTTTTCTCTTGTCGCTGCGTTACATCTTTTGCCGTTTTTGGCGCATTTTTGAAAAAGCGGGAATATTTTTTGTCCAATTTATTACACGATGTGTGAGGTGGCGAACATCAATTTGAATCCAAGATGTTTGACAACTTAGTTAAATCAACGTGGAATAATTGGCGGCCTTTAATATTTACTTAATTTTAAGAAAAATTACGAAAAATATTTGATCAAAAATGCCAGCGTCGCGGTTAAGCCATTCATATAAATCTTCAATCTATCATTTTGAAATATGTGTTCCTATAAAACGATACACATGATGGGTTAATATTTGTTCAGACTAAGCCGCAGCACTTCAAATATATTAGCGTCATCCTCAATAATGGCCTCCTTGAGTTTATGTGCTTAAAACCGAGGTATGCGATAAATGAAAGCCTTCATCACAATGAACGTTTCCCCAACCCTTGACCGCGGGAACATTTTCCATATACTTTATTATAGCAAAAAAAAATTTGCTCATTTTGAGAGTGTTTTGGAAAGTTGTATCATTCGTTCGGTTTTCAACTTTCTAATTTTGGCCCGCGAGCGACAAAAAGTTGCCGACCCCTGTCGTAGACCCTTTTGCATGCCAATTACTGCTTCTACATGGCAATGTTCGGGGTGAACTTGCGATTCCGTAGATTCTATTTTTGTTTTCAATAATCCCGATTTGGGTTGTTAGCGGAGGGTGTTGAACCGAAGTCAGTGTTTTTTATACTTTATACGCTAAACAAGACATTCGACCGTGTGTACTACTATATGTCAAATAGGGAGCAGTTTATACAATTTATGACGGTTCATCACTAAAATCGGTACACCAATAACCGAATAACCGTGGAAAATTTTTGTTAAATTTTAACAGAGCATTGCAATGAATAATAGAACTTTGATTGCGTGTTCGTCCTCCGCGTCTTAGTCAAACCCTCTAATTCAAACATCATAAAACTGAGTTAAAGTTAGCAAAGTGATTGTTTATCGGCTGGCGCGTCATGTTAATCGTTTTCTAAGCGAGGTTACCGTCTCTACAGCAACCCATGCGGTCGTAATGGGACGCGCTTAGAAAACGATTAGCATAAACTATAAGTGAGTTTACCTCGGGAATGTACACGAGAATGGGATTTCCATGAGTTACATTTCCAGTGCAATCTAAATTCCTGGCCAACACTCTAACTGCAGTGGTTCCCAAACTGGGGTTCGCGAAAATTCCATGGGGGTCTTCTTAAATAAAAATTGAGATACTACGAATCGTATGTAAAGTTAGGGTTTATCGTGATGAACGCAGGTGAAGAACTCACTTTACCGCACGGCACATTGATTTTTTGTTGTGATAGCTTTAATATTTCATTTTAGTGCACAAGGTCGCGAATCATTAAAAAAATTGCAAGGGGTTCGTCACGGAATTTTTTATAGAATGTTTGGGAACCACTGGCCGAACGAACTAATTAAAATTATTTTAAAACTTTGGGAGTAGGTGGGGGGTGTTTTTTATGCAGGGGCTTTTTACATAAAATACGAAAAGGCTTGCTTAAACCGAAGCTTTTATTAATCAATATTCAGTTTGTCGATGCTGGAGTCTGCGTCAAACGTTTTGTCAGTCCGGAATAGGAAATCAGAACTGAAAATGCTTTTAAACAAATCACAATTAGGAGTCGAACTCGTGAAAATTCTCCCTTAAACTACAGCCCTGCAACGACACTGCCTGCCAATGATTGCTTTTCCCGCTGTTGTTCGCGTGTCTAATAATGTGGATGTTAATTAAATGCGAGAAGATTTATCGAAAATGTTGTCCGGTTACTGATCCACGCATGCTGGAAAATTAACTAGGAACTCCATTAGGATGAATATACTAATTATATCTTATAATTAACCCACCCCATCGGCCTCCTTATTGAGCCGTATTAACAACTTTCTTCACCCCCAGAAGGAATGAATATAAAAATTATATCGTATGATTACGTCGTGTTATCCTACGATTGAGCCATCTTATCGCCTTTCCTCACCCCTGGGATAAATATACCATCCTATCATCTGGTCAAGCCATTCTATCGGCTTTCCTCTCTCCGGAATAAACATAAATGTCATGTACCTGTGATCAATTGTAACTGCATCTTGTTGAGGCAAAATCGCTTCTTCGGTCGCCGCCATTTTAAGCAGAATACGACAAAACTATCTTTCGTTTACCCTAAGATCTTTATTTTCCTATAAATTACGAGAAAAACGTCCCATTTCACCGAATTCAACTTTAAATTTAAGCCCTAACGCTCTAACAATTCCTAACTCGCAAAAAAATTCCAAAAACTGATAAATCTTCGATTTTCTTACTACAATTATCTCGTCACAATGGTTACTGTATCGCAATAAAAAAACGATCCTCTGACAAGCCATTGTTGACGGAACAATCCATTTTATACTTCCCATTGTTACAACACAGAGCGTAAATATTGACAAAAGAAATCTATCCGCTGGTAATAATTAACGCTTTTATTTGGAAATACTACTCGCCCGACGTTTGGCCATATTAAAACCACCGCTGTCACGAAGATAAGCGTACATATGCTTCAGTAATCGCTTTTAACTCTTCTATTAATACTTATTTCATTGATGTTAAAAAGCTCCAACGCCTTGCATGGGCAAAGTTGTATAAATCTGTAAAAAACACGCTCTCAAATACTTTGAAATGCTTATAATATTTACGAGTTTCATCGCAGCTTTTGATTGCCTTTGCGTAAAGATTGAACAGTAAAAAATGTAGGCGTTTCCTTGTCTGCTGCCTGAACGCTGGTAGAAATCTGCTATATTTTTGAGTGAATCTTACTGCTAAGGCCTTTGGTTGGGGCGGTTTCGAATTTTCTCTCTGAAAGAAGCGCTGGACAAGCGATCTTTTATATGTAAAAAGACAGTATTTAGGGTCTTTGTATAGAAAGCCCTCAACTCTAATGCAAAATGTAGGGCGTTTTAAGTGCCGCAGATTTCGATCGACGCTAACCCTATCCCGGACGTAGCTGGGAATAAATGACGCCTTTATTGGGAATTTTCACACGGCCTAGTTTCGACTATACCTACATAAGCGTTAATGGCCGCTTTCAACTCTTCTATCAACACTCTTTTTACTTCTATTGGAAAGCTCGAGGCCTTGCGCGAGATAATTTGTATACAACTAGGAAAAGATGCTTTCAAGTACTTTAAAATGTTCATACAATTTACGCGTTTTATGACAGCTTTTGATTTCTTTGCTTAAAGATTGAGCAATCGAAAATTTGGGCGTTTCCATGACTACGGCCTGGACTCTGGTGGGAATCTGCTATATTTACGTGAATATTTCTGCTTCAGCATTTGTATGGGACGGTTTGAAACTTCTCTCTGGAGGCAGCGCTAGACAAGCAATCTTTTAAACGTAAGAAGCCAGTATTTTGAATCATCTGTGGAAAGCCCTCGCCACCAATGCAAAAATGTGAGATTTAAGAAAAACATCCCCGTACGCTTTGAAATACCAAATTAGTAACTGTCCAGTTGGGGTTATAAATGATTTGAAAATTCGAATTTACAGTTCAATCTGCTTTCCTAACCCTAAATGTATAATTACTGAGTTTCGTATTGTGAGCGATGTCAGGAGCTTTGCAAATGCCCTGGTCGTGTTTTAATTGGTTCCATTACATTTGAACCCACGACAATTGCACCTGCATACTATTGCACATATGGAATTTTGTTGTTTTACGGATATTTGAACCCATACTAACCCTAACCCATGGGTTTTAGCTCCCGCATATAGATTGAACCCGTGGATATACACATGATGGGTTCAAATGTACGTCACCGTTTAAATTGAGGAAATTTAAGGTGACGGTGACGGAGTTCTACTATAATTATTATTATTTTTTTACATGAGGAGGGATTCACAAGATCCAGTATTCATACGAAGCTCGTGATCTCTCCGGTTAAGTTTATCTTTAGGCTTTTCTATAAAGCATTTTTAAACCTTCGATCTGAGTGGAGCTTTAGACAAGCTAACAAATTGGCTGCCACTAAGCTGAACCAAATACTTGATAAATACGGGTCTCCTTGAAAAATGCTATGTCTAACTCTCTCAACTTACCAAACTTGAATATTTTCATGAAGCCCCCTGCACTAATGCAAAAATGTGTGTTTCCCAAGTATGTGAACGAAGATGGCCGACACATGAACATACTATGTGTACTAGGCTAGGGTTACAAATACTACTTTTCAGGTACAAATACTACGAAAGTCACTTGACTAATCCCCAAACTAAAATAAGGAAAATTGGAATAAAATTATGGCCTAACCCTAACACGGTACACATACTACGTTCAGGTGTCCGCCATCTTGTTTCTCATACTACGGGAAACCTAAAAATGTGAGATTTCAGAAAACAATCACGCCACTGCATTCTTAACCCTAACTGGATAAAAGCTAATTTTCTTATTTTAAGCGGTGGCGGGGATGTTGTTATGGCGAGGGCTTTCTACCGAAGATCGAATATTTTTACAAAGCTTTCTCGTTCGGTCTTCCTCGGGCTTTTTATGGAGCAATTTAACTTTGAGCTCTGAACGAAGCGAGAAACAAGAATCCGTTGATATTTTAAGACCTTTTGAGTCGTCTTGGTGCGAATACATATAAAAATAGTTAGAATTGTTTCACGAACGACAGTTTGGACGAATAATAAGATTTTGGAAACGTTTTAATAATTCGCGTTGCGTCATAATTGTTGTCTGGTCAACAACGTTCAAAAAAAAACTATGAATATTCAATTCGGTTTAGAGCGAGGAATGATTAGAAAATTCGAATTTCCTACGCAATCTGCATCTCCATAAACCCAACCGTAACTGGCTAATTACTGTTTGTTTTAATTTTTTAGCGTTGGCGGAGGTGTTTAACAGATAAAAATGCCAATTCTCAAAATAAGAAAATTAGCAAAGTTATCCAGTTAGTGTTGCGATTAGGAATGCTAATTGCGCTGGAATTTAAAATTTCAAATCATCTCTAATCCGAACCCCGAACTGGAAAATACTATTTTTTTTTTCATTCTCAAAAACGTGGCTGGAGTGTTTTGCCTTAGCGGGGGGTCGCACAAAACATCCCCATATCGTACATGAAACCTGCAAGACAATGTTATTATTTGATTTTATTGCAATATTCGAATGATTTGGTTAACACTGATGAAAGTACGTGATATAGAAGTAAATTTATGGCATTACCTAATATCGCCCCACCAATCATTTAATTTCAGGCGTGCGTTACGTCATCGCCCCAACAAAGTTCATTTTTTCCAACCGTTAAAAAAATGACTTGAGCACAAAATAAAAGAAAATGATAATTACAAAGTTTTACTGGGGAAGGGAAGTCGCGGGGAACCAAAGCTTTTATCGAGCAGCGACACCCGAGGTTCTAATATTTAATTCAAAAAGTTTTGAAACTACTGATACTGACGGTGAGTATTGCATGAATTATCCAACTAACACAGATTGATAGACATTGAAGAGACCGGGAATTCAACAAATCAACAACGAAGCCTAAGAATTGAATGAAAGAAATCATGAAATTAGTGGTGGGCTGCTAACATCGACCATGTACTGAAATAAAACTAAAGTAGTGAATCATTATATCAGGAAGAAGTGTGGATTTCTTGTTTGCAAAATGTAACCCTTCCCCATACAAGTTAAATGTACTGTCTTCCCATTGAGTAGCCCTAGTCTAGCCTAATAGCACTCATAACAAATGAAAAAAATATATACAGAAAGAATTATCACAAAAATTAAATCGTAAAATCACAATGACGTCATCGGTATGACGTAATATAATGATATGTAGCTAAATTACAGTTCAAGGTGCTTGTCGAAAATGAAGTCACCGAGACCCGGAGCGCCATCTGCCGATTGCAATTTCAATACATTGCGATAATGATTGGCGATCTCCTTGGTGTCTTCCACTTGGTGGCCGAGGAACTCGTGAGCAATCATTTCAGCAAGCTGAAACGAAAGATAATTTTTAGTTTTTATCTGACATGAGAAGAAAGCCGTTAAGACGAATTAATCATATGGTCCGGTTCGTGTCTAATGAGAAGGGTTAGGATAGAAAACAATATTTGGTACTCCTGAAGTATGCGCACCAGGATATCGCACAACCTGAACCCTAACCTGGTGGACAACCTGAGTTCAGGTTGTGCGCTATCTTGGTGCGCATACTTCAGGAGGTCCCAATATTTTTATATTTATCCAAGTAGGAATAGCCGATAAAGCTGTATAAGAATAATATTGCGATTCATCGCTTATCGCCCAGTCCATGTCGGAATCGGGAATGGTTGGGTTAGGAGAGTATTCCATATATCAAAGTGAGGAGAATCAATAGAACTATATTAATCATATTTTGATCCATTGCTGATCGCCCGGTTACAATGTCGGATAATGAAATGGTAAAGTTATTCACAGGATAGATATTCCATATGTATCCCCAGAGGAAAAGAAAGTCGACAGAAGGCTTAATCATACGGCAAACCACGGCATGCGGTTACCAATCGATGTACGGGTATGGGATTAGTTAGTTAGTTATTTGTTTTTCGAAGTATAGACTTGATGGTTGAAAAGGCCGCAAACGAGAGTGAGGGTCGCCCCCCCCCCCCCCCCCCCCTTTGGAAATGTAAAAAATAGCCGGACCCGCTATGTGTTACAGTCTAATTTCACAGATAAAAATTTCAGAATCCCCTTGAACACTCTTCCTTTAAATTGGTTTGGCTGTTGAACCCAACTAAACTGCCTGGCAGATCTTAGGTTTAAACAAATTCTGTTTAGAAATCCCGACAAGCGCACACGCAACACAAGACAATCTCAAACCTACCTCAACGTATTGTATTGACTGTATCGAATCACAGGTGCAGGCGTTCATAGTGCTGGTAGTGGTTGCAGAGTTCTCGCCAACCGTGCAGGTAATGAGGAGAGGCTGAAAATACAAGTAAAATATCGTGAGTGATAAATCGGTACTATGCCTTCCAACGAGGCTTTAGAGCAGGGGTGTGCAACTTTTAATACAGAATTGCCAGATAGGGATAACTGGGCGAAACCGCGGCCGCAACTTTATTTACCATTGGCTTTTCCGATAGTTGCCGGGACAAGAGTTTTGGTTGTTGATCTTCCTACATGCTTTGTTCGCTTAGCACAAGTTAAAAAGTATTGAAAACGCGTTTTGCGGGCTGCACATCATTCAAACTTGGCACTTCTCCGTGGGCCGCACGATATTTCCTTGTGGGCCGCATTTGGCCCGCGGGCCGCAGGTTGGACACCTCTGCTTTAGAATGAGGTACCGGTATATGCGTTGTACAAGTGTTTAAACCAGGTGTTTGCAACATTTTTTGTCGGCCGCCATATAACCAACTTCAGAATCTGGCGGGGCCACACATACAAAAATTGGTTTCCCCATGTGAACAGAAAATTGAAAAATTCTCACAATGCAAAATTTTATTTATTTAACATTTTAGTAGAACACGTGTTCAGCTTTGACAGAAGTTGTAGCAACCCTTAACTGACTGGTCAAATGTTTATTAGTCATAGAGTGTCGGATTAGAAATTAAAGCTTGATGGGAAGAGTTGAAAAGGGCCACAGTAGGTCACCTAGGGGGCCCGACTGTTGACAAAACTTGAGCACGAATTGTTAGAACATAATTGGATTTGGAATCTACTAATCAAAATACTATAAAGACCCTGGAATGATAAACAGGGGGCCATGAAAATGCCTCCGGAAGTGAGCCACGAGCCATAGCATGTTGGGAACTACCGTTATAGGCTGTAAGGAGCCAATCCTCTTTATTCTCGTTAAGCATTTGAATGACCTACTGCGATTAAACCGTCATTATAGAGCCGTTACAAAAGTCCTGTAACGCAAGTTAGCATGACAATAAAACCTCATACCTGTGTCAATCTCAAGTCATCGTCATCAATGTCATCAACCCCAGAACACTGGTTGGAAAATTCTTTTTTCACTTCGGATGCATCGCTGTAAAAGAAAATGACATTTAATAATATTTTTTATTCTTAATTAATTCACATTTTCAAATTATATTTATCCGTTTAATTTTTATCACGCTTTTCTTCTGCATGCATTTCAGTATAAATATATGTGAGTTCATTTCTTTTTTCGGAGCGGTAATTGTGGAAGTCTTCATAATGATTTTTGTCGTTGTTACGACACACAGAATAAATAAAACATTTAATATGTTGCAATAATGAGATGAAGAAATAAAGCAAATATTTGTGAATAAAAATTGACGTCACACATCGCAATGGTATGTGCATTTGAGCACGTTTCGGCGAAAACAATCGCTTGAAACGAAGACACAGGCATTCACTCTGCAGTGAAAAACAGTCATCTCTGAGCAAAGAGGTATTGAAACTATATAGATTCATGGTGGTGCATTACGCACACTTACTCAGAATTGAGAAATTCATCTTCGAGCAAATTTACGGGCACTCACTCAGAGGTAAAGGAGACTCATATCTGAGTAATAATACAGCCACTTACTTGGAAATGAAAGAGACTCTCCTCTGAGTAAAGTTACGGGCACTCACTCAGAAGTAAAAAAGACTCATCTCTGAGTAAAGTTACGGGCCCTCACTCAGAAGTAAAAAAGACTCATCTCTGAGCAAAATTACCGGCACTCACTCAGAAGTAAAAAAGACTCATCTCTGAGCAAAATTACCGGCACTCACTCAGAAGTAAAGGAGACTCATCTCTGAGCAAAATTACCGGGAACTCACTCAGAAGTAAAAGAGACTCATCTCTGAGTAATAATACAGCTACTTACTTGGAAATGAGAGAGACTCTCCTCTGAGTAAAGTTACGGGCACTCACTCAGAAGTAAAAAAGACTCATCTCTGAGTAAAGTTACGGGCACTCACTCAGAAGTGAAAAAGACTCATCTCTGAGCAAAATTACCGGCACTCCGGGATCTCACTCAGAAGTAAAAGAGACTCATCTCTGAGTAATAATACAGCTACTTACTTGGAAATGAAAGAGACTCTCCTCTGAGTAAAGTTACGGGCACTCACTCAGAAGTAAAAAAGACTAACTCTGAGTAAAGTTACAGACACTCACTCAGAAGTAAATGATACTCATCTCTGAGCAAAGGTACGGGCACTCACTCAGACGTAAAAAAGATTAATTTGCGGGCAAAGTTACGGGCACTCACTCAGAAGTAGAGGATACTCATCTCTGAGTAATAATACAGCCACTTACTTGGAAATGAAAGAGACTCTCCTCTGAGTAAAGTTACGGGCACTCACTCAGAAGTAAAAAAGACTCACCTCTGAGTAATAATACAGCCACTTACTTGGAGATGAAAGAGACTCTCCTCTGAGTAAAGTTACGGGCACTCACTCAGAAGTGAAAAAGACTAACTCTGAGTAAAGTTACAGGCACTCACTCAGAAGTAAATGATACTCATCTCTGAGCAAAGGTACGGGCACTCACTCAGACGTAAAAAAGATTAATTTGCGGGCAAAGTTACAGACACTCACTCAGAAGTAAAGAAGACTCACCTCTAAATAAAGTTACAGGCACTCACTCAGAAGCAAAAGATACTCATCTTTTAGCAAAGTTACGGGCCCTCACACGGAAAAAATGATTTATCTCCGAGCAAAGTTAAGGGCGATCAGAACACTCTAGCGCCAAGAGATACCGAAAGATTTAACGTCCGGCACATCCAACACGTATGCATAAATTAAAGACGTTATTTGGGGTTTCTGGCATTTTCAACATTTGCTTGTATTCCTGGCCATGTCATTATATGTTTATGATACAAAATTACATTTCATAATGCAAGTTAAAGGCTCAGGGACGCATCGTGAATATTATAATAACTACAAGAAAGCGTGCTCCAATATATGGACACGAAATCCAAAATGTTCCGCAGACTTCACGACTAACGCAAACGTAACCGCCACAAGTGCGCAATTTTCGATGATGCAATCGCACACGGAAAAACGAATCTCCTAGCGCGGCGGTGTGGCTCAACGGGTTAAGCGTTAGGAATACGCTCGCCACCGCACCTCTAATTACTCTGCGTGGGCTCGCAGGTTCGAATCCCATGCAGGGATGGTTATGTGCGAGAGGATTGCTGGACTCCTCGCCGTCGTTGGGTGGTTCACGTAACCGCTGGTCGGTTATGGCTTCCTCCACCATCAAGTCCATGCTTCCGAAAACAAACAATATAACTAATCCCATACCCGACCTGGAATGGTAACCGGACGAGAGGCCGTGGTTCGCCATATGGATAAGCCGTCTTATCGGCTTTCCTCTCCCCCGGGATAAATATGTAAATCCTATCCTATCCTAAAGTCCACAAATTTTTTAAATAGCCTTCTAGCATAAAATACAATCTCGAACCACTGAAAATTTCAAAGTCATTGGTCCAGTAGGTAATAAGAAAATAAGGTTCCAGAACAAGAAGAGGAAAATAAGGTATTGCCATAGTATGTGAACCAAGGGGGCGGACACCGGAATGTAGTATGTGTACCAGGTTAGGATTAGGCCATAATTTCAGAATAATAAAATATGGTCTAACCCTAACCTGGTACATATACTACGTTCCGGTGTCCGTCATTTTTGGTTCACATACTACAAGAGTACCGAAAATAATACTAACAACATAATGATCAACAACAATAAAACAACCCATTGGTCCACTTTGGGTCCAATAATGTCATTTCAGATATACTCACTTATGTAGTTGGGTCAGCTGACGAGTCACGTGAGCTTCAAGCTCCATTGCACATTTGAAAGCCGTCTTAATGTCTTTGACGTCAACGCACGAACCTTCGGTGTATCGCTGAAATAGAGAACCCTGCGTGTTAGCTTAGGAAGAATTTCTATACGGGTTTTAGGAAAATAAATTTACTGAAATATTTCAACTAAAGCGAAAACAATTGCGGAAGAGTATGCTATTTAACCTGCGTAACGGGGGTTAAAGCGCAGGACAAAAGATTGTCGGTATCGTCGGCTGAAGATTTTGAGTTCAACCCACGCCTACCCATGTTGGCCGGGTGGTAACCAGGAATTTTTGTATTGCCAAGCTAGACCGTAACAGTCAATGGCGGGAAAACGTGGGGTTTCAAGAGTGTTGAAAGTGTAAAAGCGTTTCAAGCTACGAAAATTACTATGTACGATAAAGATAAATGCTTTTTTTACATTTCAAAGAAGGGGGTTACGATCCGCACCCCTCTGGGTACGCCCCTGCAGAGTGTGATAAATTGGGTAGCACATGACTAATCCACAGTTTTATTTCGAATGGACAGTAACCCCCCCATCAGTGGCCGCTTTTACAGATCGTTTTTTGAAGTAAATATGAAAATAAAATTACTCTCTACGGAATTCAAACCTAATTGTTTGGAGAGTTTAGCACACTCTGACACAAAACTATTTTTGTGACCTTTTTGCAAAGTATTTTTGCGACCGAGGTCAGAGGTCGAATGCTTTAGACATAATTCAATTATGTTGAAATATATTTGTGTTAGTGTGCAACAAATCGTTTTTCACAAGATTGATGCGTTGAAAAATATCATCGTACCATGTTGATCACAATAAAAAAATATGCGCTCTAGAAGTATGTGCACCAAGATAGCACACAACCTGATAACCTTAACTTGGTACACATACTATGTTCAGGTTGTGCGCCATCATGGTGCACATACTTCGAGAGCACCAAAAATTAGAATTCTGGTTGTAATTTACTTACCGAGACTGTTGGCATGTCGACAGTTCCGCCTCGTTGATTTTGATATTCTATGAATCGCTCTGCATGACTAAGTTCTTCAGCAGATTTGGCGCGAAGATATTTTGCGACCTTTGGGTAATGGCGGGTATGATGTTCGAAAATTTGGGCCTGCAAAGCAATGATTCGTTCTTCAATCTACACTCAAAACACAGAATTTATTTTTACGATAATTATTGAATTGGCGAGTTCTCTCCCCACTGAATATATTGAATACGACAGCTTCACATATATACTGCGGCAAAGAAGTTAGGTAGCAGAGTGGTTTAACTTGGAAGCTTTGTACTCGAAACGAGTTATTAGTATCTTAAAAAAGACATTGGAATGTCCGGGTTTTCATGCTATATTAAAGCAAATAGCATGTGATGTTGCGTATTTCCTGTAAAACCTTAAATTTATCACACGACATAGGATAGGATTCACATATCAACCAGGGGAGAGAAAAGTCAATAATACGGCTTAGTCATATGGCAAACCACGCTCTCTCGTCCGGTTACTAGTCCACGTAGTAGGGTATTCTACCCCCAAACCCCCGTGACTACGCCAATGCCTCTGGCCTATTCTATATATAACGTACCAAGTATAAATAGGTGTAATGTCCACTGAGTTCAACCCCGATCTGACTGTTGATCCACTTGTTCACGCGATCATCGTAACATTTAAAAACCTGGAAATATTGATCTGTTAGTAATATTAATAAAGTTTACCAAAATCTTTGTGTAATACAGACTTTTTTTTTTTTACATAGGTGACAGAGCAGTGGTATGCAACATTTTTGGTACAAGACCATCAGCATGGACAAAAAGCGGTTGAAACAGCGAAAAGGTATTAGGACAACTTTAACTGTGACATTGTAAATACCTGTGATATATGTGTTACTGTAATTTACATAATATTGGACATGAAGTGGGCCTATGGATTGTTTCGTTATTTTTTTTGATTAGCAAGATCAGTATTTATTTTCTGTGACCTCTATGGATTTGTTTTTGTGAGCTATGACGTCATCCAAATTTAAAATTGCGTCTAGCAGCAGTTTCGCTCTCGCGAAAATTTGCGTTTTTGATATTAGACATTGGGCGTGACAAGGAAGAAATTCAACTTGAAATGACTAAAGCACAAGCTGTCATATATATGAAGATGAAGGTGACCGCACATTTAAACCCGCGTACATTTGAATCCACGTACATTTGAATCCATGTACATTTGAACCCATGTGTATATCCGCGGGTTCAATCTATATGCGGGTGCTAAAACCCATGGGTTATGGTTAGTATGGGTTCAAATATCCGTAAAGCAAAAAAATTCCATAGGTGCAATAGTATGCAGGTGCGATTGTCGTGGGTTCAAATGTAATGAAACCGAAGATGAATAATATTCAATTAAATGGAATATTTAACTTTGGGACTTCAAAATTTTATTTCCCGATAACAGCAGATTTTCTGTGTCAATAGGTTTGGGTATAACTTGCACTTCGAACTCTGGATTAAACAAGAACTGTAAAACATATTTGTTTGGAGTCGTAAATGAGATCAAAGCTAAAATGACAAAGAAATCAGGCAAATAACATTTACCATCCTAGACAGATATTAAAATCAAGTTTTGACTAAAATTGTTATTCGCTGATTCAATCCGAAACATATGCACTGGTTTGAACTAGGAAGGGAGGAAATCTGTTGCAACCTAAATCGGCAAAACAGCATGACACAGCAAAATGATTGTTCAAGAGTAAAATCGCTGACTTATTATTAGCACACTTTAATAAAATATTATTAAAATTAATAGCATTTCACAGTTGTTATTGTGCGTATAAGCGTATTGGAATAGGTGTTTACAGTCGAAGTTGGAATCAGAGTTCAGAAATGCAGACTTTTTATGATAATAAAACACGTCCAAGTTTTTTTTATTTTTATAGAAATTATAAGCCATAACACTAAGCGTTCTTTCACAGTCTGGAAGAGGCTTGCATACGCTAAAATTTTGTTGTCAAAATTTGATCTCCATGGTAGTCTAAAATCGAGGTGAGATTACATTTTTTTTAAAACGTGTAGTCGTGAGTATTTGACAACATTTTTTTACCTGGAGTCGAAGGTAAATTTGTCGGACTTTTAGTTGTTCCTGAGTCAGTCAAATATTTTTATATCGAGTTATTGAAAAATCTGGCTAGAAAGCAAATATTGATACTGTTGGATAACCGAATAAACGTTTGTAAATCAGATATCTATTCGAAAAAGTTTTGCATGATTATCCTTGGAGTAGAGTCAATGTTTTACCTAATACAGTAATAAGGACTATACTCACCCCTTTGCATTCCCCTCCAAAGGCTACTCCAACCATTGACAGCAACAAGATGGCCAATACGTTCTTCATTTTGGTGATTTCAGAGAGTTTGAGAATATTTTAGTCAACAAATTTAAACTAGAACAAAGACAAATTAGATACGAAATTTTTCTATAGGAAAAGGGATCCCCACCCTTCCCCCCGGTTATGCCCTTGTGCGGGTTACAACTGCTAATGGATATTTCTTGCTTCAGCCTTCATTGACCACTGCGAGTAACAGTCTATCTCTGTCCTTCGTTCTTTACAATAAAGAATTATTTATGAATCTCCGGTTCGACTTAAGATGCTGAACTTGACACTACAATCTGTACGACGTAGTATTTCTATCATGTTCCTACGAAGAGCGTGTCAAGAGAACTAGGATCATTGACCAGATGCGAGCATTGAATGTCTGGCTTGTCCGCATTCATCACAAAAGATCTGGACCCCTTCCTCCCCCTAATTTTTGCGAAATGACCACTTTAGTAGAGTGCAAGTGGACTCAATGCTTGCTATTCTAACATTGCAAATTTAGGAATCGCGAGTAAAAATCCGAAGTTTCTCATTCAGCTATACCAGCCGAAATTGATTCCGTACGATTGTGGTCTCCTTGTTATCTGAAATCACATTCTCAAGTTGTCTGAATGCCATTGCCCGGGGACAATATAAGAAAATAACAAATTATTTGTGAGGTGACTCAGATATGAAACTGTTTTCGATAAGACGTTGCGAGTAAACGATGCGAAAAAGGCTTTGAGCAAGCAGACGATAAAAAGATATCACGGTTATGTAGCGGCCTTTTCGATTCAGGAAAGTTTGTCTGGTAGAGGTCGTTAATGAAAGTGGAAAAGCATGGTTTGGGTATTGCTCGAATACCAGCCTTTGTCTACAATGCAAAAACTTAAACTCATCCCATGCATAAACTATGACATCACAAAGAATAGTCAGAAAAGATGGCTGCCAATTTTCTGATTTGTGTTCTCCGATTCTGCTTAACTTAGGTTAGGATAAGTTATAGCTTATTGCCATAACTTTATCTGTTTACGTAATTAATTCTGGATCTTTTTTTTTCTGAAAAAGCAATCCCGCCAATGCTCAAAATAAGAAAATTACTAAATACTTAAATATCCAGTCAGGTTTCGTTGCAGATTGCGTTGAAACCCCAACTGGATATCTATTGATTTGATATTTTAAAACCTGAGGCGCGTGTTTCTCCAAACCTCACAGTCTCGACCTATTCTCGCAATAACAGACTAGTACAGAAAATTTAAACATCATCTAAAGTCTTTTTACGAACTCACTTCTCTCTCTACAAAAGCTTTTGTGACGAACAATATAGCTTGCGAAAGAATTGTTTGCACTTTGTTGCATAATAATGATCAGTCGCACTGGCGCGATAAAAACCACCGAAGTACAAAGTGCATTTGCAGGATTGTTTGCGAAGTGCTCACTAAGAGAAAAAATTAGGTCAGATTAAAAACGCGTAGGAATAGGTCAATTGGGAACTGCTGTGATAAAGAAAATGTTGTGTTTTTTAACGAGGCGATAATTAGGATTTACCTATAGGTTGCGTGACATTTAATTGCCAAGAGTACATTTTGTATTTTTTCGTGGACATATATGGATATCTGGATATTGGAACATCGATTCGTTTTGTGCCCTGTGTGCTGTAACAATCATTCTGATGTGTTAGCTTAGGTTGGAAATGTCACGTAAAGAAACTTTCAGTCATTCACAAAAGTGTAGCACAATGGATATCCACGTTACTTGTATAAAACATTGTTAAGAGAGAAATGGAAATAAAAAATCCTAACTGTAGTGCAGAAAGTACTTTCCATTTTAGTCAATGGGAACACTGACATGTTATTGCGAAAATCAGCTGATGTATGACTCATAATAAACCTTTTTGTTCGTTCATAATAATGTTCTTTGAGAGTAAACAAGTGACGTGCGTACTGCATGGTTAAGCAATTATTGCATTTCGACATTGTAGGAATATGACTGCTCAACAAAGATAGAAAAGTTCGAGGTTTTAATAAAGATGACAGCTGTGAAAATGAAATAAAAATAGAGCCGTTGCAGCGTGTGGTCTCAGAGCCGTAGCCAGAAATTTTCAAAAGGGGATGTTCTGAAATTTATAATTTCCAAGTTAGACTGTATCAGCTAGCGGGTTCGGAAGCACGAAAACAAATATGGGGACCTAAAAAGGGTTTTAAGCTGCGAAAAATTGTTATGTATGATACAGAAAAATGCATTTTTACATTTCAAAAGGGGGGTTATGCCCCTCAAGGTTACCCCCCTGGCTACGCCCGATGTGGTCTACATGCATGTTTCTAAGGTAGTTTGTGATCACATCGGCAATATAAATGCGACTTAACACCAAAGGTCATAAGATATTCTTTTCGATCTTTTCACTTTTGAGTTGAGGTTAGTTTAATAGATGATAGAGTGGAAAATGACTGTTGGCCCAGCCACATATTATCAGGAATGTTCGTAGATAGAGCTTGACACAAGACTGAATAAATAGGTGCTATAATTATCCGAAGTCTTGTACAGAGACTTTTTCAGAGAGAATGTATGAGATGAATACTTAGAAATATGTATAAAATCGACTTTTTCAGGTTAATAATGATTCAGCATAAATATATCACGCTTTCGCTACGAACAAAACTACGGGCAAACCGATATTCTATTTTTTCTATTATTTTCTTGTATCGCACTGAGTTATTGCTTTTGTGACGCCTTGTTCGGAGAAAGGCTTCTATCTCCAATCAATGCTTCATGCAAGTATTCAATATGTCTGTTTTATGAGCAGATTGGGTAGACTTGCGCTATGCTTCATTCGCAGTCAAAGAAATGCATAAGTTTGCAGAAGTATATGCATAGAAGTGAAGCGTTGGTCACGAGGTCTCAAACTTTAAGCTGACGTTGCGTTTTCATTTGTAATTTAAATTGCGTGGCATTCTAAAGAATATGTGACTTTATTAACATTCAATAACTACAACGAAAAGTTTAAAATTATACATGATTAATGTGTGTATGTATGTGTGCGCGCACGCGTGTGTGCGTGTATATGTATGTGTGTATACGTGTGCGTGTATATGTATGTGAGTGTATGTGTGTATACGTGTGTGTGTGTATGTATTTTATTTGCCCGTCAAAAAAGTAATAGTATCTGCAAAATACTTAAACAGTATAACAGAATTTAATGCGATGCGTGAGTTGTGCACGTAAACGAACCCCGCACGACTGACTATCTAATACAGTGTTCTTCAACCTTTTTTTTATCGTGGTATACCTTTTACAAGAACTTTTTTTCAAGAACTTCGTATACTTTACAAATACCAATGTTTATTTAAGGCTTAAATAAACATTTCAAACAATAAAATTTTTAAGCACATATTGTACTGCAATATCTCATGCAATCTAATAGGCTAGTGTCCGCAAGTTGCAAATTTGACTGACGGCCTTAGCGTCAACAAGAATAATGTTCAACGTAAATCAAACGAAATGCAAGACAGCCGAAATCACCAACCCAGACACGTGACCACATTATCTAAATTATTTGTGATGAAACAATGTGCTCACGTCGGTTCTTTGCGTTAATGACATTTAATATTTCATGTGCGCCGCTTTTGCATTGTTGTCACCGCTTGAATATTTTATAATTTATTAGAATCCCTGACTTAGAGATACTTTCAATGTCAATTTAACTGATTTGGGCTTTCAAGGTCGCATCATACCAACATTTTTCTGTATCATACATAGCAATTTTTCGTAGATTGGAACGCTTTTTAGACCCTTAAGATTTTTGGAAACCCACATTCCGCTAGCTCATACCTTCAAACTTTGCAATTAGAACTTTCATTTTATGTCAAGTTATTCACATCACCCCTGCGTCGTGTCAAATTCGGATAAATTGTAGGTCACTTGAGTTCATTCTGTTTGTGATGCAATTTAGGTAACAATAAGGTGATGCTTATTTGCTGAATGGATTTGACAGCGCGGACTCCTTCGAATGCGCATTATTTAATATATTAATTAAAGATATTTAATTGGGCGTCTAGCATACTTGACGTCCCCGAATAACTGCATTTATGCGTCTTTATTTGCTTTAAAATACAACTGCGTCTGCACAATAAATGAATGTTGTTATTGAAAGCTTACATTGTCTGAGCGGTATTCCTCTGCGAGGAAAGGGAGCATAAAATATATTATTTCTTCATATATCGAAGGGGTCAAAGGTATTGCAGCAGGTCTTCCACTTTTTTACGTTTCGTCTCAACGAAGTCAGACTTCCTCAGACAAGTAGTTCGCAAAAATACAAAACTTTCGAATCACTCTCTATAGTCGCTATAGTTTTTTGCAATCTCCCCCCCCCTCCCCATAAAGGCAGGGGGAAAGGTGTAGTAGTTAGGTACACATTAGTTTAAACAACCACTGTACTTATTTATGTATTTTGCAATCAGTGCATACCAATAAAATGAAGATAGCTAGAGAGAGGTCCAATAATTAGGTATATAACCAGGGGTGGTTTTAGGGTTTGCAGGTCGGAAGCCTCCTCTATTTGAAAAAATAAAAAAACTCATTTTCCGTATTTTATGTAGCAATTTTTTGCAAGTGAGTTCAATTTATCATCTATGCCTATGACGCTGCAATGCCCTAACAGCGAAGCGAACAGCGCATGTCATGAGATCAATAACCAAAATTATTGTGCCTACATCTACTAGAAATCCTGTACTAAATAAAGGTGCGCGGTTTCACCCAGTTATTTGTATCTGACCCTTCTGTATAAAAGGTTGCACACCCCTGCCCTAGATCACTCAAATTTTTGATCTATTACTCAATATTTCCTATTTTACGCAAAATTTCGACAACATTGCATTTCTGAGCCTGCCACCAATTCTATTACTTCCGACTCAGCCATTTCGATCGCTTTTTATAGTTTTCTACGAAATTCTGATTTGCCACACCTACGCCAAGCATGGCCATCGATAAATTGAGTCGCCCGACTTTCTTGGCCGTGGAAACCCGTTCTGCATGAATGGATAAATTCTGCAATGGTAATTCATGCGTGACTTTGAAGCATAGTTGTGTCATAATTACTGGTTGGCATGGGGCAGAACATACATATCTGGTAAACAGCAAACAATATGTTGTTGTCGCGCCAGCGCTAATTTGAAATTTTTTTTCTTGGATTTCGTTTATCTTAGACTCAGATTGAGATGAGATACGTTGAAGCAGTGGTTTCCAACCCATGGGTCGCGATCCAAAACTGAGCAACATACATAAATAGATGAAGATTGCAGTAATAGCCTAACTAATCCTAAATTAAGATAAACAGGATCAAAAAACCTATTTGTGGACGCTATTCTGTTATTGCTGCCAATTTCCCTATCTAACCTAACTTATCCTTGAGAAAGTATTGAACGACATAAGATAACTATTACTTCACGAGCTTATCTTAATTAAGATAATCAGGACCAAAAAAAATAAAATAATTGTGGACACTACCCTGTTATCGCGTCATCATTTTTTTTAATTTTTTTTCCCTCTACCTCAGGTCGGTTCAAGTTCATTTAAAAAGATTCAGACAGGGAATAGCCTAATCTGAGTTATTCTAGGCTAAACTCATCAGAATCGTGGTGCAAAAATATGATAGTATCATGATTGTTTTCTCTCACGTACTCTTAACAGTGTTGAAGAATGTGTTCCGTATTGCAATAAAATAAAAATATAACATCATTGACTTTACAGGTATTAACATTGGATCTTTTGTACAAATCCCTCGCCAAAAAGAAACATCCCCGCCATTGCCTAAAATAAGAAATTAGTAATTTTCCAGTCAGGGTTGGAAATGCGGATCGCGCTGAAAATTCAGTATTTCAAATCATACCTAACTACAACTGAATAATTACTCATTTTTGGATTTCCGCTTCTAGGAGACCCTTATTATCAGTCGTTCTGTGTGTCTGTTTAGATAGAGCGTCTTAATAACGGCTGGACCAATCTAGATGAAATTTTTCATGCGGGTTATCCTGTCACCTTAGTAATATGCATTTCGTAGAAAGGCCGGGTATGGATTTTGTTTCCACGGTAACAATGAAAAACGCGCCGATCGTTATGAAATTTCCATTTTTTTCACAATTTATCGCCGTTTTCTCGCCAACCAAGTCGAAAATTAAAATTCTAAAACGCTACCTTCAGCACAGCAAAATACTCTTTCCAATAAATCGTATTTGGTCTCGATACCTCATAAACTGGAGAATCCTTAGGCATTTTAGTGAACATTTTTTTATATTTATTTTAGCCACATATCAGTCACGCAAGTATGTCAACGGAACGCGCAGCGTTTAAATGAACTGGCATTTTCAGTAGTGTCTCCTATTACCTGTTAGTAAACTGAAATGACGCGGGCCTCAAGCAATGGCGGAGATCCAACTGGGCGCCTAGCCGCCTACCGGCTCATTCATTATTTTAAAACGTGGCGGTGGTGTTTTTCTGAAATTTCACATTTTTACATTAGTATTGGGAGCTTTGTACAAGAGATCCAATGTTCCCTTTTCTCTGCAGAAGTAGCCTTATAGCTTATGACTTTGTACAACAGCATGACGAAGTGGCCGCACTTACTACTGCTGGTAGCTGTATTGCAAGGGCTGGCTACGGTAAGTCTATTCACTAGAGGCGTAGCCCCCCTTCTTGAATGTGGGAGGAGCATTTTTCTTGCATCATACATAACAATTTTTTGAATTCACTAGATCCATTCTCTAATATCGACTCGAGTTAATTTTAAAAATTAGATTTTGACTGTGTGATCTGCCTGGCCTAACGGTTTTTTCCACAGGGCCATCGTTTCCCAACAGCGCGTATCCGGAACCCGATACAAGTCATATTGGAGGACAATCATTCCAGAAACTATACCATAACACTGGATGGATCCGTATCAACAGGGGCGGACTCCTTCGAATGGGAGGAACACAGGAGGCCGAGGTAAGAAAGATCGTCAGAGCCAAAATTTCTATGTTTCGTGCCGTCACTCTTAACAAGGTTGTGTATAAGAATACATTGATATGTAAGCAGGGGCGTAGCCAAAGGAAAGTTCGGGGGTCGCCCCCCTAAGAAATGTAAAAAAGAAAACATTTTTCCGTATCATACATACCAATTTTTCGACGCATGAAGTACTTTATAGACAAGGGGTTCCCAAGCTTTTTTCAGGACGACCCCAGAGACAACTTTCAAGTGTTTTGTGCGACCCCAGGCCAATATATATATTTTTCATAAAGCTTTAGAGCTTCTTCCACTAGACTTTTGAGATTGGTCATGTGGTGGTATTAAGTAAAATATGATGTAAAACCAAAATATGATGTCACAATAAGCACCTACATTTTCTATAGCATAAGCATAGAGCGATGCATATGGGCCTGTTTTACAGTAAGCCACGGTGCAAACTGCTGAATTTAACACAGTTTGTCAAATCTTAGATGTTCTGTACATCCATCTTATACCATACCTCAACGACCCCACCGACCCCATTACCTGTTTGCGACCCTACCTACTTATCGCTCCGACCCAATTTGGGGTTGCGACCCCTGGTTTGGGAACCCCATTTTATAGGCCCTTGAATACTCTTGAAAATCCGTGTTTTTCGGGCTCCGGCTGTTACGGTTTAACTTGGCTATTAGAAATTTCAGAAGCCCTCCTTCTTGGCCACGCCCCTGCTTAGTGATTCGATACTACTTATTGACAGCTGTTCAAAGCATATCGAGATCACCGAGAATTAGCGCCTTCGGGCCACAACCCGGTCCACCAACTCAGCGTTTATCAACCTTTTTCGAGCCAAGGCACACTTTTTTCGTTGATAAAATCCCGCGGCACACCACCAGCTGAAATGTGGGGAAAAGACCTAATATTCACAATATAAGAGTTATCTTGTTAATATGAGCTTTTTTAACATTGAAGAAAGATGTTGAATTGGACATCTTGAATAGTAATGAAATAAAAACAAACCAAAAGGCAAATCGCCACTTGCTGTTGCAACCTTTTGATATAGAACAGTACTACATGATTACTCTGCCGGGTTCTAGACCGCATATACACACAAATTGGAGAATTTCCCACGGCACCCCTCACAATATTTTACGGCACACTGGTGTGCCGCGGCACCCCGGTTGAAAAACACTTCACCAAGTCATGATAAAACTAAATATTTTGTGTGGCCCAGCTTGCTGTCTGAAGTTGGTTATACAACAATGTCTAACAGATCAATATTTCACATGCTTCTATCCTCAGATACGCATCAGCATCGAAGATTGAAAACCGTCTTGATGCCGTTACCAACGTTACCATTGACGCACAGCAAGGAGTCTACCGGTTCAAACTAAGCGCAAAGTCCACTGGGAGGCGCAAGAGACCAAGAACAAGCACGGCGTCCTCAGTGGTTCATGTTGAGGTGAGGAAGGTTACTGTTGTGAAAATTTCATTTTTCTTGGAACTATTGTCCAATAAATTTTCAGTATTCTGAAAGAATCTCGAAGGATGGTTATTTTTTCTGATGGTCCCCCACAAACTAAATTTAGCAGTTTTACCGTGTTTTATGGACCATAGGCGCACCGAGTTATAAAGCGCAGCAAAAAAAAGTACTATCCCATTTAGCTGCGACCCAATTTTCTTTAATTCTGTTCATCTCAGGTTAAAATATTGACCCGTAACTTGGATATCTGCCTTTCAATCTTCTTTTTTATATAGATAGACCTTTTATGGGTGCCCAAAACCCTAATTTTGCCTTTTTTTTCACCTCACACAATTCCTGTTGTCCCTATGATATAACTTCCAGATGTAAAGTCAATCACCTAATATCTTTTTTTTTCAGTCGGCATCAAGTGTCGGGATGTACATCCTTTCATCGGACATTGTGACGAGGCTATTACAAATGCAGTATCAGTATCTGGGATTGGTGAGTAAACTCGTGATCATTTCTTTATATCAGAATCAGCTCAGAGCAAAGTCACTCGCACTAACACGGCACCAACACATTTCACAATTACTATAAATGTACTTGTTTTAAACGTGCAGTCCTCTTAATTTCCAATATTGTCGTATTTATAACAGTGTTGGTTGGTAAGGTGCGAGCAGTGTTCTTCCAATCGAAAATAGAATTTCTAGACTGCTCGTATTTACTGCCGTGTTGGGGAAGCTCGAGCTACGAACTGAGCGCGAATTCTATTTACAGAGTCAACATTACAAGTCAGCTTTGCGATACTATCCGAATGTTTCCGAATACTTCCGAAAGTTAGCGAAGACGCGCGGAGCCATGTTGGATGAAGTTACAAAGTATATACTTGCTAAGCAGGTGAAAAATGAAATATTGTGACGTAAGTGTGGTATGACGTCATCATAATTATGACGGTTAGTATTTATAGTAATAAATAATCATATTTTAATCAATGTTGCCGATCCCGGGGCACTGTGTTCTAGCGCAGTATCACACTGGGCTGCGGACCGGTAACGGTTCGTTACCGTTGCTCACCGTTGTGTATTAGTGCAGTGGTCGGCAGTAACTGGGTCGCGGAACGATACTGGTCCGTCAGATACCGTTGCATACTGTGTATAAGTCGGGGGTCGACAACCACTGAACACGCCCCAGAACCGGTTCGCCAAAAGATCCATTACCGGGCCGCATTTCTTTCCATGTAAATTGTTCTAAAACACAATTTATGGAAAAGATGTATATTATATAGCAAGTTTGTGCAACAGGCTGCCCGCGGGCCATAACCCTTCCGTCAAGCCATTTCGTGTGGCCCTTTACAACACTCAGATTTTTCCACGCCAAGTATGAAATTCTGAAATTTTTTCACACTTCAAAAAAAAAAAGGGGGGGGGGGGGGGTCGACCCGCAAAACCACCCCCTGGCTACGCCACTGGGTATATGGTTCACCGACAAAAAATGTTGCACACCCCTGTTATATAGCTTTTGGTTCGACATGATTTCCGAAATGAAAAACCTGTTGTTAAGAGTTCAGTCATTACAACCTGGAACTCTTAAAACTTGAATTCTATCACCGTTCCTTTATATTCAGGTAACCGAGGAGTTATTGCAGTCTTGTCCTACCGATTTCGTGAGGATTATGATGTCAGACGGTTTCAACAAATCTATTGTCTACAACAATGACGTCACTGAGTTGATGACGTCAGCGTTTGTTGTAGCCAGGACATCAGAAGCGGAACTAGGAGGAAAATTGGCTGAAATATCTCTATACGCTGAGAAGAACAACGACTTCGAAGTAAGTTCAAATCATTTTGTTTTTTATGATAATTTGTTCGAGGCGACAGTATAACATCAGCCCCCTTCAACTAAGGAGACTCATTTCAGAGCAAAGTTACTGACAGACCACTAAAATTATAAAAGTCACCGCAACCGTACAGCTAAATTGTGGTGCGCACTCAGACAGAAGGAACGGTGACTCATCTCCGAGCAAAATAACGGATAGACTGCTGAAATACAGAGAGCAACTGAAATTGTATGTATAGATGAATGGTTCAGGAATAAGAGACTCATCTCTGAGCAAAGTTACTGAGGACCACAAAAATTAACTTCCGAAAACATAAAATTCGGGTGGTGGAGATCCGGGATAGAATAGGATTTAGATATTTATCCCGGGTGGAGAGAATAGCCGATAAGACGGCTTAACCATATGGCGAACCACGGCCTCTTGTCCTGTTACCAGTCCATGTCGGGTATGGGATTAGTTAGACAGCTATTTGTTTCAGATGCATACGGGGGCGAGAATATTAGAGCACTCGTACTAACTAATCTCTTATTATATTTCAGTTATCGGAGTTCGTGGCAGCTGACTTACTCCCTCGAGTGACGAAAACTTTGCACGAGCACACGAATCATCTTCGAACAACTTTGCGTGCGACTGAAGCATCTCCACAGCGACATCTCGCGGAATTTCTTTTTGATAAATATTTGTTTATGTAAAATTTGTTCATCAATGCTTTAATGCATTTTTGTGTTAATTGATAAAAGACAAAATTCTTATTTGGAACGTCCAATGTCAAATAATTTTCTGTTATATTTCGTCATCTTTATTTTCTCATTTTTAACAATTTTCATCAAAAAAATCGAGTGTTAAAAATGCCTCTTGCCGAATTTATTTATTAGGCTTTGGGAAGTGCTTTTCAAAAGTCTAATGTACATGGCTAATTTTATTTTGGCATTATTCAACATTTTTTTGAGAGGTCATGATTCATAAAAAAGCATTGATAATTGATATGGTAATTTATCACTTTTGCGGCAAACTGAACTGTTAATTTTATATCCGATCAGGTTGTATATTCAAATGTATATCACGAAAATTTGCAATATTTCTGTGTTTACATGCGATTCCGAGAATTTCATGTTTTGAGAATAAAAATATTGAATCCAATTCAACTCCAGAATGTAAAGTTTAATTATGAGGCGATGGAACATAAATAAGAGGTTGATACTCAAAGATATGGCCAAGAATTCGTTAACTGTTAGTTAGAACAGTGACCCCCAACCGTTTTTTCAGGCGATCAAAATAGCGTTACCTAAAGATATACGCAAATTCTGAACGGCATGTGGTACCTTATTGGCGCAAAAGCAAATTAATAATATAAATGGCTCAGCAATCAGATTATAACAATGCTGATAATTTGAGCTCCACATATTCTTCAATTTTATTGAGGGTGATATGCTTCTGCATGCTCTTATGGCAGCCAAACCCTGCAACTGAAAATACCCGAATCTGTGGAATCATAGCAACATTATAACTAGACAGCGATCGGATATCGCCGACTTATCGATCTGGGTTTCGACTCCTCCGCACTGACTCAATAGCGACACCACGTGTCCCATCGCTCATTAATTAATAACTCGCTTATTATACGACATAATTTACCCGACATTTATCAATAGGCTTCTGGTCCGAGATATGATAAATGCACATTCGAAATTTGGAGCAGATTCAACCTCGCTTTCGTGAGATATCGCGTAACGAAAGTGTCTAACAGACAAACGAACAAAAAAAAACCCAGACAAACAGACAGACAAATAACTATCAACATACTTACCGATCGAGATCGATAAGTAATAATATTGAACACATACCGGGACTATCAGCTGCCAGGTTTTTATATATTGTACAGCACTTGTGACAATAACTTCATCTCACGTGCAGGTATGGAGTGAAACACATTCTGTGATAGATTGTCATAAAAACACTCGGGAATTTTATAAAAACAGGCTCATTACCCTATAACCAGGACCTGCACCGCAAAACTTGCAGCGGTATCCTGGTCAAAGCACTCTATCTGAAATCACTATCTTTCAGGTTGTCGAAGCGACTTGTTGGTTAGATGTTTTGTTTTCTTTTATGGACGCTCAACCGTGAAACAGACGCTCCTTTACGAGTGTGTGGCTTCCGTGTTGTGGTGCTTTAAATAGACCAACTGAAAGATTGTGTCTCACAGCAGCGATACAGTCCTAGATATTCCAACAAACAAGCTGGTGTCTTAAATGATCTGGCTAGAGTGGTAAAGCCATAAGTACCACGCCCGATAAGAGACTCGAACCCTTCACCGTTGGATGTTGGACAGTTCAACGCCCTTCCGACTGAGCTGACCGTATAATCTTAAGCAAAGAAACATGTAAGTAAAATATTCACAATTGTACTTTAAGTCAATGGTTTCAAAACGAAACCGGTGAGACAGTCTTAAAAAGACTAAGAAGTTGGTGTCAATAAATTAAAGAACTTTTCTGAGAAACTATCCGACTTAGAATAAAGGTGTGTTATATTTGCATTACTGCATGTATTTATATTGAAGCCAAAAGTTCCCTTCGTTGGTTCGGATTTAATCTTTATTAATCTAGGTTGGTTAATTTGGTTTATTACTCAAACTAGACTACACACATGGTCGGCAAATTGTGAGTCGCGATCTTATTGTTGCTCCGAGCATATTCTAGTGGGCATCCATTAAATTTCATCTATGGGCAGTGATGCACGAAAAAGTTTTATAAATCCCAAAATTGTTTGCGAAGCACAATTATCCAATGGCCTGAATATTATCAACTGACAGATTGAGCCCCGTCGATATTCGGACGACACCGAGGCAAAATCAATTGTTGCGGAAATCGCAAACACTCTCGATGGTTGTTGGGCTTGAAATCTTTTACTGTCACTGTACTCAATTTTATTGTTTCGGCCTCAAAAACTTTCCACGCTAGTGGGTCCGTATGCCTACAATTCAATGACTCGTATTTCATGTCAGTGAGTCATGTAGACCAGTGCTACTCAACTGGCGGATCGCGGTCCGAATCCGGCCGGACCTATTCGAGTATCTGATATGGACCGCGCCTAATTCTTGAAGTTGGATCATTAGACCCACTTTTGAAGTTTCCTGTTATAAAGTGACTTCTATAGTTTTGAATATATATGAAAAGCACTATACCACCATAATAAACGATCTTGATTAGCTAAGAATCATTAACCGGCCGAGGAAGTGCGCGTTTAAGGATGCTGAAATATAATTTCTGGAAAGACCTGACTCAAATGATTTTGAATTTTTGTATGCGGATCTTCGGTGAAAATAGTTAAGTAGCCTTGATGCAGACAACCCAAAAAAGTTTTCTTTAGGAATCTAGAAGAGCCTAATTGTATTACAGCACGCATCAAACTAACATTTGATTAGAATAATTCACACAAAGCTTTGGCCGTATTGAACCACATTGTAATTGTGAGCACGGTCGACTTAGTAGCAATATTTTGACTTCATTTCTGTTGATTTTCTTTACATGCAATCATGCCCTGAGAACCTCCTTGATTGTCATTATACTTTTATTAAAATTGTAAACGTCTTACATAGTAAAGTGTCTTTCAACTATTTTTAAACTTTGCATCATTGGTTCATCTAACTCTTGGACTACTCGATTCTTCGATATTTTTTTCTATGTTTTATATTAGGTAGCCATTTGAGAATTGCTCTTATTACTACCTTTAACTGTTGAATACCTTTAACCTATATCAAATATTCATGTCTTATTTGATTTTAAAATTCCTGTAACGTTATGTGAAACTCTGACTCCAGCTACCAAGCACTTGATCGCAGTAACATGTACAAAATTTTTTTCCTACCATAAAGGTATGGTTTATTCGTTGGTGATCCTGTTGAGGTTACCCTCAGCAACCTGTGAGTTTCAGTGTAACCCTGCGCCAACACAATCTGACGTACAATGCCCTTTATTAGACCATGGTCATTTCACAATTGTATCATTGTGAGACCGCCTCACCGCGGCTATTTCCATGGTTAGTGGTTTTCGGAGTTTTTTTTGTTTTGTTGAAACGTGCGGCTGCTGGGTATAGCAGATCACCTCGAGGTATTTTTTTTTAAATTAACATACATAATGACTTTTTAATTTATAATTTACCGTTAGACTTATTTATGGGTGCTGCTTCTCGGTAACCAGTATATATTGGTTTTCGCGTCTCCTTCACCCTGAAATACGGTATTTTTATATAATTTATTGCAATAGTATGCCTTGTGCCTATTTTCATTTTGGTGCAAAAAATAACTACTGATTACTGATCACATAGTCGGTGTTACGCAAGGCTATCTATTCATTCTCACCTTCTGCCATTGTGACTAAAATGCGGTTTTTATGGTCACTGTATAACTTCCTTCCTAATTCAGTAAGTGCTTATGATGATATTTTCTCCATCGTAATCATTCACCCATGGGGTACCGTAACCATTATTGATGAGAATGCCAGCGCTTTTGGCCGTAGTCTAATTATGCTTGTATGGAGCAGTCTGACAGAAATTATTTTTTTGTTGAACTGTTGAATCACAAACAAGCGAGCCCGGGTTATTCAACGGAAAAATTTGGATCTTTTGTACAAATCTCCATTGATGCAAAAATGTGAGACCTGCTGAAATATTCCCGCCAAGTTTCAAAATCACAAATAAGTAAATATCCAGTTTGGGTTAGAAATATTTTGAAAATTTGCCCATCTGTATTTCTAACTGGATAATAAGTAACTTTAATATTTTATTAATTTATTAAGGTATTTATTTTAATAAGATGTTTGGTACAAAAGATCCGAAAAGTCTTGTCGCTCTCGACATAATATAGTCGAATTTATTATTTTTTTTATTTATTAAACCATCAAAACTATATAATAGCTATATAATTAATGAATAAATCGACACTGTATTAGTCTTTATTCAAATTTGTAGAATGGACTTTTGTTTGAGGAAATGAAAAAATTCTCTCCTCAGTTCCAGGAAGTACGTCGGTCGCTTACTTCTTTGATGCGTGGTCTACGGTCAAAGGTCACCTGCGGATAGAAAAGGAAATATAATATTGTTATTTATATTGGGACGTTAGCCCATGATGGAAGATTAAGCCCTTTTATGAAACGGAAGTATCATACAAAATAAATATGGAGATAATTAAGTGCCAAGCACGGTTTTAAAAGCAATCCATGAAGCAGCTGTTCAACTGGAATATAGAATGACTCCTAGTTGAAAAATTGAAAATTGCTGAATTATAATGATTAGAGCTGTTGAGTTGGAGAGATAAATTTTCTATTTTTAGTGATAGTAATCGAGGTCAACATTTTCCATTTATACTATAAAAAGCAGTCGATTGACAAAGCAAACAATTAAAAAGTAATGTTTCAAAGTTTGTTTTCTCCGAGTTGTGGGTAGGCCCATAAGTTGTTGAGAACCATACCATAGTCAAATTTTTTGTGAGAGACTCCACATCCTTATATGTGTGATACCACATTTTTATACCTAACATAAGCACAATTGTGATTGGATATTCACAAAGCGGAATATTTATCATTGTGGATGGTTTTTCCAATACCTTTTTATAAGTTACAAATATTTTCTTCACCTCCAAGTTTGAAAACACTCCAAAATGAAAAATGAAAATCTGGGGGCATACTGGGGGCTGTGTGTAAATCTTGTTTGACAGCCTAATCAGACCTACCTTTCGTTTTGAACTCCCGAACGAATCAAGTCTCTGTTGGTCAGGATATGATGAACTGCGATGTAACGATGGATTATTCCGTTTGTTCACCGATGAAAACGAATCTCCGACTCTGATGCCGTGTTGCTGTGATTTGTAGAATATAAAATTTAGGTACATAATAAATCAAGCAGTTCTGACTGAAATAGATGAAACAACGCGCCAGGTAAATTTCTGAAATTCGTGTTTGCCGAGTTAGACGATATTAGCTAGCGGGCCAGGGGTATTTAAGTAATAATCGATATATCATTGATCATATCATAGAAATAATATTAATCTAAAAACTTATTTCAAGTGACCGGTTAGGTTATTGGAGCCTGGATCAAAATCTTCCTGTTTCGACATGCAATTGATTGATTATTGCATCACATCACATTATTATTACCTCATAATCGCTTGTATAAATCGGATCCCTGTCATCGTCTCCCATGAACCATTGTATCGGTGGTTTGTTGTCGTTTACACTTTTACTTCGTTCCTTCCTCCCATTGAATTCGTTCCTTTCATTGAATTCGTTCCTTCCATTGAATTCGTTCCTTTCATTGAATTCGTTCCTTTCATTAAATTCGTTCTTTCCATTGAATTCGTTCTCAAATTGTTTGTTTTCTTTCCAATTTCTTCTTTCTGTTTGATTCGCATTCCGGGAATTTGAGTTTTCTCTCCATTCCATTTCTCTTTTGTTAACATTTTGACTTCTGGAACGTTCACCGCTCACACGGTCGGTATTGTTGCTTCTTTCAGCTGCAAGAAATGCAAAGTAAATCTTATTGCGCGAATGATTTGGTTTCTGCGGAATTAACTACTTATCCTTCTTCTGTGCATTTGTGCTTATGGATTCGTATGCATATAATGCAAGGATGCTGTAGCAAGAGTAAAGATAACTATTCCAAGTGAATCAAGAGTCCTGCTGCACACTAACATGAATATATTTCTGTGTGTATTAGTGAAGCTGCCAATACAAATAAAATGTTTACAAACCGTTGCAGAAATACAGGGTGTTAATGAAGTCCTGATTGTTTAAAAGTATTTATCGATAACATATATTGTTTGTTGGCCCGACCTGATGCGATTGATGAAGTAAAAACTCAAATAAACACTGATTAAAATGAAAGAAGCCAGGTTAACAGGTATTGAGAACTGGCCTGCTAACACAATTAAATTAAGAACGTAGCTCTATGAAAACTGTGTGTCATAATGTCAACGTGCAGCAAAACCTCGAATAAGCTCGAACAGTTGTAACAAATTTTAGTTTGCAACTTTCTAAACTATCGAATATAACCCCAATTCGTTTTTGACTTTAGACTCCAATATCTGAAATAGTGCAAGTAATTTCCCACCGGCATAAAACAATGGCCCTCATATTCACGAGGCAATGAAGTCCTCGATATTTCTCACGATAACTAGGTCATTCGATCACTTTTACAAAACGTTTGACTTTAATAACAGTGCCGATGGAAAAACAACTATCTTGCTCTAGAATAGAATATATTATCAATCACCCCTATCAAAAAACGTCATTCACTTTACTCATGCTATGTTATGGTTCGCATTATACACATGGTCTATTAACACAAATGGCAGAAGATGTCAGGCAGTTAGTCTTGTTGATTTAATTAGAATAATTGAAACGCACTGTAAAAATTAGTTCACTGCATTTCTACGACAAGCAAGTGGTCCCCAAACGGAAGCCCGCGGGCAAATTACGACCGAGTAAAGATTTAATAGGACCGTGAAATAGTTTGACATGTTTCTACGTTTTGCATTATATATACCGCTCATTTATATGACAATATATGTCACAACTGCAGTAAACCTACCTTCCATGTTTTGAAACTGCGGTCCGGAGAAAGCTCTTTCAAGATCGAGTGTGTTGTAGAAATGACTCCCATTCTCTGAGTACGGATACGTTGTGTTTGATCCTTGACTTGGAATTGAAATCGGTTCCTGTAAGTAGAAAATAAATTCCTAAAACGACGTCTTGTCACAGGTGGTAACCAACCTTTTATATCTCATGAATATCTTTTAGCCCTCATGGGGACTTTATTTATCATTCCAGTGGTATTTATAATGTTACTCTTGATTTTTACATTCCAAATACGATTATGTTCAAACAATTCATGCTCAACAAAGTGAAAAACACCATCTGAAGTAACCTTATCAAGCAATAAAATTCAGAAGAACGGGGAGATTTTTAGTAAAAGTAAAACAAGAATATCGGTCAGAGATCGAAGACCTATCGATCGAAAGTTAGGGGATCCCCCAAAACAGCGCTCTTACTCCATAATGACACCTTGTGTACCATCACTAGTTAATTAATAACTCGCTAATTATACGACATAATTCGCCCAAAATCAATAGGCTTCTGGTCCAAGATATGATGAATGCACATGCAAAATCTGGAGCAGATTCAATCTTGCTTTCGTGAGATATCGCGTGCATCTAACAGACAAACAGACATACATACAGACAGACACATACATATCAACATACTTACCGATTAATATCGATAAGTAATCAGTTTAGCGTCTGGGATGGTGGCCCTACTCTAACTGCTCTGTGGCCTACTTGGTGGGCCACGATCCCCCGGGTGGGAACCACTGTTCTAGCTAGACAATCATTCGCGAATAGAATGTAGGTTAGAAGGAATCTTCCCTATTCGGCAATGCCTACCAAGTTTGCTGGATTCTGGGTGAGGTGGTGAGCATTGTATTTGCACTATATCAGTGGTTTCCAACCTTTTACTGACTGTGTGCCATTGATTTTTTTTATTCCGGTCCTGTATCACCGACAAAGCCACCGTTTTTAGGTGGAAAACAATGGCTCAAAAACGCGCTATGGGAGTGTTTTATAATGTGACACTACATCTATTTTTAAGAACTTCGTGCAAAGTTTCAACTTATTAATTACATTCAGTAATAACGTAATGAATGATTGCGTGTAAAATCGTGAGATAATTTGCATCGTCTACTGTCAGAGTTGGCTTTAATTATCGCAATCAATGAATTATCGCTAATCTCGGGCGAATACACTCTGATCAGCAATCTGTAAAGACAAGGACTGGAACCACTGCCCCGTATTTCCAACTTGCACAGCCTAGTTATATATGATTGCCTTATTTTACCTTATTTCTTGAAATAGCTCTACTTTGCACACGAGATCTGGTAGAAGGTCTTCCAGCATGCGACGACATCGCATCAAACACGTCCAAGATATCGTTCGTCTGTTCAGTGTCTCGACTTGTCGATGACCGAGCAAATCCGACCGAACTTTGGGACGTTTTTCTCGGGAATCCGAAATCATCAAATTCATTTCTGCTTGGGGGAATCGACGATATTGATCTAGTTTAGAAAAAATTGAGAAGAACATATAAGGGTCGATAGTTTAGTGGTTACAGAATATAGCTCAAGGCTTCCCAAACTTTCAAGCTAACGACTCGTTCCAACATATTAAAAAAATTCCGCGACCTGAAGATCTATAAGTAATGAATTCTAACAGAGTCAAGGAACCATTCGAATCGCTTCCGAAAATTGCATTCTGCTTCAATGTTGTACTTCATCATTAAAAGAAATATCTTGCGAACTATATCTTCAATGCACCATGCTGCTTTATGATATTGGGCTAATTCGAGAGGCCAGCCAATCACTCGGTTGTTGCTACTGGATATCTACCAAATGAATTTTATAGAAGGAAATTGGTATAAAGTTTTATATTTACCTGTAGTCGTAATAGTCATCTGTTAGGATCTGTCCTGGTCTTGATGCAGGTCTGAACGATAGTTTGCTGGTTCTGCGGGAAGAAAGCTTCTCTGTCGCCTCTGAATTCTGACTCGTTGAACGACTCATGTTCTTTGAACTTCTTCGATTGTTCGACGAACGACTAAAATTTCTTGAATCTTTGTCTGTAATGGTTTAGTATGTGATTTGTAAGTTATAATTGTTTAACGTGAAAGCCATGAGCAGTGAACGTAACCTAATTTATCATTCGGAGATACTATGCTAAATCTCAGCTTTCATCAGGAATATGTGTTTTGCTTTAAATAAAAAACCACACAAAACCTCTATGTAGCAATTAACAATACCGATGTATGATACCATCGGTGCTATGTGTAATGAATATGCAGTACTATGGCACATATCAGCATATATTTTGACACTTTCAATATTGATTTTTGAATAGCACGTTTGAGGCGTAAATTAATGTGTATTGAAGTTTTTTTTTTAAAAGCTATAGTATAGTCAGACAAAACTAACAAAACGAAGGACAAAGATTTCTGGTTCATACTTCATGTCCACCTCTTTACCTAGGCTGTGGTAAATTGAGTGAGCCGAGCCGAATTTTTTTAATAGTACTTTTTTTTAAAGCTACTTGCACGTTGCTCGGATTCTTTGAAAAACGCAGTTATGCCAATCGAAAATACAGTTAGAGTCGATTTTCAAAAGTTATCGGTACTGCTATCGAATGTATGTATAGGAAAAAATTGGAACGATACAGAGACGGGTACTAATTCTAATATTTCGAGACTGTACATCATGCACAGGTATGAAAGCAGTCAAGTGTAATATAATAACAATGCAAAGAAGAATTGGAAGTATTGCAGTAATCAACAGAAATTGAAAAAAAAAAAACATTACAATATTAGTAGACTCACTCGAATTGACTGAAACCTTTCTTTCATCCTGATGTTTCCAACTCATTCTTGAATCCGAACTTATCGTTCGGGCCATGTTCGATCCGCTCCTTCTCGATTCTGCTGCCCTGGAACTATAGTGATTGTTCGTTAGTATAATGATGCGCGCTAATTAATTAAAGACTAAATTGGTATAAAGAAAGACCGGGAAGTTTTAGTCTGGTGTCTCTCGAACCAAATAAAATATAGAAGTATATGGACCAAGCAATGTTTCTTCAGAGCAAAATATTCGCCAACATTTCTCGGACCAGTGAAAAAATGCTTAAAATCTGAGACAAAAGACTGTACTGGTCTCAAAAGCGTCAAAATATTAGTCCGATACTATCTATCAAAAACTTGTAAAAAAAGTAATATGTTTCCCAAAACAACAGAAAATTGATTAAAAAACTTATTTAAGATTCGTAAAATTTAAAAAGTTTATGACTTGCTGAAAAACACTGCAATGGAAAACTCAAAATAGTTGAACCTTACAAATTCCAAACTATCACATCTTTGGGCTGTTGTTATATTTCGCCTGAAGAAGTTAAACTATGGTGTGAAAAAAACTTAATAAAATACAGCCTACATTCATAGAAAGAAATTATGGTACCCTTACTCATATTCATCAAGATCTCGTTTATGCATCCGTATTTATGCAACTTGAACCTCCAAAAAACGACTACTAATTTGATGAGCGAAATCCGTAATCACAAAAGTTTATAATACTTGATACTTACTCTTTATCCCCCACTTGTGATATAAGCTTTTCAATGAAATCATCTCCGTCCTGAAGTTTGTCCTTTTGTTTATCCTTACTGATCGTCTGAAGGGCTTCACGGAGAGCCGTCTTGTAACCCTGAAATAATATGTCAGTTGTTTAGCGTTAATTCAAGTTTGCTCAAAGCAAGGTCTGAAAAACCCAACTAACAGTGGAAAGAATATTGGTAGAACAGTTGCAAGTTTGCTCAAAGCAAAGTGCCAAGCACTCAAACAAAAGTAGAAAAGAGTGATAAGAAGCCGGTAGGCGCCCAGTTGGATCTCCGCCATTGCTTGAGGCCCGCCTCATTTCAGTTTACTAAGGGATAATAGGAGACACTACTAAAAACGCGAGTTCATTTTGAAAGCTGCGCGTTCCTCTGAGTTCATTTCAAACGCTGCGCGTTTCGTAGTCTTACTCGCGTGACTGGTATATTATGGCTGAAAATTGAAAAATAATCTTCACTAAAATCCCTAAGGCTCCTCCAGTTTATGGAGTATCGATACCAAAGATAATTTTTTGGAAAGAGTATTTTGCTATGCGGAAGGAAGCGTTCTTGGCGAGAAAACGGCGAGAAATTGTAAAAAACAGACAGACAGACAGAAAGACAGACAGACAGACAGACAGACAGACAGACAGACAGACAGAATAACTGATAATAAGGGTCTTCTAGAGCGGAGATCCAATAATAATAGAAAGAGTGTTGCAAGCGACCAATAATACACTAAGGTACTGAGATACAAGTTTGCCCAGAGCAAGACAAACATACAAGGCAAATATCTGGATAACTACCTTCAAGAACGCATCTCGTGTCGTGTTCTCTTCCACCGCATTAGCAATGAACGAATTTGATCTCGGTAAAGATTTTGACTTGGAACCTCTCGACACCGGACGACCAAGCATGTCATGCAAGTCTTCGTTCTCTATTCCCCACTCAGCCAAGTTTCGACTCGATTTACTGGATCTGAATTTATTTATTTTCGTTTAATAAATAGTGAGGAATGTGTTTTGTTAGCGAGAAAATTAGTTTCACTATTTCGAACAAACAACGTGAATGCAATTAAAATACTTTTAAAAATAGGGCATTTTATAACCGAACAGGATTATATTGTAAATAGGTTTGAATTTTTCATGGGTTTCGATATATTACAATATATGATTATTTTAGGGTGTTAAGGTAGCAAGTCATTATACCATCAAAATATGTTCCCGGTGAAACTTCCCAATTAATTACAATTTAAGATTGTAGGAACTCACCTTCGACCTGATAATGACCTTTGACCCTCTGAATAAAGATCGTTATCAGTGAGATTCGGCAAACTTCGACTTTTGTAGCTGTAACCTTTACTACTTCCGGAATATCCTCGACTTCCGGACGCTCTGCTCGTCTCAGCTCTGCTGTCGTATCCGCGGCTGCTGGCTCCAGCCCTGCTGTCATAGCCTCGACTGCTGGTTCCAGCCTTGCTGTCGTAACCTCGACTGCTGGTTCCAGCCTTGCTGTCGTAACCTCGACTCTGCGTTCTATGGCTACTAGTTCCTGATTTCTCAGTATATGGTGGGGCTGGCTCGTCCCAGTACTCGTACGGATTATAATAAGGGTCGACTGAATACGCTGGGTCTCCCATAGGGAACCAGTTGGGTCCTGTATACATCCCAACGTCTCCATATAAAGACTCAGACCCCGGGTAATGCGGGGGATAACCCCCAAAATCCCCATAAATTGATCCATAGTCATCATACATCGTGTAGCAGCAACTGTATGGGCATTCTTCGTCATAATAGAGTTCATCGTGGGGAATCCCCTTGTGATCTTGAGCAGACTTGGGAGGTAAATTATTCCTATTGTACCGTGGGTCATAAGGGTGCCCTTTGAATGGGGGTGCTTGATTTGGGGGCCTGGAGATTGTGGGGGGCTCCGGGGGGTTGTAAGATGCTGAGTTTTGTTGAGGGTATTCTATCGGGTAGAAGTTATTGGGTGGAGGCGGGCCAGACTGAGCGTGGCTGACTGTATGAAATGGCTGTGATACAGGGGGTTGTATAGGTGTGAATGCACTCCTGGGATCAAATCGAGGGTCGTTTGTTGGAGGATATTGTCCCCCCATTGAGGACTGTGACATTGAACTTAGTAAAGGATTGTTTGGCATTAGTGTCCCCATGTTGGGAACCGGTGTCCCCATGTTTGACATTGGGGCTATAGCTGGCACTGCTTCACCTGCAGAAATATATAAATAAAAGCTTTCAGCTGTTGAAATATTTTTCACATATATAGGGATGATTTGATATGATGTAATGACAGGCCAACATACTTTTACAGATGAGGTCATTCGAATTAAACTAATGATTATATACTCATCCGCATTCATATACTGCAGTCTATATGGCAGTTTATTGCCTTATGCAAATGGGGTCGTTCAACTGGCGATTGAAACTCTATGCAGGCGTTCCCAAGCTTTTTTCAGGACGATCCCAAAGACAACTTTCAAGTGTCCAGTGAGAACCCAGGTCAATATATATTTTTTTCATGAAACTTTAGTAGAGCTTCTTTCACTGAATTTTTGAGTTTGGTCATGTGGGGGTATTAAGTAAAAAAAGCTAAAATCAAACGGTGATGTCACAATGAACACCTACATTTTCTATACCTTAAGCATAGAGCGATGCCTATGAGCCTGTTTTACAGTAAGCCATGGTGCAAACTGCTAAATTTAACATGGTTTTTCAAATCTTAGATGTTTTGTACATCCATTCTCTATCATACCTCAGCGACCTCACCGATCCCATGACCTGTTCGCGTCCCCACTTATTTATCATCCCGACCCAATTTGGGGTTGCAACCCCTGGTTTGGGAACCCCTGAAATGTATTCATCTCTATTCCTATCCTCCTGTCTTTATGGCCGCTCGATAGCGCACTATAAACGAGGCCATTCAAATGGTATTGGTGACAGTTTATATATTACTATACCATGCACCGATAGCAACTGTACAAGAGTGTAGGAAATAATTGTTATTTGAACAACAACCTCTTTCAGGGGTAAGAAAGTACATTTTGACTTGTTGTTTGTTGTATTCGTCGTTTGACGACAGCTGTCGTCTATCATACAATAAACAACAAGTCAAAGTAAGTCATATAACTAATCATTAGCATCGGCTTTTCTCGCTACGGATAAATATAAAAAAGCCTATCCTGAGAAATCCCAAACAATGACTGTATACCGAGCACTTACTCGGGTTGAGTATAGATCTCCACGGTTGTTGTTCGTTCATCACTGCTTCAGCGATCCCGGTCTCAGGAGGAAGGAAAGGCTGTGGTAGACGACCTTTATGATCTTGCAACGCCTTGTAAGACATTAGATAACGGTTCACCATCTCGGGATTCTGACTGTAAATACAATGATTGTGTTATATATAATACCGTGTTTCTCCTACAATGATACCCAAAATACTACCTGTGACTGTGTAAAGTTGCTTCACGTGTTTTTTCTGTCTGGTATTTTACTAATCGGTTGCTGTCGGTTGCTGTCATGGTGCATTAGATTTAGAACTGCTCCGATTTGAATTACTTTATGTACTTCAGTTTACTCTGGGTTCAAACAGATTATGACTGTATTTTACCTGCATAAATCCTTCCCATACATGCGGAACATTTCTTCAACTGGATTCCCTGTAAATGCGTTCGGATCCCGAGATAATTCATCAAAGAAACACGTCGCCAACTGCAGATTCTGCTGAATTGATTCTCGTTCTTCTTCTTCTGACATAGCAGGAACCGAGTCTGGAAGTAAGTTCATAGTTCAGAACAAACCAAAAAGCAATGCTCAATTTTGCTAATTACAATTAATTTGCGACAACCTTAAGCGCTGAATAATTGTAATCATCGTTGCAATTTGCGCGGAATACTTCGATGTTAGTTCGGGTTCAGAATGGAATTAAGACGGCATAACTCTGGCAAGTTTTAATTTTGGTTGTTGGTAACATAGAATCCAAGCGGCTATAAATATCCACAACTTTCTATACCAGGGGTGGGCAAGATTTTTGGACCTGGGGGCCAAGTGGAGAACTATAAGCCTCGTGGCAAAACTAAATTCAATCGCAATCTTAACAAGCCTTGAGCTTGTTTTAGCTAAAGTATCAAAATTTGTTTGGTTGTGGCAGCATCAGACGTGACCGATTGAATTACCCAACGCGCCGGATTTAGCCTGCGGGCTGTAGTTTGCCCATGCCAGATCCATACCTAGCTCATATTTTACTTGAATCTAAAATCTCAATAAAAGGTTTTCCAGCTTACCGGGTTGTTGTTTGGCGTTCTCGTTTGATTTTGCTTCTTGGAGAATTTTCTCCGATAACTTGAGAGCGTTGAGCGCCATCTGTGTCAAGTTCTCCGCCATTGCCGGCTGCAACGATTAAAAAATTAGACATAATATCCATATACCGGTATATATGTATGTTTTGTATATTTCTAAATGATGATAAAAGCCATTGATGATTTTTATGTAATTAATAGAACATTCTCACGATAGGAATATGATAGAACAGCTGTTTCAAAACTTTTGCTCGTGCGGCTCCAAATTGTTGTATTGAAAACTCAATACTTACATCACAATTTCCAGATTTATCCAACGCTTCTCTCTCCTGGCGAAGCTGTTCAGCCAACTTTTCCATTTCATTGATATCAGGAGGGCTTTCACCTGGGAGAATCGAGAGGATGAATATATTGCAGTGATTCGATCAACACAGCAGAGTATATACTATTTTTTTCAATTTTGCCATGTCAAGCTCATTTTTTCCAACCAGTGAAAATATATCACAAGCACAAATTACGAGAAAATGATAATTTACACAGTTGTTACTGAGAAGGGAAGTCGCGGGGAACCAAAGCTGGTTATCGAGCATCCGTTTTTAAAACTAGTTTGTTCAAGTCACGCGCACTCAGAAATCAAATATTATTCTTCTCAGAGAAAAGTTACAAGCGGGCAACCATTGAAATACCTATAACTGATAAAGCTATGTAGATTTATGAAAGTGCATTCGGCAGCAGTAAATAATAATAAGCGCTACCCTTGTAGCAGTTCATCTGATCATGAAACATATCCAAAGTAGTGGTGACGTTTACAAAACTGTTTTGAATTAAATTGTTAGTTTACATTGATAAATGAAAATTTATTTGTCGCGATCACATTGACAAATAGAAATGCTTAGCATGTGTGATATTTTTCCACGAGGAAAAAATTCTGTGGCCTGCGGAAAAGTGACAATTTCAAATCGTTCGCGGCCAGCGAAACGCATGTAATAAGATCGATAACCAAATTTTTTGTGCCTACAACTACTACAAAGCATATTTTAAATAAAGATATGGTCCGCAGTTTCACCCAGTTATTTGTATCTGGCCCTCCGTATTAATGCCTGCCCTAAGTAAATATTATTTTGAAAGCATGACAATAAACATGTGTGCTGATGGCTGGTGGTTAAAGAATCGCGACAATGACGTTATCGCCAGGCTTGTCCATGATACATATTGCACCACCCCAAGGAATTTCCACCTCCCACTTCAATCTCAAATCCCCCCTATCAAATTCTCTCGCTCGATAGCAATGAAAATTTATTAAGTTATGTGTTGACGCAGAAAACGTAATGTTATATAAAATTGACCGAATTGTCGTACGTGTCCCGCTAGTCTTAATTGTCTCACGTGTCACATGGAAAATACCAAAGCGTCCTATCCTATCCCACGGAACGTTTCCCATGGGAATCCCATTTCCGTAGACGAGCCTGGGTATTGAAGGTTAAAGCCCTCAGGTTCCCAACCCCAGCCATAGGTGTAACAGAGTAATAGCGTTTCAATTATTCTGCTACTTGTAAAAACTGTGACTTATTATCTGTGAGTGAATGCCTGTACATAGCTCTGCTCCAAGTGCAATACTTTCATCACAAAATGTTGACACCACTTACTTGAGGCGAGAGACGATCTTGAATTGAAACCAGTATCTTTCGATCCAAATGGGCGGCCATCTTTTTTGATTTCTGTTTGAGAGAAATAAATTGTTACCAAACAAATATTGATACTTTGACATGGTAAATTATAAAATGAGTGCAAGACATGGCGGTGTGGCAAATCGTGTTAAGCGTTAGGAATACTTTTGACACCGCATCTCTGATTACCTTGCGTTCGCAAGTTCGAATCCAATGCAAGGTTAATTATGTGCGAGAGGATTGCTGGACACTTTGCCACCATAGCTTTCACGTAACCGCTGGTCGGTTCCGCTATTCTCCGCCATCAAGCTTATGCATCTGAAAACAAATAACTGGTCCAATACACGACGTGGACTGGCAACAGGACATAAGACCGTGGTTCGCCCTATTGTTAAGCCGTCTTTTAGGCCCTCCTCCCAACTTAATGATGAAATAAGTCAACCGAAGAATATTACTTTTTTTCTAATTTTTGTTTGTGCTCGATCGTTGTACTTTAGCGTAAAGTTTTCGCTTGTTGATTACTATTTTTAAATTGAAAGAAAGCCGCACTCACTCTGAGCAAGTTCTTTCAAATCAATTTCTGGCGGCGGACAATCATAAACAGGTGAGTTGACGTCAGAAAGCGAGGCTGCACGCTTGAGTGGTTTTGAGACTTGAGTATATGATGGTTTCGGGGTCGTAGGTCGGAGGTCATGGTTCATATAGATCGCTTCCTGTATAAATGGTGCTGGTGGTCGCCTGAAACGAAAATACATAAAAGTGATTTTGTTTGTACATACGTGTTTGTTATATTTGTATTTCAAATGTGTATACTTTCGGAAAACCAGATAAGGCATAGTGAAAGGATAAGTTATTGACTTCGCGTAATCTCAATCGGTACCGCGTTTCCTCTGCTAGAATAAGACATATCCTGGGACCTAGAATGAACTTTAGGTTCCATTACATTTGAAGCCACGTACATTTGAACCCACGACAATTGCATCTGCATACTAATGCACCTATGGAATTTTTTTGTTTTACGGATATTTGAACCCATACTAACCCTAATTCATGGGTTTTAGCACCCGCATATAGAATGAACCCGCGGATATACACATGGGTTCAAATGTACGGTCACCTGAATTTTAAACATGAACTTAATAAAAGCTAATAATATAAATTTAAAATAAGACCTAGTCGACAGCGCGAATTTTTTTTTTACCTAAACGATAGCAAGAAATCTCTCCTACACGTTTTAAATGATAAATCTAAAACGCGTGAAAGAGGAATGGATATCGATTCTCATATTTTGTATATTATGAAAATCTCGGAATTCTCTACTTTGTAATTTTGTTTTTGAAAAATGAAAATAAAAGACATACCCTTAAACAAGCCCTAGTGTTATTTTTCGGAAGAAAATTGAAATAAGATCTGGTCTAATTTTCGGGGAAACACGGTAGTTTTGTCTTACCTGTTAGGCATTCGTCTCAGCGGTCTCGGTTTAGACAAATTATCAAAAATATTTGGATCATTGGTGACTTCATCCACTGCCTCCTTGAAAGTCTTCTTTGTGGAAATCAAAGAAGCTCTTGAGTCTGAACGAGATATCGGGTCACTGGGTCCTGCTTCATCGTCTGGTACAAAACTTGTGTTGACGTAGATCCGATCTCCGTAGTCTTCGCTGAAAACAGGCCTGATAATGGGTAAGTATAAATGTTACGAAAACGAGAAACAATAATGATAACAAACAAGAATATCAGTCAGAAACCGAAGACTTATCGATCGAAAGTTAGGGGATCCTCAAAACAGCGCTCTTACTGACACCTGTGTCCCATCACTAATTAATTAATAAATCGCTAATAATACGACATAATTCACCCAAAATCGATAGGCTTCTGGTCCGAGATATGATGAATGCAAATCTGGAGCAGATTCAATCTTGCTTTCGTGAGATATTGCGTGCATCTAACCGACAGACAGACAGACAGACAAATACCTATCAACATCCTTACCGATTAAAATCGATAAGTAATGAATGTTAGGTAGACGGCAACAGTACTGAAACAATCGAATGGATGTGACTGTCAGACTGATAAAATCGAATTTCTATCGAAATGCCGATAATCATATCGTTGTTCTCAGCATAATTTCAACAAAATAGCAAGTGCATTTGTAAGCTCATGTTAGTTCATAACATTTTTATAGGCAAGTATAAAAGTTAGAAAAACGAGAATTAATAAAAATAACAAATGAATGTAACAACCAGAATGATGAAATCAGATTTTCAACAAATCGCCGACGATTTGTTGGCAATATCATCTTGTTTTTAGCGAAAGTAGGTTAATTAAATCGGAATTAAGTAATCACTTTCATCACATTAGCAAGTACATTTATGAGATTCCGTTAGTTCATAGTCATAACTTCTGGGGACAAATAAGTTATAACTCAAAATAAACAGCGAAAAATGGATGCAAAAAGAAGTCTAATGAACCGGTTTAGTCATCGTGGAGGTACAGAGGCGTGATGCATGGAGTGTAAGATGTCAAACAAATCAGGGTAGTCTAGCAATTAACTAAGGTAAAACTAACACGCAACACGAAGCCACGGTACCCTTCGATCCAATACCAGATTTTCAACAGAATTAGGCCGCCAGACAAGCAAGTTTTTTTGAATGTGATTATGGGAATGTTGGGCATCGGAAATCGTAAGCCTATTTTTGCGCTGTGGAAGGGGTGGTGCAACCTGTGGCCCACAGGCCAAATGCGACCGACAAGAAATAATTGTGAAGCCCGCGAGGAAGTGCCAACTTTGAATGTTAGTTTAAACAGGCGAGTGCAAGTAATCTCAATCCCTTTGCGTTTCGAAGCCTATACCCGAGTTCAATTTATTGTCTGTGCCTACGACGTTAATACGCCATAACAGCTAACTTGAGAGGGACAACAAACGTCAATAGATCAATACCCAAAATTTTTGTGCTTGCTATTACCAGAATGCCTATTTTAAATTAAATTGCGGCCCGTGGTTTCACCCACTTATTTGTATTTGGTCCTCTTGTATTATACACCATTAAGGTTGCACACCCCTAGTTTACAGCAACGATAATTTTTTTTATATTAGTGGTTGAATACCAAGGCTTCAGCATCTTCGGCGCCGCCAACAACGCTACAAATCCTTTACCTTGTTTCTTTCTTTTCGGCCTGTCTGCGAGGCAAAGCGTCCGGTTTTGATCGATCTTTCTTCGGTTTGTTCCTCTCTGATATTGTTTTCATTCCTATTTCATCTTCAGCTTAAGATTATATCATATTATTATCATATTAATCATCCTATTAATTAGCAAGACCATTCCATGAATTCTAGAACAGTGTTCCTCAAACGTTGGGTCGCCCTCCGTTAGGGTGGCATAGACAATTTTCGAGAGGGAATGGAGCAAATATTTACGTTCCATCCGTATTTTCAACAAGTTTTTTGAATTAAACATACTTTCACCTTACTATCTGTTATTTGTAGCTTATTGTTAGCTAGTTATTTTTGAGGCGGGGCGCAAGACTTGATAAATTTTAAAAGGGGCGTGACGTAAAAAGTTTGAGAATCACTGTTCTAGAAATCCAACTTGCTGTAAGATCTCGTTACTTGGAATGTCGTTATAATCAGCAATCCGTTTGTTTGTTTTTAGCATTATCCGCCCGCAGAAAAGCTTGACGTACAGCCATTAAATAGGGTAGGCTGTGTCAGACTGAAAAATTAGAATACGAGGTAGCTTCCCATGTATCAGTCAATTCAAATCCAGGACCAGTGCTGGATTAGCCATTGAGCAACAATAAACCCGTGCTTAGGGCACCAAAGGAAAGGGTGCGCCACAGAAATTTCCATAGATTAATTTTCAATGGTGCTAAGTGTTTAATTCATGAAACACAGACCTGAATATTATCCATTTGAAATAAAGTTCTCAAGTAGCCTATCATCTGCATCCATGCTTGTAAGTATGAGAACTGTTGCAATTAAATATAACTTGGCGTTCAATCAGCAATGAATATTGAAACTTACTCATCATATTTCAGATGACATAAAACACCGGTTTCATCATTATTACCCTATTATGTATCCAAAATCTTAAGTGGTTAGGAGAGAGGTAAGCAAGGTTTTTTGTATCAGGGGCAAAAATGTTGCCCATTGAGACTGGCGGTTATGTAAGTGTGACAATATTTAATATAATATTAACAGTAATACAATACAATACTTACAGTAAATATTTACAGTATTACAAAAGCAATAGTGAAAAACAATAAGCCTTGTGTCAAAACTAAATTTAATGGCATTCTCAACAAATTCCTTTTTAGCTATTTTTTAAGCTAAATTTCAAAATTTGTTTTCAGTTTAGTCGGGCCAGATTGAATTATCCAACGAGTCGGATTGGGCCCGCGAACGTTAGTTTGCCCATGTCGAGCTTAGAGCCTCTAAAAGGCATGATCCGGCCCTGTTGAGAGCCTTGTTCGCAAAGGTTTGAAAACTAACATAAAATATTTACCTGTATTTGTTCTCGGTTTTTTAACTCCGACTTTGGCTCCTCCGGGTTGCAACGATAGAGGGGGCTGCTGAGTCGAAGATGGGGTGGGGTTTGTGCCGATTTTAGGTGAATCCATGTATTTTAGAAGTCTTAGATAGGAGATCAGGACCAATGTAATGTAGACCTGTATAAGAGATTCGGCGTGTTAGTGGACAGAAAATGTACATATAAATCGTTTTGTTATAATGTTGTTTTTAGTATTTTTCTTCTTACTGTTATGAAGCATCGTTTTTCTCTTAAATTACTTGACTTTATTACAAAACTTTCTATTGGATCCGAGGGATCACATGGAACTAAGGATAGTCCGTAACACGTTCTCACAACATATTCCTAATATTCATTAATCACAATATATCTTCAAAATCTGATTCGATGACGTCCTATTTGATAAAACGATGACGTCATTAAAATATGATGACGTGTTAAAAAGTTGTGACGTCACGCATATCATACTCACAAATAATATAGCAAACAATCCGGTCAGCCCCCAAAGTTTGACATTGTTTGATTTGATTTCATCGATGCTGTCGCTTGAATGAGTGAAACCTTTAAACTTTATGTTTGGCATGGCTTGCACGAAGACAGCTTCACCTATGTTGTTGATCAGGGCTGTCGTTGTTGCGATGAACCAAAACATTATGCATCGTCGCATTCGTTTGTAACGTTCCTGAAATATAGATCAATTTTATGGCGCTCGAGAAGTATGTGTACTAATATGGAGGTTACTAATTTTGTTCGCCTACTTTACATTAAGTTGTGTAAAGAGATTGAAACTTATGGACAGGGGGTCACTCGGCCAACACAGACAGTCCCCGAACTCGTAATAGAACTGAAATAAGGAAAGTCGGAATAAAATTATGATCCAACCCTAACCTGGTACATACACTACGGGACTACTAATTTTTAGGTACATACACTAACGGGACTTAAAATTTGCTGAAAAAACAGTTGCAAAAGACTAATTCGTGCTGCAAGAGGGGCATATGGGTTAATAGTCTTTTGGGAAAATATTTTACAAAACGAGCTCAAAGAAACCAAGAAGTAAAAGAGTAAACTAAACAGGGGTTACTAATTCGACGGGAGTTAAAGGAGCTTTGAGTCTAATAAAATATAGTTCTATTATGTATTTAGATTTCAAAGAATCTTTTCGAAGATGCCGCATGACATATCGTTTGACCCAACATCATATCACTGAAAAATAGTCACATAACACTACTTTGCGGCTGTAAGAAGGGCATATGGAAAATTGAATAATTTTTACAACGAGATACTAAAAATAAACTAGAAAGGGAGGTAAAAGAGATTATCAGGCATAATATAATATACCTTTATTATGTACTTTAACTTAAAAAAAAACTGCCACATGACATACCGTTTAACCCAAGATAATTTGCTGAAACCATTTTAAGAAGCGTATTTTACTTAAAAAATTTTAATTTTTGAAAAAAAATCATGCGTTCAAATAATTAATGTCGATAATAAAAAGAAGAAGATATTGAAACTTATACCTTGTTACCCCATAAGCAAGAAGCAACGACGAGCAACAATGACGCGAGAAGACAGAATGATGCGCTCATGAAGCCGAATATGAGAAGCAATCTCCAAACATCCGGAAGTAACCTTTCACCCCTCCATATCCCGATCACCGTGCGGATCTTGAACTCTTCTGCTCGTATCACGAGGAATCCGATGCAGATTAACTGAAATACAAAGTTGGTATCGGTGAAGTTGTTTAGGTATTGTTAAGGCACATTCCCGCTTATAGTTTTGGGATCTGATATCTGTGATTCTGTTATCTTGGATTAGATAACTTAGGCTAGAAAAAGTTTTAAACAACAAGTTGCGTTGAGGTATTCTATCATATCCTAACTTATCATAATTCATGATAAATCAAGAAAAAATTGTTGATAGGCGAAAGAACTATACATAACTTTTTTTAGACGTAATCAGATGTAAAACATGGCTGTAAGATTATCTCAAACCTTTTAGGCCGCGCATCCTTTTTAGAATTTGTCAAGTGTCGCGCCCATCTCAAAAATACCTAGCTAACAATGAGCTACAAATAACAAATAGTAAGACGAAAGTATGTTTTATTCAAAACACGTTGAAAATACGGATGGAACGTAAATATCCAAAATAAAGAAATGTAAATACCCAAACTAAAGCGGGCAAGATCAAATCTAACAAATATCTACATATTTAACTAGCACCATGTCCCCTAAATAATGTGTACGCCCCCCCCCCCCTTGTGGGGCGCCACCCACCATTTGAGAACTACCGCTTAGATCAGGGGTCACCAACGCGTTGCCCGCGGGCACCAAGTCGCCCGCGAAGACCATATGAGTCGCCCGCCGGTCTGTTCCAAACTAAGCTTAATAACGGCTCTTATAAGTAAGCTACATCAATTATATTTTGTCCTGCTATTTTAGTATAAATCACACTTATATGGAACTGAGAATAACACTATATTGATTATTGTAACCATCAACCTTATTTTTATTTGACCTCAGTAATGTGACGGGTGACGCTTTTTCTTGTTTGTTGGTTAGCGGAGCAGTAATAATACAATTATTGATTTCAAAGAAAAATCCATCATTTTCACGATGAATGGTAGGTGGATATATTTATACCACCATAAAAACAGCCTGCGTGTGTCTCATTAGTGGGGCGATTTTAGCGACGGCAAAGCGGAGAGATATTTCACATCTTGTCACGTAACCTTCCGCGCTAACTACCCACTGGTCAGCACAGTACGGACAGAAAAAGCTCGCGATTCAAATTATACAGCAATCCTATTTTACGAGACCATCGTTTGTTTCAACCTATCCTTTCGAATCAACATTTTTGACAAACTCAGGATAGGGGGAGATTTACATATTTATCCCGGGGGAGAAGATAGCCGATAGGACGGCTCAACCAGTGGCGTAGCATCCACCCTCGCAACCCCCGCGGTCGCGGGAGGGCCAACAGCGCAAAGGGCCCAAGTGGTTAAAATTTAGAAATTTAGGCCGCAAAACCAAGAGCTGCATTGCAAAACCAGTAATGCACATTTCATAACGTTGATGTTAGTTCTGCTCAAATCGTTTTGTTACGTAACAATGCCAGGGAGTCGTCGATTTTCGGCGTCTTGTGGTTTGATCGCACCGGCAAAATTACGAAGGATGTCAGAATGATGTCGAAAGCAAAACCTCTCAGTGGCGCACAGAAACGCAGAAAAAGGGCAGAAGAGGAAGCACGTATGAAAAAAAATTTAAAGTAACCAAAATAAACGGCAAATTTTAGGTTACCATTGCATTTTAATAGCGACATGTTATGCTTTTTGACGAAATAAAAAGCGTTGTTTTAGCTTATGTCCGAGAGTTTTCAGTGGAAATGACCCTATTTGTCCTCATTTTTGCGGGGGGGGGGGCTTCTTCCACGGCTTCTCGCCGGTTACCATTCGTTGTCGGGTATGTAATTAGTTAGTTATTTGCTTCCGGAAGCCTGGACTTGATGGAGAGGGAAGCCGTAACCGACCAGCGGTTACTCCACCAGGAACTAACATGGAACACGCCTCACTGATGAAAATCTGCAAGACTCGCTCAGAGTTACAGTGTCAAGTTACACGTCGGAGTATAATACTATGCAACATTTGATAGTACAACTGTTAAGTCCATTTTATCATAGACTTGTGAAGAGTGTTTGTAAATAATTCAAGTACATTGTTGTTTCCTATGAAAATCAATTTAACATTCAGTTTTGAAATGTGTTATTAATAGAAATTTATTTACAACGTTGTGATAATCGTTTGATTTCCTGAAGAATCCTAAGGTTTATTAGTGTCTATACTTCACTAAATACCAGTAATTATATCAATAATTGAAGCTTAATCGAGCAACTGATTTTTTTAGAAGTGTACATTGAACTGGTAGCCCGCAGCTTGATCTGTACCCTAAAAGTAGCCCTCGGCTTCGAAAAGGTTAGGGTCCCCTGGCTTAGATGTTATTATTTGTTCATTACAGAGAATACTGTTTGTTTATCGAATAAAAAATAAGCATTTTGACATGATTTATTTGTAGTAACATAAACGCATTGCAATCAATTCCAGGTGTGCACGTTTGCAATCCCGTATTAAAATGATTTTCAAATATTTCTTTTCAGTCCGTGAGTGATTTATGAAGATATTTATAGAAGTGAAAATATAAAATAAATCAGGTCCCCCTCAGGGGAACTTTTGAATCCTGTAGAATATAAAAAAAAATAACGACTGACCCTCACGCGCAGAAACTTTTTGTTTAATCATTGGCATTCGTTGAAATTGGCTTTCAAATATCCTCAGTCACTCTAACCGCAATTATGACCTAACATTCCTCATGTCTGTTACAAAACAATGCCCTCAGGCGACATCGTACAACACGTTAAACAAGTGTAATCACGCACTAACCGCGTGATAAATTGACACACGAGTCATAAAATTCAAGCATGTGACATTTATTGAAGCGATGGATCCTTGTATAATCAGTTCTTGTTTGACAAACTTCAAATAAGGGTGTCCATAAAGTCTTTAATTTTTTTAAAATTACAAAAGGAATTTATCGATACCCTACATTGTTTTGGTCTTCACAGATATATTAAATGAAGTAAATATATTCAAACAATTACTGATCAAAAACAACAAACCTGGTTTAAATTGAGAACTGAATTTGTAAAGGGACTTTATGGACACCCTGTATTTTCCGACACTTTTACTCAGGAATAGGGCTCAGCCACACAATAAGGTACCGTAGTTTGGAACGGCTATTACCTTTAGACTCAACATTGCTGATTCTATTTATCGTATTCCGGTATAGCTGAGCATTTACGAATACCTGATGATTTCAAAATCGATTCAAATATCTTTCTCGAATCGAATCGTATCTCGAATATTTGGAATATATTCAAATGTACGTGAGTTTCTCATTGTAATGGGTTCTTACAAGCACATGAACTACTGATAACATAGAATCCATACCGCAGAGCAGTTATCTGAGCGTTCACACACAACAAGAAACATGATTCATCAATACCTCACAAGGAAAAAAGAGTCAAATCCCAAAAATCAATATGGCGTTGATTCTAAATTTTCGTGTGGAACGATTCGAATAATACACTATTCGACTAAATTCTAACATTCGATTCGAAATGCCAATCCCTAGGGACAGGGGATAGAAGTTGAATAATTCTATCTGTAAACGACAAAATATGACTCGATGACGTCATGTGTGATAAACGATTACGCCATTAAAATATGGTAATGAGGAATCATAAAGTTGTGACGTCACGCATATTATAATGACAAAAAGAATAGTAAACAATCCAGTCAGCCCCACGGTTTGAAATTATTTGGTTTAATTTCATCAATGCTGTCGTTTGAATTAGTTAATCCCTTGAATCTTATGGGGCTTGCACGAATACAGCTTTGTAGGCAAATAGTGAATAAAAATTACTGGCAGGCAGGTCATGTCCCGTCTGAGACAGTATTACAAATTAAATTTTTCATTAGATTAGCTCCAGGAATTCTTAAATCCCATAAAACAAGATACTAAGCAATAGGAAATCTTAAAAAAAATTGCGATTTCGTCCGAATCAATTTATTTAAAAATGTATACAAGCTTATGCTTGTATGTCAAGTCGCATAAGCATTTACGAGATTTAAATGTTCCTTAGAAACGCCTTTAAAAATTACTGAATTGTATGAACCGGCGCCTAAAGACGTTATTCCCAGAATAAAAATTAACAACTCTAAATGGTTTCCTGGAAAGTACGCAGTTTTCTCAGATCTTTTGTATAAAGTCCCCGCCGCCGCTCTAAAAAATGAGTAATTATCCAATTACGGTTCGGAATGCAGATTTCAATTTTCAAATCATTCTTAACTCTAACTGGATATTTACTAATTTGTTATTTTAAAACATCCGTTTTATCATATATATATATGTTTACGGATAGCGCCATGTTGTACCAAATTTATGTCATGAACTGGGGATCTCTGACAGGAAAAATTTTTGGGATCCCAAAGAGTACACTAATGCCACACAAAGTACTATATCTTTTGTACTTTTTTACACTTTGATTCGAAACACAATTTTCAAAACTAGCTCAAAACATAAATTTTGCGATTTCGAGAGAACATAGGATCAGAGAAGCGGCGCGCTTGCATCAAGCGGTTTAGCATCTTAAACGTGAACGTCGCGGAAAATTTTAATATATTAAAAAAAGTCGCAATCCTAAAATTTTGGGAAAATTTTGGTTAAACTGTATCATTTGCTTGATACTCCTGAAGTATGCGCACCAAGATGTCGCATAACCTGAACCTTAACCTGGTACACAACCGGAGTTCAGGTTTTACGCCATCTTGTTCCGCATACTTTAGGTGTTCCGTTTGCTTTTTATCTGTTGTGCATTACCGTGAATAAACCTGGTAACAGCCTCTCTCTTTTTTACAACTCTATGCTTTATGAGAAACAGCTGGGAGTATATAGTCATATTTCTTTACTTGACAGTTACCAAAACCTTACATTGCACCCGTCCTTTTGACGCCATATTTTCAAAAAGGCTCTGGATTAGTCGCCGTAATTTTGAACTAATCTGATACCACTACCTAATTTTATATCCGTTTTAATTCGCGAAATATTTATCTACGATCACAATTATACAGAAAGTCCATAAAGTCCCTTAAATTTTTTAAGAGGGGTGAAGCTGATTAAAAATAATACTATTTGTTAGATTCGATCTTGTCCGCTTTGTTTTGGATACCTACGTTCCATCCGCGTAATTGCAACGTGTTTTTTGAATAAAGCATATTTTCGCCTTAGTATCTGTTATTTGTAGCTTATTATTAGTTAGTTATTTCGAAGTAGAGAATTCTAGAAATGAAACGCGGCTTAAAGTTTGAGAACCACTGTAATGATCCTTGATGAAGAGAAAAAAATTAAAAACGGCCAAATGAAAACTCACCACAAACGCAATACCAGCAATCAGACTTCCAGCTCCAAGGCTGCAGCAGAAACAACAGTTGTAGAGCAGTGGTTCCTTCTTCTTTGGCAACTTAGGCCCAACTTCGTCGTCCACTATAACGATAACCGGACCCTCCTTATCAGTCCTTTTCTTATCACCCTTTTTACCTTTCTTATCTTTTTTATTTTTTGATTTATTTTTGGATGATTTATTTTTAGTGACGTCACTATTAACGTCATCAGTCTCTGACGCATATTCGGAATAATCTGTTGACAAACCACTGAATGAAGCCTCGCTACTCGCCCTACTGATTGATCTATTCTTATTTTTCTTTTTTTCTGTTTTCTTGGTTTTCTTTTTATCTTTAGTTTTCTTGTCTTTTGTTTTTTTGTTCTTTTTATCGGCAACGTCACTAGACGTCCCTGGTTCTGACGTCAAACTTACGTCATTTACTGATTTATCGTCATCTTTGGGAACTTTGGCCAAAGTTGATTTCAATTCGTTTACAAGAGCATCGTTATCTTTGCCCTTTATTGATTTTTTGTCAGTCTTTACTGTTTTTTCATCTTTATTCTTATCAGCTATTACTTTTTTCTTGTTCGTTTCTTTTGTCGGTTTTGCTTTTTTAACGGTTTTTTCATTTTTAGGTTGTTTTTCGGTTTTCTGTGACTTGTCTTTCTTCATTTTTTGAGTCTTCTTATTTTCACCCTTTTCTGCCTTCTTCCCTTTCTTTTCATCCTTTCCCGCCTTTTTATTTTCTTTATCTTTCCCGCCGGAATAGTTCCCGGGTCGATCGTCCTGGTCAAAGTCGTAATCAGGTAAGCGACTTCCCCTGCTGGTATGACTAGATGCCACACTAGTATAGGATTGGGTTCGTGAATTTAATCCTTCCGTTACGTCATTGTTTGATGACGTCATGTTTGTTTCCTCTCCCATTGTGATATCAGTTATCTAAACTTTATCACTATAGTAACATATTACAGTCACATTGGATATCTGTTCGAAAACAAAACACCTTGTTTAAGGAAGATTCCCTATTATGTGTCATAGTGGTAAAACGTTGGAATCGAATTTAAACCTGATGGTCGCTACCTAGCCCACAGCGTAATTAATCGGGGATGCCAGTCATTCGTTCATTCAAAATATATGTGGACGAGAGTATCTTATTTGGAGTGCAATGCATGAAAGTGAAATATATGTGAGGTATGAGTGTACAAGCATTCGAACTTTTACGGTAACGTTTATTGAAGTTAGCTCCCTACACGCTTCATCCCTATACACCCCACGAACATTTCAACCCCCCTCTCTAATTTTGCGGTGCTACATCACAGTTTAATTCCTAACTTGAATATAATTGTATTTGAATATTCAGAAAGTGCTGTATATACCAATGCAGATGATCTGTCGAACACATGTTTATAAGTTACGAATAGTATTATCACTAATAGCAGAATATCTACAACCTCCTGGATTTGGAAACACCCCCCATCCCTGAAATGGAAATCTGGAGAGCTGCAACTAACTGAACCTCATTCCTTCTCAAAAGATGGTGGATAGCAATCGTCAACATGTATCATCGACTGCGGTTATGCTGAACCAACCACTCATCCCGTTTCTATCGCTTTACGTCGGATAAACCGTATGTATTTATCGCAACGATGCTGTGACAAAGATAAGGATGACTGTTTTACGCGATTCAAGAGTTTTGCTGTAAGCTAACAGAAATTTATTTCTGAAACCTCCGTATATTGTTGTATCAAAAAGTGAGATGAAAGACGTCTACTCTACGTCTCTACGTGTAATTGATGAGTCTTGCTGTACACTAACACTGATTTATTTCAGCAATGTTCCCTCTAAACCAGTCAACCTTTTTTCTTTTCCACTTTTTTGCATAAAATTTTTTGTGGCCCATCCACTTTCATATGCAAGGGAAAACTACAAGAAAACAATAATTTTTTTTTTTGCAAAGATAAAAACTTCGACTTCATTAATTGAAATGGAAATTACCATTTGTAGCAAAAACAACATTATCATTCATTTCTAATACAATCAAATGTAACTAATTATTAAGTCTTACAATTTTTAATTGATTTGTGGCCCATCTAAAATGTTTCTGTGGCCATGTGCCACTGGTTGGGAACCGATGGTCTAAACAAAGTCAGACATTTTCATACAATCTTGTCACAATCACAGGACAACAATTTGGTGTCCAGTCCTTACACCCACAATTAATTCGTAGGCAGTGATGAAACGCAAATGCGTATAATGCAAGGATGTCGTAGCAAAAGTGAAGATGACTATCCTAAGTGAATCAAGAGTCCTGCTGCACAATAACAAAAATGTATTTTTGTACTGTATCACCTCGCTTACTGAAATATATTATTGATAATCTCTAGTGTAGGTAGTTTAGGAATGATTTGGAAATTTGCAGCGCAATCTGCATTCCTAACTCTAATTGGATAATTATTAATTCTCCTATTTTTGTCGTTAGCGAGAGTTTTTTTTGTGAGGGCTTTCTACAAAAGATCAATATATATATATGGAATCTGGAAGTCTACGTAGGTATGATATATTTTTACTTAGTTGTGTTTGCAATACAGGATACGACTTTTCGATCACCAGTGGTAGTGAGAAATCCCTAGAGCTTTTTTGTACAATGCTCTAACAATTATATAGCAGAAGCAGGAAATATATCGTAGAAAACTAGACAATTCTACAACAAATCTATTCAATTCAAGAGTCTTGCTGCACACTAACACAAATATATTTCTGTAACGTTTCGTCTGACCAAGGTCAGACTTATTCAGACAAGCATTTTACAACTATAATCCACCTGCGCTAAGGCATATAGAACAAGGAAAGGTAGTTAGTTTCACGTAACCTCACATGTTAGAAACTCTACAACAGTTTTTACACCATTTAGTATCCGTCAGTCTTACTTACATAATTAAAATAGTGAATATGGAGGGGAGGGAGCTGACTATGATGACCGTATGGTCTCATCACTCTCTCAGGCTATACCGAATAACTGTGATTTTGTAGATTTTTTATTGTTGCAAAACTCGTATTTGGCTCTTGACGAAATAATAAATCTCTCTTTCTCTGTGTGGTATTTACACTACACATTACACTTCTGGAACCGCTGTCGCCACATTGTTGCCCAATTAAAAATCAATAAAACGACGCGATAAAACAGCAGAACTTCACCGGAACATTTCGAACCGGTAATTAAAAGTTAAGTAAACAATTCGTGGGAAAGAAGCAAACCGATAATAATTAAAGTTTTAGTTGCATAATAAAATAGATTTGATTTACATTGCGTTATGATTGATTTCTGCGGTACGAACTATTCATCCTTCTTCGATGCTTTTGTGCCGAAGAATCCGTATGCAAATAATGCAAGGATGTGGTAACAATAGTCTGAGAGTGAAGATAACTATCCTGAGGGATTCAATGGTTTTGTTATTGAGACGAACCGTTACAGAAATATATGTGTGTCTGTTTGTGTTAGTGTGCAGTGCAGTGACACTTGAACAAACATGGGCAAAGTACTGCCCGCGGGCCAAATCCAAATTCAGTCTGGCCCGCCCGATGCTACGACGACTGAACTGAGTCACACCGCCGCGCCTTCTTTATCCTTCCTCTATGCTTTTGTGCCGGTGAATCCGTATGCATAAAATGCAAGGATGCTGTAGCAAGAGTAAAGATACCTATCCTGAGTGATTCAAGAGTCTTGCTGCACGCTAACACATATACTAAATATGCTCAAATACTAAACGTCATGTAGTAAGTACTTCTATAACTGAAAAATTAAATTACTTATATTTAATACCACTCGCTATTCCGAAACCTTTTTCTAGTTTACACATCGTTTTGAATATCCATACAACTTTATCCTTATGAATAGAAAATAAAATAGGCTGAATGGACATTCGAAACATTGACTTAACTATATTGTTCGTTTTTCACAAGTTGTGCGTGTGTAACTAACTTTATCAAAAACTAGATGTTGGTGATGTAGGTTAGGATATTGTGTACAGTGATTTTCTTACCCCCTACTTTTAATGTGCGGTACCACACTCAAATTCTTAACTTAAATAAACTTTTATTTAATTTTCCAGAAAATGGCGATTTTACTGATGCAGGTGGTAGGTCAAACACATGACCACATGAGTAGAAATAGTCTTCATCCCTCACAACTAATAACAAGATATCAATCATCCCCTAAATTTGGATACACCCCTCCTAAAATGAAAAGCTGAGGAACATATTTTTGCGTACTGATCTGTAAGTTCTTACTCTGTTTACAAATGACTCGCTACTTCGGTGTATACACGCTTAACCAATATGTTTTATGAATAACGTAATCTCATCCCACAACACAAATCTAATCAAGCACAAATTAACATCACAATAATACGGCGTTACTTCGCAATAATATTAGTTGTAACACTTTCAATACTGATTGAAACAACTATCCTTCCATTACAAACGTTGCTTTAGATTTGGGCGAAATGTACCGCATAATTGTGCACCGTAATGCATAACTTCCCCCTAACCTAGTATCATAAGTTTGACACTAACTTGAAACCCAATACGACCTGTGCTGCTATTACAAGCTATCTATTCGATGTTAACATTCAACGAAAAGCTACCAAGCGGGATTTCTGGTTCTTAACCCTTTCCTTACCAACCAGAGAGATGAGTCGCGATTTATACTGGAATGGGTAAATACTTTTTTGTTAAAATCTTTGAGATTTGTCTAGCTTGGCACGTCCATGTGCTGTGCATATGTGTTCATGATTATGCTTGGCCGACCATGTTTGCTACATGACTTAAAATCTGGCGTGAAGTGAGAGGGTTAATTTTATTAGCTCGCTATAAATGTTGCCCCCAGGGCTGTTGTCGCTCTCACAGGTTCATCGTGACGTCATATTGTATGTCGAAAACTGAAAAATGATCAAACTTGAACCGGTTGTTCGCGGTTTCCAGTTTAATCATTTTAACCTAAGAACAATAGATTCAGATTTAAAAGAATTCGAAGCAAAATAACAGACTCACGATACCTTGATTTTATCAAACTAACGTCAATATATCTCGAGGGAAAGGAATGCCGAAAAAATATGTATACAGACGTATGTCATCAGTTTAATAAATGCGGATTTGATAAGTCGAATCGCATTGTTGGCCATTTTAACCAAACTTAAGTTCGAGTTCGAGTTCTAACAAGATCAAAGCTGAACTGATTGCCTCTAATTCAAATTTAATTGTTCGAATCGAACTGTCAGCATAGTCATATCGAATTTAAGAAGTCTCATGAAGCTTCACCGATCCGAAGCAATTTTGCTTGGTGGTGGACACTTATGGCACGATTGTGAAGCTTTGCTCTCCCGAGACTTTCAATGCACTCACGTAAAATATCTTAAGGAGGGGGGGGGGAGGATAGTCAATAAAACATATATATAATATGAATATTTATACAGACGCATGTCGTTATTAAATTTTGATACAGTTGGTCGAATCGAATTTTTGGTTCAATCGGGAGGTTAGGAAATTTGATCTAAGTTTGCCAAATCGAAGTGGTCTTGCGCCTGTATTTGATACTTAGAACACAAATAGCAACCCTCAAATATTGCTTGCAAGATCTTTGTTCTCATGATATATTGCTTTCAACAAACTCACATGAAATACCTCGGGGGGAGGGGCAATAGCGTTAAGGTGACTTGAGGATATATATCTTGATACAGAAGTACCTCATCAGATCATTAAGTTCGGATATGATTATATTCGAATCGGATTATCGACGAATCGAATTGAACTCATAGACCTACGTTTTCTGAAATCGACATGTTTTTGTGAAGGGAATGATACTTGTACACAGCCAGCCATACACGAATATGTTTCCATCCCACATAGTTTAGATCAATAAGATTTTTTCTTATTCGAACTTTTCTTTTAGCGGATATATCTCGTGGGAAAGGAGAACCGTTAAAACGGCTCAATCATATGGTGGCTTATCATCCAACTGGAACAATACTTGACATAAACGAATAAAATGCCAAGAGAAACTGTAGCCAGGGGCGAGAGAATGCGGCAAATGCTCAGCCTTGCAGGATAAAGGCACCGGATAAAACGGCGAAAAATTTAACGCAGCGACAAGAGAAAAAATATATGTATTTTTACCTACATGAGCAGAGTGCTGACAAGAGCCACAAGTAATGGCTTGTCGGGCTGGGTTGTGGCCCGCGGGACACCTGTTGCGCACCCCTGCTATTAAGGAATATAGAGATTTAATATTTGCACTCACCCAGAGCCAGAGGTATATAACTCAAATCTGAACAGAGTTATATGCGAGCACGAAAATACGAAGATCTAACGGGAGGCCGCTGTGAAGAAGTGAATTCCACATTATTGAAACTGGCCATCAAGTAATTCAAGTCATAAAGAACGAGAAAGAGAGTATAGTTACGTCACAATACCTGTTATAAATACTGAATTTGCAATTTCAGCTAAAAACGGCATTTCATCGCAACCATGGCTGATAACTTTACGGCTGATGTATCTAGCCAAGAGATTGAGTCCATAGCACCACCTTGCGTGAACACTGTGGATCTAAATCTGAAAGAAGAGGAATTTAAGTTGCCGCCTCTGAAGCATTCGCCGAATGAGGTGAGTGTTAATGTGAAAAATAGGTTATTTGGCCCTATTAAAACAAAAGCCTGAAATTTGCTCAATGCAAGCCATATTTGACGAGGAAAAATACGCAGCATTCAGTCTAGGTACTAAAATAATAAATGCTTTAAATATTCAACTGAATTTACGAAGAAACCGAAGTACTTTGCAGGTTATATAAGTTAAATTTTTTAGATTGCTGTGCTCAGAGGCGTATCCAGGAATTTTTGAATGAGGTTTATGTCTACAGCAAATGCTAACGCAACAACAAGTTCGAGGCTTTTATCTATTCTAAACCTAAATTAGTCATTTCGTTAAAACCAAATTGTGATAGATTAACCTTGCAGAAAATACATCGATCTAGTATCTTTACTAAGATACCATTTTGCATAATTACCTCGGAGTAGGAAAAGAATTAGGACGCCTTGAATCATACATTTGAACCACGACCTCTCGTCCGGTTGCCAGTCAATGTTTGGTTCATGTTCATTTTAGGCGCTCGGGCGATAGCGGTGGAGGATGCTATAATCAATTTTAAATTTCAGACCCCCATCCCTTTGAAAAAATTTCTTTTTCATGCGCAACGATGGCAATCGCGTTTCCAACGCGCAACTCAATGCTCAAATCTTTGTTCTTTGAGCTCTAGCCCAGGGGTGCGCAAAGTGCGGCCCATGGGCCAAATGCGGCCCGCAAAGGAAAATTGTGCGGCCCGCGGAGGCAACTGGAGAGCAGTGAATTCGTTTAAATTGGGTGTGACAATATATTTGAAAAATTTATGCGTTCTAACTCATCATTTCTGCAAGGAACCCTAATGATGACATGAGATCAATAACAAAAAGACATCATTTTGTGCCTGCAACTAATAGAAAGCTGAATTTGAAAGCTGTGTCAAATGTAGGTGCGGCCCGCGGTTTCACCTGGCTATTGATATTTGGCCCGCATGCGAAAAAAGTTGCACACCCCTGCTCTAGCCAATGCAGTATAAAATTCTTTCCTATTCCGTCACAGATCAGGTCGGCCCTGAAGTCTGTTCAGCATAGATTGGACGAAGTTGATTCGTCGAATAAGCTGATCAAGCAAAAGATCGAGTCGATGTTGAACAAAATCATGTCGTACAAGAGCAGATGGACGATATTTCAGGTTGGGAATGTTTGAAAAATTTGAATTCGCTAGTCTGTGCGGGAGACGGGTGATCACTTCGTTAATTGAACTATACGTCGTTCTCGTTTTTATTTTTATGACGTTGCGACGGTTTCACTCTAAAAAACTATGTCCTCTGTTGTATAAACTACTATCATTTCCTTTTCAATTCCAAAGAATTTTCTTTGTTGTTTTTCGTTTAAATTAAACTGTATGACGTCGTTGGCAGAGGTAAGACCTACAAGGCCGTAACAGTTGCGGATCTAGGGCATGACAGACAGGGCTGGTGATATGGGTGCCATTTGGACACGACACAAAAGGAGCGAAACGTCTTTATCGTAAAATGTTTGAATAAAATAATTTATTATTGGAAATTATATAAACTGGTTTATTTTATTCAAATAATTACGTACATATATCTAATATCAACAAAACTCGTTAAAAATAGTCAGTCAACAGCCAAGAGGGCGCATTTTTGAACTTTACTATGGGCGCAATTTTACGTAGATAGGCCACTGGGCCCTAATGACGTAACAACGGCGGTATCTAGAACGCAAAAAGGTAAAACATAAAGTGTTAAACTATTTCACTTATGTTCGGCGGGCCATATTAAATTGTTACGCGGGCCATAATTGGCCCGCGGTTTGGGAACAACTGCTTTAGACCAAGCTATGTTGGCGTCTTTAACAAAGGCAAGACCCACAAAGCCCGCCTCATATATATATATATATATCAGTCGTTTCTTGTTTATGTCAAAGCGGGCAAGCATGTAAATGTTTTAGGCAAAATTGCGAATCAGCTGATAAAGGGTGACCAGTAAAACGAGCTGGACTCACGTCTTAAAGTTGGCTCTTATTATAACTAACTCTAATTTACACCCGAGCGAGTTTGGGTGCGGACTATTGTTTTATATTTTTCATTTTCTTTGACTACACATCGACTGCAAAGCAGCTTATTTCTACAGGAGGAAAGAAACAATATTTTAAAAAATATTTCGGATCCTGGAACAAAACCGAAAATAGACACGACTGCTGAAGATTACGAGAAGATGACAGAAGTGAAGAAAGATGATTATGATGTCATAGTTGGAGATTATAACAAAGATAGAGACTACAAAAAGCAATGTGACAAAACAAAGCAACCATTGTTGAAGCTGAAAAATGTTCGATGACATTTTCTCGTGATTTTTGCAATTTTATTTTCTATTTTTACAAATAACATTTTCGTATTTCTTTTAAATGTTTTTACACATATGCATCTCTCCTAAAAATAACTATTAACTTTTTTTTATGAAATTTCAAATCCAAGTCCCGGGCTTTCAACTAAAAGTAGAAAAAATAGATGAGCTGAAAGTCATACTGACGCACTATGAGCTGTGCGTAGGTTTATTGGACACGAAATATACCTATGGATCGTTTTGCTATTTTGTTGTTGTTGTTCTTGTTGGTATGTTTCTTGTTATTGTTAGAAAATCGCTTTTCCTATTTACTAATGGACCAATTGCTTCAAAATTTTAGGTGGTTAAAGATTGTATTTTTTGGGCCATGTTCACAACACGACGTAACTAAGTACTACTATTTGGCATGGCACAACAATTTTTGCATACCTTATTCCTAACCCCCACTTGACTACGTCATTCAAAAATTACGTCACAGTAACATAATAAGGCCCTCAAAATTATTCTAACTTCTCCCAAAACACGCAGACAATCACCCAAAATCGAGCAAGCTATTTCTATCGTTTTTTCGTCGCTGACGCTCAGTGAGTTCTTTATCGTTGGCGAAGATGCCATTTCGGGCGATAGTAGGTGTAATTTGGCCAGCTCTTTTGCGTGATTGTGAGGCCGTAGTCACGTGTTCTTTGGATAGCGGAGCCAAATGGGGGTTAGGAGTAACATATGCAAAAACGGTTAGGCTACGCCAAAAAAAAAATACTTACGCCGTTTAGTGAACATGCGCCTATTTTTTTTTTTAGCTTGAAGGCTATTCCATTATTTGTTGTTGATACAGAGTTGTCAGTAAATAGCGAATGAAATAGGATTTGAAATTAGTCAAATCAACCTTGTCTGGAAAGCGGCTAAGTGGGATTCTATAAATAGTTCAATACTAACGGTTTAATCTAGTGAATCAGCTCAATTTTACGTTGACCTTACGTTACCTTAATGTCTGCTAACTCTAACAATATCACCGCCGAAGCCCAGTGGCGTAGCAGTGAATTTTCAAGAATAGGGGCTTTGAAAATTCGGAGAGGGAGCCAACCGCGGAACAATAGTTGTGTGTATTCCAAGAATATCACACAGCGACAGCTTGTTTGATCAGGTTCTAGATCAGTGTTTCTTAACCTGGATTCGATCGGACTCTTGAAGTTCGGTGAAGCTATAGCAGGGGTTCGATGAAGGACCTGTGATCTTGTTGTGTATTAAGAAGTATTTCTATCACCGAGCAAACTAAATATTGAAAAATAACTATAAATTAGGGCACTTATCCAAATTGCAATATTCAGACCCACATGGTATAGCTTTTTCATATTTAGCATTGCACAGATGAATGTTTTATAAGACCCGTCAATAGGAGGCATCGCGCACTTGAATGTACCTCCGTATGACCTCATTTTTATATGCTTTCTAACTTTCAACAAATAGTTAAGGTTGTTATTACAACTGAAGACAGTAAAACTCTCCACCATAATTCTATATAATTGCTCAGAGTTGAGTTTCCTTTATTCATGAGTAATTGCAAATAATGCACCGTCATAAATATATATATATATATATATATAATCAAGGGTGGTCCAAACTGCGCCCCGCGGGCCGTAGCGGCCTGCAGAACAATTTTAGCGTACAGTACTGAACCATTGGCAGATATTTGTATTTATTAGCAGAACAATTTTAATTTATTTTTAAACTATTCCAACTGGGAATAGTCCTTCTTTTTCCCAATTCCGATGTCGGGATGGAGGTTTTTTAAAATAACGGATTTTCATTGTAGTATCTGAACGTCTAGGTGGCTATATGGGAATGACGTCCTGTGATCGGTAAAAGGAGAAGGAATTGTCTTGTGCAGACAAGACCAAGCCGATGAGATTGGCTTTTATCATAGTCAAAACACTCCTCTAATTTCAAGCGTCAGCCATGTGACGAACCGCAGAGCTGAGTTAGCGCGATTTCCATTTTTTTATTATCCGGGTCCGAGGTCCCAACTCAGACGGACTTGGTTGTTTTTTGACTGTAGCACTAGTCCTGCCCACGTCATACAATGAGTGATCATGCATCATAAAATGAGTGCAGAGAAAAAGGTGACCGAAGTAACTGAGAGTAAACGTATTTCCTTATCCACGACAACGTTAAACCACAGTGTCCGATGTGTTTTCAAGTATTATCTGTCTCGAAATAATATAATTTTAAGCGACAATACAAAACCAAACGCGAGAAAATATACTGAAAATACCACGATAATTTTCGGGAAGCAGTTTTAAAATTACTGAAGGCTTTATATAGTTTTCTTGAAAACTGATTCAAACGATAAACTCTCATTCTTAGATATATTTAAATTGATTAAACTCGCGATGTTTTGACCACTCTCAGGTTTTCTCCGACTGCGGCCCTCGAGACCTCATCAGAAGTTTTTGCGGCCCTTCAACCTTGTAACCTTGGACCGCCCTGATAGTTTCAGTAGCCCTTAGCATTTCAGTGGTTGCCCATAACCCTTATCAGAGATAAGTTGTCTTTTTTACTGCTGAGTGAGTGAGGTACAAGCAAATAATAAAATGAAAATAAATCTGCACGAAACAGGCATGCTACACTATGCAATTCAAGAGTCCTGCTGCACACTAACACAACTGTATTTCCTCAGTGTGATTTTTGTCAGACGAAACATTACAGAAATACATGTGTGTTAGTGTGTAGCAACACTCTTGAATCGCGTAGAATGCTCATGTTTATTCCTGCTATAGCATCCTTGCATTATACGCATACGGATCCACTAGCGCACAGGCATTGAGGAAGGTATGTGAGTTAATCTCGGGTAACCTCTACTAATAGTTACATGAACATGCAAGCTGCTATTTTAAACTGAACTAAATTTCCTAGTAGTATTTGTGGATGTCTAGCGCTATCAGGCACGCACATATTATGGTACTCCCGTAGTATGTGTACCAGGTTAGGGTTAGGCCATAATTTTATTCCGATTTTCCTTATTTTAGTTTCATAACAAGTTCGGGGACTGTCTGTATTAGCCAAGTGTATATACGCTCTGCCCATAGGCTTCTGTTCCTTTACACAACTTGATGTAGAGTAGACGAACAAAATTAGTTACCTCCATATGGGTACACATACTTCTGGAGCGCCAAGGATATTGCCTTTGCTTAATTTTTCACTTTTCGAGCTGAAACACATGGCAACCTGTTCTTACTCAACATGTTAATAAAAAAAAGCAAAAATAGTTTGAATCTGAATAAAAATATTTTATTTCGAGAAAAATGCATATAGCATATCAGGCATGAATCGAAGAAAAAACGTGCATAGTATGTTTGTTTTATCCATGGCCATATTTAAATGTGCATAAAAATTAAATTGTAGAACCGAGCACCGAGTGTGCCACAGATTGATCGGGTTTAAATGGGGGTTACGTCTTAGTTTGAAGTCAGTAATAGAATTTAGTAAGTTACCACCCTGCATCAAAAAATTGAGCATGTTGAAGGGTAGTCACAGATACGGGTCAGTCAGCCATTTTTTTCTCGAAAATCCGGAATATTTTTTAAATAAGGCATTGTCCTTTAGAAACATAGTAAATACAGAACACAGCTCGAACCGAATTGGAACCTCAGCTCAAAATCATCAACAGATTTATTTAAATTAACTCCTCAGACCCTCGCCTCCCAACATAAAGCTTGTTTAGTAACAGTTATGGTGATCACGGTATTGCTGATTGTTACGGGTTAACAGTGCAAAATAAATGAAAACGTGCAAATATTTTTCACTTGACGATCAATGTCATTACATGTGTGATATTTCCAAAGGATTCAGTTTAATAAACTAGGTTTAGGATAACTGCAACAGTGAATAGGAAAATCATTGCAAATGCACGAAATTGGATTATTGTGAACTGGAAATCTGCATAGAAAATAGTTCAAACGTTGAAACTTGTATAAAGTATAAAGGTTTACCGGTAATATATGGAATACTTTTTTAAATGAGACAATGGCGTTATTAACCAGGACTTAATCATTTAAAAATCAGCAATATTACTAGAATCCCCAAGTCAATTAAAATTCATACAGTGGATAAAAAACTCTTTTGTGAGGGAATTAAATATATTCGATTAGGACGGTAAGAAAAATTCAATGAACGAGAGCAGGGGTTGTAAAACGTCACGATTTTTCTGATATTGCAGGTGCACGAATAAAACAAAAAAACAAAATGAAAATCTGGGTAAATAAAGAATATATTGTTTCCTTATCACATTTGAGCCTAGACATAACAGCATTAGTCACACATTATTCAAATGGGATTATTCTGCAAACGTAACTGTACGTAGGACTTTAAAATATAAAGCGTTAAAAACTTTATGAACCTGTAGGAAAAATACAGCAATATTACTAGAATTCCTGAGTCAATTTGAAATGATACAGTGGATAGAAAACTCTTTTGTAACGGAATTTAATGTATATATTCCATTAGGACGGGAAGAAAAATTCAATGAACTAGGGCAGGGGTTGTCAAACGGTGGGGCGCCCCACAAAGGGGCTTAGAGACTTTTTTGAAGGGAGGGGGGGGGGTGGGTGTAGGTATTTTAACTCAGGGGTGTGCGACCTTTAATACAGAAGGGAGAGAATCAAATAACCGGGTGAAACCGCGGGCTGTACTTTATTTAACATAGGCTTTCTAGTAGTTGCGCAAAACTACTCATGATATGCGTTGTTTCCTTCAGCCAAGCTGGCTGTTAGGCATTAAAACGTAAATAAATAAATAAATGGCTTAGTTTTGGGCTTGGAATCCACTCGCACGTATCAGATTAAAATAAATTAAAAACTCGTTTCGCGGGCCACACAATTTTTCTATGTGGGCCGCATTTGGCCCGCGGGCAGCAGGTTGCACAGCAGGTTATATTTTTATAAGACCGTGGCGGTAGTGCATAGAAAAATGAATACAGTCAATGTCGAAAATTTATACTTTGCAGTAAAAGTATGACGTCATCAAATGTGACGTCATTTTTTCAATGAATCATTGGCGAATCAAATAGGGCATCACCATCTTTAAAAAATTTAGGAGTACAAAAAATTATTAATAAAATTCTGGGTAAATAAATAAATAAATATCATTTCTTTATCACACTTAAGCCGTATGTGGGATCTGGCTGCATTATCTAATAAATAATTAACTCGAAATTACTAAAATTTTGAAGTCGATTCGATAATAACGGCTAATCATACTGACTTTATCGGGCGTTCAAACAGAGGAAGATTGTCAGATTGGACATACCGAATCAGCTTTCCTTTTGGGGAATCTGAGATTGAAAATACCAAATCGGCCCTTCTTTTGGGAATGCCTGATTGAAAATAACGAACCAGCCCTCCTTTTGGGGACTACCAAATTAAAAATAACATATGAGCCTTTCTTTTGGGCATTGTCGTGTTTAAAATAACGTATCAGCCCTCCCAAGGGATTATTAGATTGGAAATAAAAACCTGCCCTCTTTTTGGAATTAACAGATTGAAAATAACAAATCGGTCCTCGTTTTGGGGATATTTAAGTTCGCATAGAACACGGCTCAAACATGCAATACGTGAAGCGTTTTAATGTTTGAAGAGACCACATTCCTTTTTGATTCGTCACACATTTTATCACATTTAGAGTGAATTGGCGGGCTTGGGTTTAAATTTGGAGTTTTCAACCTTTGGAGAGAGAATTAGACTCGACGCCCTAACTCTGCGACAATAGAGCACTCTCTGAATAGGATGCAGATAAGAGAGATATAATAACATAATAGAATTCCAGATATGACGGTTTATGACAGGCGGCATTGACAGATTAAAATCATAACTGAGATAACAGTAGAGATAGCAAATAGAAATTCCATATAGAGGACTTCCGGATTGAAAAGATTGTCAGTGTGGTGGTTTGAAAACTGATATTTCAAAGTATGGTTAATATGTGGTTCTCAAACTATGGGCAAATTTTTTTGGGTCGTTTCCTTTTTTTTTTCAAATAAGAGTGTACACTCTTTGTTTCATTTAAATATGAAGACACCGCATAATCATTTTTTAGTTTAAATATCTAATAATTTGTTTTGTGATGAACAATCAACAAAACGTTTTATTCTGCATTTAGCAGCGTTGTTAGTTGAACAAGTCCATCCGAGCCAAAACAAATTGAGTTTGCGAACGAAAAACAATTCTGTTTTTTCGACTTATCATTAGCTTAGCATAAATCTATCGTTGTTCAGAGCCTTTTTTGGAGAAAACCGGAGTTAACACTTCAAAATATTTTCTGAATGAATATTTCACGTTAGCAGGACAGTTACTCTTGGGCCTTTAGAACATCTTTCAGCTCGTTTTCGAACTTTTCATCATCACTGACGTCACCGTCGAAGTCAGCGACGTCATTTTCACGCAGGAAGGTCATGAACTCCTTTGTAATCTCGTCATTTTCGTCACCATTGTCGTAATCGCTCAGGAACTCGTCATCGTAGACTGGATCAAAATCTCCGTCTGATAAAAACAAAAGAGCAATGTTTAAATAAATGGGCACGAAAGCCAATACGGAGTAGTAAGGGTATGCGAACGCAATCGGTACAGCAGTGTTCACGTATAACGCACAGGAAGCGCAATTTTTAATTCAGATGACGTCATCGCACAAAACAAAAAAACAAATTCCTTAGAGCCGACAAGATTTTTTCCAAAATAGCCTTCTAGCGGCAAGTGCAATCTTTAACCACTGTAAATTTTCAAAGCAATTGATCCAGTAATTAAAGTTGTTTTTATACCAATAAGAGGAAAAATACCAACAATAACTACAACATAATAACAAAACGATTTATATGTAACTTTCGTATCCAACAAGAGAGTACTACACTAATATTATGGGCTGAATAATATTGTTTTTAAACGAATAAATGGTCAACTATCCCATTCTCGGCAAGGACTGATAACCGGACGAGAAGCCACTATTCGCCATGTAATTAATCAGTCTACTAATTTGGAGAAAGATATGACTTATTGACTTGAAGCGTTAAGTTATGTAAATTGAAATTAGTTTATTTGTAGCATGATCGAATATTTTTCACGACAATAACTATAAAATGAACATTTTATGGAACCATTTTGTAGCCAAACGGTTTGCTCACTTGGTGTCGCCAAGGAGTAGAGAAGGTAGGTACTGAAAATATTGAACGATCCTCGACTTGAAATTTGCAGCCTATTGGTTTGCATTACATGGATACAACTATATGGACATATTGGCTTTTATTTATACGAAATCTCAATGACTGATAGGGCAATCGCTAAGCGAAAGTTATAAACGGGCCATGAAAAATTGGGTCCCCCTGCCGTAGGGCATAATTTTATCTCGTTTTTCCTTATTTTAGTTCTATTACGAGTTCGAGGACTGTCCCGGTTATTAAAGTGAATATCCCCTGCCCATAGGTTTCGGTCCCTTTACACAACTTGACGTAAAATAGGCGAACAAAATTAGTTACCTCCATATTGTTACACATACTACTACGCAAACATATTAAACGTTGAATAGCAACTGGTCTGGATTATTAATAGCAATACATTTTGTTGTTCACACTCTTTTCACTCCAAAAAAGGCTTGGTAAAAGCATTCACCCTTTGGGTAAAAGCTCCAATAGAAGCGCTGGAATCTTGCAATAATCACTGAATTGATTACACTCTGCGCGAAGTGGTAAGTAAGGGATTGAATTTGAGAATTTTACGCTGCGATGATCCATAGCTTTAACCATTTTGGTCTCCGAGTTTACTGGTTAACATCTGGTGAAATACAAACGCTAAACTGGTTAAACTAGGGGTCTTAAACTGGGCCTTTGACACGACATCACCAATGTATATTATCAGTTGACATAGAAAGCACCGCACAGTAGAACAGTTACAATACGACTACGACGTTTTGCAAGGACAACTAGGGACATTAAACACAGGTGGCGCTATAGGGTCTATTACGTCATATCGTAACAATTACCAGTTTCAATTCGCGGTGACCATTCGCGATTAATTTAATTTTTTGATCGTTTAATAAACGTGCGCACGAACTTACCGATGGAAACATATTGAAAGCAATACTGGGTATTTATAGAAGGGCCGGGAGGCTGCGAATGCGTCGAAAATGAGTCACGAAACACGAAAGTTTGAAAATCATTGGGGTAAACTATATCGTTCGCTTCTTACCAGCTGGACATGTGTTACAATAAACCATTTTTGTCAGCGGCCATATAACCAACTTCCCATATCTAGCCGGGCGACACAGAAAAAAATATTAGTTTTTCCATCCGGTAGAGTCAAGAAAAGAGAATGCGGCTATTTCTAAGTCTTGCAGTAATAATGGCACCTCGCAAAACGAGGAAATATTTAACGCAGTGACAAGAGCGAAAACAGTATGTATTTTTACGCATTTGAGCGACTTTTCAAATATAAGCTGTCGGATTAGAAAAATCTGAGTGTTGACGAGAGCCATACTGAATGGCTAGGCAGGCTGGATTGTGGCCCGCGGGACGCCTGTTGCACACCCCCTGCTATAGAGTCTGTTTGTCGCTGCTGGTTATAAATGGTCATATGTGATGCCATATGGTTCGCGCAAATAGGAAAATTTCAGTTCGTCAAAAGTATTCTATGTCATATAGTTACGTACCTTCGTCACCTGGCATTGGTGGAGTCGGTTCGGTGGTTGTAGTGGTCGTAGTTGTGGGGGGTTGTTCGGGTGTGGTAGTTGTAGTGGTGGTGGTAGTTGGCTTGGGTGTGGTAGTAGTAGTAGTCGTTGTGGTTGTAGTAGTAGTAGTTGGCTTGGGTGTGGTGGTTGTAGTGGTGGTAGATGGTTCGGGTGTGGTGGTTGTAGTGGTAGTAGTTGGTTCGGGTGTGGTTGTTGTAGTGGTAGTTGGTTCAGGTGTGGTGGTTGTGGTAGTTGGTTTGGGGGTGGTCGTAGAGGTGGTAGTTGTATATGGTCTAAGCGTAGTGGTCGTGGTAGTTGGTTTGGGTGTGGTAGTGGTGGTAGTTGTATTCGGTCTAAGCGTGGTAGTTGTGGTGGTCGGAACAGGCTTGATAGTCGTTGTTGTAGTCTTTGTCGTAGGCCTGGTAGTATATATGACAGCACGAGTAGTTCTGACACGGGTCCTGAAAACAATTGTGTTATGTTTCAATGCTGTAACATTTTTCAATATTGTTGAAACTTAAGGTCACCGACTCAATCCGACCTTAACTATTGTAGAGCCTATGCGAAATAGATTGTCCCGCGGCCTAGTCTGAGTAGAATGAATAATAATAACTAAAAATAGTATTTTGCAATATAAAATTATTTGGTCTTCACATGTTATTACCTTTTATCTAAGTACAAACTCAAGATTAAAGTAACTTCACTTTTTGAGTCTCGCATGTACATAATAAACTATATACAGCCATATATACAGCGATGCCATATATTGGTTGAAGCATTGAAAATATGGACAATTATATTTGCCGTTATCGATTGCTATTGGTATTAATAGAGCGTAGGTGGCATTGTGACAAAACAAACGCGCTTCCTGATATATTGTGGAGCAACAAACAGTAACGTCCGATATGAAATAGTAATAATCATAGTTTTCCTTGCATTTAGGGGAATAAATTTTTTCAAATTTTTTCAATTCTGAAAGAACGAGCATTGGATACCAAACCACGGTCCGCGAGTTAATTACGGCCTGCGTAACTGTTTAAAATAACCCGCCGAACTTAAGTGAAATTGTTTAACACCTTTTTGCGTTCTAGATACCGCCAATCGTTACGTTATTATCACAGTTTAAGGACGTGTATTATTCGTAACAATTCAATTATACCGGTATCTTAATTATATGTACTGGTACCAGTATTTGTGGCATTGTCATGATGGAAATAATCTTCTAAGACCGGCTTTGTAGTTTTAGGCGTGATTGGAGTCAAATTTTTATCAGCAATCTGGTTTTTTTTTATCTTAGTTAATTATCTTTGCTATCATAGCCCTAGTTTTGGATCATGTTTTGTCAAACCGTTAGACCGATGTTTTGAATCAAATCCGCAATATTTTTCAATTAAGTTAGAAGACTTATGCAACTATTTTTCGGTTGCGCAACATTGATTTGAATGACCATACTTTTTAGAACAGTAAATGAACAGTTCTGTTGTCAAGTTGAAGTCAACTATTTCTCGAACCCGAAAATTCAAGGCTAAATTTGCTAACCTTGTCATACTGTATATAAAACATATCATACCGTTCGATCACAATGTGGGCGACTACTATGCAAATCAAACTTCCTGACACATTGTGATGTAATAAATTTCTAGTCATAATCCACCAAGAATGGGCATTGTTTACTTGCGGGTTGGTTGTAACTGCGAAGATATCCGGCCGCGCTCAATCAAATACAACTACATATGTGTTGGCGGCTATACTACGTTACTATATTACGTGAAACATATGGAAATCACTTCGCCTGGCGTTAAATTAGCTGAATAAAGGATCTGTCGTACAACGCCCGCGCCACTAATGCAAAAATGTTAGGTTTGAGAAGACACTGCCGATACGTGTTAATATAACAAATTCGTTGTCACGATTAGGAATGATTTAAAAATGCGAATATCCAGCGCAATCTGTTTTCCTAACCCTATCTGGATAATTACGCAATAGCTTAGTGGTTACAGCGATCTATATTACTTATATTGGCATCGTGTGTTAAAAATCGGAAACTACGAAACAGATTTGAACAAATTTTGAACTTTCAAACAGAATCCTTTATGAAAATGTTTTTAAATTCCGGGCTCCAATTTAATGTGCAACACATCACTGAGTTTGTAATATTTGATGCCATGGCCCTCTTAGTGCAAGGGTACAGAGCTTTATTACAATTGAAATTGCATGGCTTTCATTAGGGGTCATGTCTGGAAAGATAAATCATTCCAAATAACATTTCAAAAATTCGCTTCGCGCTGTCATTAAACAACTTTTGGTACTCCCGTAGTATGTGAATCAAAATGGCGGACGTAGTATGTATACCAGATTAGGATTAGACCATAATTTCAGAAAAAATACTACGGAAGTCCCTTGGCTAGTCCCCGAACTCGTAATAGAACTGATATAAGGAAATTTGGAATAAAATTATGATCTAACCCTAACCTGGTACACATACTACGTTCCGGGGTCCGCCATTTTTGTTCACATACTACGGGATCGCCCAACTTTTTTGGCCGTATAGTGATTCCCAACTATAGGGAATACCGACCATCAGTGTCAAGGCGCTTCCGACAAAAGATTACAACTACTTGAGCATAAGACGCTCGTTGGTAATATTCTTTTCAATAAAAATATTCGACCGCCCCTAGAAACATTTTTTATGCAATTTACTTGAATTTTAACATTTCATAAAATCTTCAGGCGTAGTTAATGCTAAGTTATATATTATACATATGGCATGTATTTTATTAACAAAAATTATTTTTTAACTAAATATAACTCATGAATGATTTCGATAACACTGGCGTTTGAATTTCTTTTACAAAACCGTGGACGTTTACAGAAAAATTTCTGCGCACCCCTTCATATAGATACGCTAGCGCTCCGAAAGTCTGTGCATCAAGATGACGGACATCAGAACGTAGTATGTGTACCAAGTTAGGGTTAAACCATAATTTTATTCCAATTTTCATTATTTTAGTTCCATTATGAGTTCGGGGACTAGCCAAGTGACTCCCGTAGTATTATGGCCTAATCCTAACCTGTTACACATACTACATACTACGTTCCGGTGTCCGCCATCTTGGTTCACATACTTCGGGGAGTACCGATACGCCTCATAGGAAAATGTTAATGAGAGTTGACATGAAGATTCATTCAAACCACTGATTTCAAACTTTTTTCTCAAGCGACCAAACTTTTTTTAAAAAAAATTTGGTAAAATCTCGCTACCAGGGACAAGCTCAAATATTAAACGGCACTTATTACTTTCATGGCCGCAAACTTAACGAATAATATAAAACAATCCTTTCCACATAACATTTATTCTGTCACAAAATTACCCCGAAGTGGGAAGGCAGCGCATGTTTGCGATCAGTGAGTTTTTGAAATGATCACATGGCTTTACCTGGCAAAATGAATTTTGCCAAGTTTTTACGCTTTGATGCTTCCTACAAATACTATTGCTATTGAGCAACACTTCAATACCAAATATAAAATAAAAAATAAAATTAGTGACCTTGGGGTTTTTGTTGAAAAAAAAAACAAGCGACACGAGAAAATTTGCAAGCGACCTGGTAAATACATGTGTAGACAACAATGTAACAGCAGGCTTTAGAAAGCTCTGGTAAACAAATCAAGATTTGCATTTATTCATGTCTTTGTACCGAACGGACAGGATACCTCGCATCTAGGGGCGAAAAAAATAAAAGCTTAAATAACGAACCTGCAACGTCTACGTCCATATCTGCGACCCCCATATCGTCTATGCGGTCTCGGGCAGATCCTGAATCGTCTGAAGACATATCTGTGACAGCAGCGACGGTGTCCGTACCTTCTCACACCGTATCTCCTCACCCCGTATCTGAAATATAATTGAAATATGAGTTAAATCAGGATTTTTCAATCAGGGCTCTGGGATTCTACAGGATCCCGTAGAGTAGTTCTCTGGCGACCACGAGCAAGGTCCGCGAATGATACTTTAATTTTTAGTTATATTGACAACAACTAATTGACTGTGGTTAGTTTTAATCTGTGACTGTAATGCTTTTTTTTTGGCGCTCCCGTAGTATGTGCACCAAGATGGCGCACAACCTGAACCTAACCTGGTACACATACTATGTTCAGATTGTGCGCCATCTTGGTGCACATACAACCGGAGCAACTTTTTTTGTTTTCTTGTTCGAATTTTTGTAATCATACGTGGATCATAAGCAACTCTAATCGACTCGAATCGATTTACAATTTATCAAAGATTCGCAAAGACATTAGGTCAGTGGTCGGCAACCTTTTTTAAGTGACGGACCGGTATATCCTGATCGAAATTTTGGCGGACCACCCTCATACAAATGGACTAAGCGGTGACCGTACATTTGAACCCATGTACATTTGAACCCATGCGTATATCCACGGGTTCAACCTATATGCGGGTGCTAAAACCCATGGGTTAGGGTTAGTATGGGTTTAACTATCCGTGAAACAAAAAAAAATTCCATAGGTGCAATAGCATACAGGTGCAATTGTCATGGGTTCAAATGTACGTGGGTTCAAATGTAATGGAACCGGACTAAGCCTATATGTAATTAGGTACACGCGTTTGAAAATTTATTCAAAAAGGTGATGCTATGCGAGATCTCTATTTGTTTGTTAGCCATTAACAGTTTCCAATTTAGAGACATGGTCGACAGTGATACACGTAACGCGTTTCTTACATTCAGCCTTTTTCGATATTTCGTTTTTGTAGTTGTCAATATTGAAAACGCGGCCCAAAAAAACGATGTTGTGAAAGTAACAATGCATGTACTGCTTCTGTATCTATATCTGGGTATTGCCTTATGTTCGTTTAGCAATAACTAAGGCGTTGTGATTGTCTGCTTTGATGTTGGGTGATGTTTTTTAGTCGTAGGATTAGTGGTTAGATTGTAGAGGTGTTATTAAGGCCTAGTCCGTTTTGTGTCACCTCACTGCGGACCAGTAGTAAACTTTCGGCGGACCGGCAATGGGCCGCGTCCCGGTGGTTGCCGACCACTGCATTAGGTGATCTGAATCGACTCGATAGTCGGATGACCCATAACTTGTCTTGAATCGCAACTGAATGTTTTCTATCTTTTACATGACACCGAACTGAGTGAGTGATGGTGAACCGCTCAGAGCGAATTCTTTTTGACACTGAATGGTGGAAAATGATTTACCTAAAAACCAAGCATAAAACAGATGATTTTCTTAACTCACCTTCTGACAGGCACACGATATCTGCGTCTCCTTTGGTTTCCATACCGCCCATAGTGAGCATGCACGATACAAAGGCAGATGAACAAGACAAACACTATCTTAAGATTCATCTGAAACGCATAAATGCATAGTTTTTTAAATAGGAAAGATAGACCGAAATGCTTAGAAACGGTGTATGCGAGGTTGAAGACCATTGAAAATGCTATTCAACTCTCTTCACCTCGCTATGAACCAATCAACTACAAAAATGTTTGGCTGAACGGCCGCTGTTTTACTTGTTTTACATATGTCGGCGTTTGCTAACGCGTGCTTCACGTATATTTTCTTTAGTCTCATCAGCCAATGTCATTTTAGTGGCCGCCGATTCCTACGCTCAGAGATTGGTTTTTTGAATGAGTGCGCGTTGTTTTAACCATATTCTCAGATGAAAAATGTGCTCAAATTAGTCTAAGTGTAGTCAGGTTCTGATCTGGCTTCCCATTTAAATTTTACCTTTTATCGAATAAAAGGCTGACCCCCATCGTGCTATATCAATATATTCATAACTGCTTATTTGCCTAAAAGTCTTTCCCCTCGAACACCTGTGTCTGCTCGCAACCTGAAGCGTGCTGACTGACTTATACGCCCTTCTGTGAGCGTCACTGCTCTGTCGAATGCGCTGAAGATAATATTTCCATAATAAGAGGAAACATGACGTCATAGTGTTCCCAGACAACTATTGCGTAAATTCTACAAACTAAAAGTTCACTTTGAGAATATTTTGTTTGACACTTTGAGGCTTTTAGCACTTCAGGGTCCCCTGTTCATCATTCCAGTACAATTTATATTGTATATTTGGTTGATAGATTAGAAATCACATCGTGTTCAAACAATTCATGCTTAACAAAGTGAAAACACCCTGTGAAATAATCTTATTAAACGATGAAATTGGGAAGAACCGCGAGTAAAAAGGAAAATGTAAAATCAGTTTTGCGCCTAGCATTGTGACACCCATACGAGGCGTTTTGTGGTCCTCTTGGCAGCCACGCGCCACAGGTTGTGGACCCCTCACCTAAGATAAAGAGAATTTAAGAAAACAGACTACCGGTGGGCCGATAACAGCACAAAACTCGAACCCGAGCACAAATTCTTCCTGCGAAGTATAACTTGACTTTAAATCTAACTACAAATAATTTTCCTTTCAACTCTGTAAAATTCCATTACCAATTATTCGACAACAAGGCATATGGCAGCTTTTTGATAACCTCAATAGAATATGACACCACAATTGGAAAATATATCCGGACTAACCTATTACCTCTACTCTTATATTTTTGTTGAATCAAAGTGAGGAAATGCGTCGCCAGGGTTAAATAAGAGCAAAATATCATTTACCGATACGGCATTATAAAATCCCAAATTCAAATTACAGCTAAATTACGTGCCTTCCTGCAGCACAATAGAAATTTCGAAATTATCCGCATCGCGCTGATAATAAAAATTTGAATTTACTGAGTTTACCCCGTAACTATATGATAGAATAAGCAGTGGTTCTCAAACCTTTCAAGCCGCGCCTCATTTTTGGAACTTTTTAAGTCTCGCGCCCACCCTTAAAAATAACTAGCTAACAATAAGCTACAAATAACATATAATAAAGCAAAAGTATGTTTTATTCAGAAAAACACGTTGAAAATACGTGGACGTAATCGCAATTTCTATACAATAAAGAAATGTAAATATACAAAATAAGGCGAGCAAGATCAAATCTAGCAATTATTTTTATTTTTAATTAGCTTCACGCCCTCTTTTAAATTGTCCTCTTGCGGGGCCACGCCCCACCGTTTGAGAACCACTGTAGATGGATCCATTGCATTGGCGTTTATTTTTACTCCATATCTTTCGTTGCTTTTAATATTTTTATTTTCCCTTAACTGAGTATCTGCAACTTGGTCGCATTTTGCCCAGAAATGAGTCTTTTAATTCTGATTGGCGGCGGGTATAGCTATTAGCACTTAGGTGGTCGCTAGTAACTTTGCGCACTGATGGGCTCTAAAATGTTTTTTAATTGTCGAGTTAGACCACTGATTCTCAACGAATGGGCCACTGCTGGGCTATAGGAACATTTCCAAGTGGGCCACAAGCCTATTAAAAATTACTATCGTTATTGGAAAGTTTAGTTTCATTTGTGTCATTATAGTCAAATTTTCATTGATGCTGCTGCTTTTATTGAGGTAAAAGTATTTATTTTTGCAAAAAGAGTCTTGTTTTTCTTGTAGTTTTCTCCTTGCATGAGAAAGTTAGTGGGCCCCAGAATTTTCATGCAACAAAAGTGGGCCACGAAAGAAAAAAGGTTGAGAACCATTGAGTTAGACCGTAACAGCTAGCGGGTCCAGCCGGAAAACACGGGTTTTCAAAAGTCTTGAGGGTCTGAAAGCATTTCAAGCTACGAAAAATTGCTATGTATGACACAGAAAAATGCTTTTTTACATTTCAAAAGGAGGATTTCGACCTGCACCCACTGAGTATGTCACAGGAAATGGGTCGTGCGTTCAAACGCTTGAGAACTTTTGATATAGGCTTGAAATTCACGTGATCATGCTGAAGTTTTCTAACAGTAATTGACAGTAATCGTTTCATTGTGCTGCACAGATGAACACGGATTTCCTTTTTACTTTGAACCGATTTAATGTAGAATCATTTCAAACCGGCTTGATCCGGTTTGAGTTTGACCAAACTGGATCTAGCTGGTTCATTCCAGAACAAATGCGGTCACGACATCAGATTCTCATTGAAATTGGATCAAATCACTTCCTTCTTGGAATGAATGAACTCAAACGACAATATATCTTTCATGTGTAGTCTGTTCCGTGGTATCGTGTCTTTTCATTTAATGCCCGACAAAAATGGAGTCTAAGATTACAAAAAAGTTTGACAGCATTTTCCCCATTAATATGTATATCATAAGCACTTCCGATTGAATGCAATTTGTACAATACAAACATTAATCCCACTATATATAAATATAAGATAAGTACATTTAAAATCCGACATGCAACACAAATATTGATTGAACCATACGAGGGTTCCTCGTGCACTATTGCAAATGGTTACTATGGGGGGCCGCCAACGGCACATTTGCGCATTTGGCGATAGAAGTATACGCCTCGTATACGCACATATCAAGCAAAATTTGGTGAGAAAAGAAGGCAAATCGTACTTAGCTCCCGGTGGTCCTCGTGATGACATCTATAGTTTTTTTTAATATGGTTGCGGAAGCTTGTGGCCGTTGTGGGACTCGAGTTACGTATCAACAAGAATCTAAGTCAGGGGTTCTCAGACTTTTGCTGTTATGAAGCCTGTAAAGGGGGTTGACTATTATTTAAGGGACCCAATAATAAATTCATGAAAATAAAATTATCCTTTGGAACTTATAGATAATGTCATATTTGAATCAACGCCTTGTTGTCACATTTCGACGCTACTGTTGTCAAATTTTATTGATTAATGCCGTTATTGCTTTTTCGGACAGTTTAAATTAGCCAAGCCAGTATTTTAATAAGTTAATGAACTGCTCGCGTAGCGCCTAGATTTATCTTATAGAGCGCTGTGGCCTCGCACGGGGCACTTTGAGAACTTATGCTGTGAGCGACTCTAATAATCTATACAAAATACCTCGGCTAGAAAATTTGCTTGTTGAAGCTATAAATAAAAAAAAGGCCGCGTTGGTGTCGAGGCAAACAATATCAATACATTAATTTTTCTTTTATTTTAATTTTAAAAATAATGTTGGGTTCGTATGATACAGATTTTTTTGCATGTCAAATGGGAAGGAGAGGAGCGGTGGGAGGTTCCGACACGCAACCTCCTGAATATATCCCTGCCTGTGACGCCGGCATAGTTAGCTCCAACGCTTCGACCTCCTGACTATTATGACACTTTTGCTTACTACACGCGAAGTGGACATATGGATCGGTTTGCTATCATGTTATTGTTGTCAAAAATTTCTAATTCACTACTTTTAGACCAGTTGATTTCAAATTTTCAGTGGTTAAAGCTTGTATTTTCGCTAAAAGGCTATTTTATTTATTCCTAGATTTTCTGCGAGATCTGATATTTCATCTAAAACGCGCTGTTCATTTTTAATTATAGGAACACATTTTATGACGTTTTTATGACGACTGGTACCACTAGTCTGCTATGCAGATTGAATACCCGTACTACAGCGATCTGGATTTGGTGTCCATGTTTAATTTTCCTAAATTTTAAGTGAATGCTATGAGATATGATATTTTATCCAAAATTTCGCTGTGTTATTTTTTACTCATGGAAACACGGTTTTCAATCCGCCAAGCGTGACGACTGTTTCCGATTTGACGCGACGTTACGCGAAACTCGGGGATTTATTGATACCGGTAGGCACGTTACGAAAAGCACTTTATTTGGACTTCGTGTCCATTTATATGAGCATCACTCTCTTGTATTTCATATTGGTAAAGCAACAGAGCTTTGATACTTCAATATAATTTATTTCAGAAATGCAAATAAATGTTACAAAATTGCCGTTTTTTCTAGCATGAACAGGCTGTGTTGCTCATCTCCCATTGACAATCATAACGATGATGAAATCCTTGATGGTGATAGTGACGTCACAATTGAGAATGCCGTTATTGATATCCAAACTGAACCTGAAATATTGAAAAAGATATTGAATAGTTGTTTGCAATAGACTGAAAGAGTGGTTGGTCTAGTTCAGCGGTGGGTAAGGTTTTTGGACCAGGGGCAAAAGTTTTTCCCGCCTAGACTGGCGAGCCATTAGGTGTGACGTAAAAAGTTATTATGAACAATATTGATAGTGGTACAAACATAATAGTGGGAAACAATGAGCCTTCGTGTGAAAACTAAATTTAATAGTAATTAATTCCTTAGGATATTTTCTGATAAAACTTCAAAATTTGGTTTTAGTTTGGGTTGTGGCAGCATCATGCGGACCAGATTAAATTACCCAGCAGGCCGGATTTGGCCCGCGAGCAGTAGTTTGCTCATCTCACCGTATTTTCGGTGAGCAACACTTCACAACTGTACGTATTATACGCTTGTGTAATGCCTACATGTGAATAGTTAAAACGATGCAAGGAATCCAATGATAGGGCCATTTTAGGGTGAACATCACATTCGAGTTTATGACTCAAAGTTGCCTCTTTACATTATACATACCTAAAACAAAATAGTAGCCATAATTTTCTTAGATAGTTACGAAAACACCCAAACTTCATTTTGTGTATAATTGTACCCAAACGTTTAGTAATCAACGACGCTTTGCTCAAAAGTCATGTTCTTTCCAAAATATGTTCCAAGGGACCAAAGTCATGTGTTTTTGCCAAGGGTTCACTTTTATATTGCAATTCTAATTTGCCGCAAAACTTTATGCGCTGTGTATGCACCTGTTTATATTCCTATAAGGCAGTGGTTCCCAACGTTTTATGACTCGTGGCCCTTTCTTGGGAGCTGTTAGCACTCATGGCCTCTGTTTATCATTCCATTGGTTTTTATAATGTGTTATTTTGATTGGTAGACTCCGAATCGCATTAGGTTCAAACAATTCATTCTCAACAAAGTGAAAACACCCTGTGAAATGACCTTCGAGCAGTGAAACTAGGAGGAACGAGGGTATTTTCTTCCAAAGGGAAAAGTACAATTGGTTTTGCGCCTGGCATTGTGACCCCTCCAACCTCGTTGTGGCCCTCTTGTAGGGCCCTGAGACCCCGGTTGAAATCCCCATGCTATAAGATAACCGGGCCAAATTATCCTGTGTGACAAAAAATGAAAAAATTAATATTGGGACTCTACTTACTCGTTTTCTACGGTTCCAATCCATAGGTGGCACTGCTCTGTAGCCTCCTCGTTGATTGTATGACGTCATCGGTGGCCCGTGGAAATTCGAGTTGTGAGAATCTGAAGTATCAATAGCATTGAGTGAGCATGAAATCCATTTAAAATAGGATCTGGATGAGCGTAAGCACAGTAACCTTAGGAATGGTCCCATGGATCGTTTTGTTACTTTGTTTTTGTTATTGATGGTATTTTTCTTCTTTTTCTGAGTACCTACTGGATCTATTGCTTTGAAATTGCAGGCTCAAGGGATGAATTTTTTACTTCGAAATTTTGTGTGAGTACCTCTTGAAAGGTAATGAAAATTATTTGTAGCGGTCCTTCGACCTCTCGTGCTACGATAAAAATCCGGAAGTTTTGGTACCGGCACTGTAAAAGGTAATGCATACTACAGCTTCGCTTTAGTCTTTGTGCTCATATATTTGAGCACCGCTCTCTTGTTTCATAATATAGTAGATCTTTACCTATCTGTATTTACTTGCTCAGAGCCTTGCTCGGAGGTGTTAAATTAAGTGGAATCATATAACTAAAGTTTATTTTATGCTTTTACGCGAGTGAGCAAATTATAGTTCTTAACAATCAAAGTATTTACCGTTTCTAAACCTTGGTCCTTGCATGTTCGGCTGGACGACATCATGGTTTTGTCTCATTCTGCGATTATCATGTGGTTGAAACCCTTGGCTGACATCTCGCGGATCATCTTGACTTGCCCGAACAGGGGCCCGGGCTGTGCTGGCTGATGATTCCTGTGACGGGAAAATGATTTGGTTTAAATTAGGTTTATACTTCGAACACTAATATTTAGCATTTTGTTTCATTAAGAGGGAGTGGGCAGATGATATATAAATGGCGCCATGGCAAAGGGAAAATATGCGCCCCTCGAACAATTTTGAACGACTGTTGTTGAATTGAGATACTTGTACGTTATTATTTGAGTAAAAATACGACTTTTATTTTTTCAACCTGTAATTATATTATTGCGACATTTTACAATCAAAACTTTTTGCGCCCCTTTCCAAACGGCGCCATGGGACGAGACATAGCTCTATATTTTCCCAGTTTCAATAGCAATGCTTTGAACAAGGCTTAGTTCAAGATACGACTTGCTCCAAGAATTGAAAACAGAAAGGATCAGGACATTACAGAACAATGAAATATGGCTTCATAAACTTCAATGTGTAAGAGTACCTTTTTAACATTTTCGCTCGAAACAATATGAGAAGCAATCTTCCTAGTACAGCATTGTTTTTTCAAGTTATTACCGAAGGTGAGGTCGCGGCCATATGGACCGTCTTCCTACATTAACAGTTAGAGTTAGTGTCTGACTTCTTTAATTTATGAATACTTTGAACGAGGTTTTGTTGAATCCTTTTGAGTTGCGTACACTCCATTGGTCTATGAAAGTTCAACCAGCGAACTACGCGCTAATTACAACAAGATTACACGTGAAGTTTTTACGGTCTGTTGTTTCGCATGTGCCCACCTGAAAACAACACATACAATCCGCCTTACCAACGACTCCATGTATCTCTGTCTCAGTCCCTGCATCCTTGGAGAAGACCTCGGATTGTCGTTCGCCACTCGACCTCTACCCTGCTCATTTGAATGACGTGGTCGAGACGTCATCATTTCCCCCTCATGAAACCTTGCTGCAATTTCAAACTCCTCTTCACATTCTGAACAATCGCAAGATTCTCCATGCTCACTACCAGAAAAATCGTCATCGATTACGTCATCATCTCTATAGTAACGTTGATGACGTCGTCTTTTGTTTCTTTGTGGACTTCCGTTTCGAGAATGAGGACGACCCGATGATGGAATGATGAAGTCATCTGGGTGACCCAAGACGTCATCAAAATTGCCAATGACGTCATCTATGTCGTCATCAGAGTAGGATTTGTCTTGTTTGACGGCAAATGCTTTTCTTATATCCCCGAGTTCCACATTATCCGGCAGCTCATGTATTCGACCAGCTGATATTGCTCGGCGAAGACGCCCGTGAATTCGATCTTCTTTGTGATCTGTGAAAAATGTACGTGAATTTGTTTACTCATGTTGCTCATTAAAAATTATTCGGTAATTTTATATCGCTTAATTAAGTTTCAGTAAAAACTGAAGATTTGAATTGAAGTGTTGTTTCTAAAATTCCAACTATTCAAATGAATTATTTGTTTATATTGAAATTTCAGGTTCACCATACTATGTCTTATATCAAGTCTCATGGAGAAAGACAAGTCGTCGCTCATTATTCATAGAGCAAGATTGATTGATGCAACATGCCACCGCTATTCTATATAAATTCGTTAACTCGTGACATTTCAGTGGTCTCTCCTGTTAGGATCATTTTAACACAAACATGGCTTTTGAACCCAAACGAAAGTTTTAAACCGTACTCGAGAAATGAATTTAGAGGAAAATTTCGGTCGAACCAATGCAGGGATTCGTATTCGAGTTGGATTTTCGAATACTTCTCAGAGTCTAATTTAGTTTATTTTTTAGTCGTGAACACAAAAGACGTCAACTGCGTTGAAGTGAGTTCGAATATTTTTATTGGAAATATATTCACCTATTTGTAATGACCGTAGAAGTAGTGAATGTTTCTAACTATTTCATTTCACTAAATAGCTGTGTTGTTTGGCCTTAAACCCTAGGTCGTTGGTTAAATCGAGTCGAGGTTGCATTGTTGAATGACTTACCGGCAGCGTCAGTTATCTGCTTCAGTCCCTGTCTCTCTGCAAATGTGATCACCGCATCCTTTAAAGCAGCTTTATATCCATCCAAGTACGATTTTCCAGCAATTTTTTCTGCGTTAATGACGCCACGATACTGATGACGTAATGGTGACGGAGATCGTGAAAAATCTTCATCGTCGCTGTAGCGAGGTCGCCGTGACCTTCGACCTCTACGTCTTCCGCCGCCTCGTGCGTGTGTTCTTCCACGTTTATGAAAATGTTCGTGGTGGTGACGTTGATGTTGAGGAGGGGAAAATCCCCCCCAGTGCCGTGGGGGTGAAAAAGCATGTTGTGGGGGCCGAGAGTATGGCCCCATGTTCGGGTCCATTGCTTGATACGGGTTACGGGACCCATAAATTGGGCTCCGTATCGAGGGATTAGCCGTCGAGCCATAAACCGAATTTGGGGGATATGGGCCTTGTGTGGGTGTAAATGGCCCCTGGGGAGGAGAAAAAGTGCCTTGTTGTGGAAACATGGGGTTACGTGGGTTGTAAGCTCCATTGGGGTTTGGGTATTGATTCGGAACCTGGGGGTAGTTGGGAGGGAATCTGGAGGGGTCTTGGAGGCGATATGGGGGATTTTGAATTGGGGGATACTGGGGTGTAAATTGCTGTGGGGTTTGATGGGGTAAGTTTGGCATTTGATTATTTGGGGGTAAGTTTGAGAATCCTATTTGTGGGTATGTGGGGAAGTCAACAGCGGTGTTTCTAGGAAGAGTGGAGGCTTCTGATTCAGGGGCTTCTGGGAGATTGATCGTGCAGTCACTCCATTCGCTGTAGACTGAACCAGCCCGACTAGAAGGTCGAGATGGGAAACCGTCGTCTAAAAATTAATGAGAGTGATCGATGTGATGAAAATGTAAATAACAGCAACTTTGCTCAGAGATGAATCTCCTTTACTTATGAGTGAGTGGCCATAACACTGCGCAGAGATGAGTCTCTTTCACCTCTGATTAAGTGCCCGTAAATTTGCTCAGAATTGAGTCTATTTTACTTTTGGGTGGTACGCATGATGCACCACCACAATAGTTTCAGTAGCTCTTAGTAATTAAACACTGCCATAACTTTGCTGAGAGATGAGTCACCTCTATTTTTAATTGAGCGTACCATCATAACTCTATAAAGTTTTAATAGTTCTTGGTATTTCAGTGCTGGTATTCCTCTACCTTTGCTCTGATATTCATTACGTTTATTGCTGAGTTAGCAAGCACTAGGCCGGACATTCTAAATCGGTATCATTTATTGCGCGATATACGTTCATACTCTCACTATGGAGAAGATTGTCTGTTTGTTAGATATGAACCTTATAATTATAAATGTAGTCCAGTTCAACTGCAGGCAAGTAAACTGACCACGTCCAATTTTATGCATTGATATGCACTATTCTACATTGAAATGCCCTCTCTTAATGCCTTTTAGTCCCATAAGTCGTTCTAGAATTTGATATTGGGAATATTAAATATTGGGTAAATTTTACTTCTGAAATCCGCGTAGGGTTAAAGGTGAAACTAGGGGTTATGAACCTATGGATACGGCCGTCGTTAGGGCAATGACATATTAAAGTTATTCACGGAACTAACCTGGCGGTTTTATGTCGTCTTCAAATGTGACAGACTTGACACTCGCTGGCCTTCCATAGTGAGTATTTGTTTGGTTATATCCGGTCATGTCTTTCCCAAACAACTGATACATGAGATCCACTGCTCCGCTGGACACATTCCTAGGTGCCTGTCTACAAAGTAAAAATCAGTATTATCGCGATAGCCTAGAGCAGTGGTTCCCAGTCGTTCATGGCTCGTGGCCCCGTCCCGGAGGCTTTTGGCACTCATGGCCTCTCTGTTCATCATTTAAGTGGTATTATGATTGGTAGATTCGAAATACCACTATGTTAAAACAAGTCAAGCTTGTAAGGGGAAAAGTAAAATCTGTTTTGCGCCCGGCATTGTGGCCCCTCCAACTGTTCTGTGGCCCTCTTGATGGAAGAAACCCCTTAGCACTGGTTTAAGATCAAATTCAACGTACTAATATTTGAATGATAACGTTAAGAGTGGGCAACAAACAAAGGTTGAGCGCCACTGCAGTTAAGCTTTTCAAAACTCCAATTCTCTAAAGGTAATTGTGTAACTGAATTACCTTGTGATGTCATAGATTGGCTCAGAGGAAATGACGTTGTTCTTATCATTTCTCGTTGGAGGGGGAGGAGGCTTGAAAACTGGAACCGATATTACTGTTCTTTTGTTATCTTTTCGATTGACGTCATCGTGGGCTGGTACGTCATCATATACGTTTCGTTTATCCGACGTCATGGGTGAAAGAGCAACTTCGTCATATATGGTGTCCGGGTGACGAGGATCAACTTTGTCTGGAAAATTTAGTAAAAAAAAACCCGTCAAAGTCTTGTTTTGGTTGGCTCGTTAGATAGACAGTGGCGCTTGTACTGAGACTTACTCGAGGCGAAGATGTAAAAACATTAATCTATGGATGTTTCCCGACCCTTGACCCCTAAATAAATTCTCCCTATACTTTATTATTCCAAAATTTTCAACGCTGATTTTGAGAGTAATTTGGAGAGTTGGCTCTTACAAACTGCCTCACATGTTCAAAACTATATTTTTCATTCAAAACAATAAACCACGTGCCGCTTATAGGTATTAATAGCAAATTTTAGACTAGTCTATAGCAGTGTTTGCGGTATCAATTTTTGAATATTGTAACTAAACTAAGGGTCCTCTAAAGACACAATGAGGATTAGGTTATTTCATTGAAACTATTTTCAGGAAACAAAACTCAGGAAAATTTAGTTCAAAAAAATACTCGAAGTCTTGTTCGTGGTAAAGACGTGAATACGACTCGTTAAATAGAAAGGGGAGCTTGGACAGAGACTTGCTCGGAGCGAAGATGCAGGAACATCAAATCTGTTCCTAGAACATGCATGAATGTTTCCCCGAGAATCGATTTCCTTACTGTTCATTTCCGTAACAATAACCGATCAGCAGAAAGCTGTGATAGACTAGGCTAAAATTAGATATTAGTACATGTAAGAGACACGTGGTTGTATATTTCATTAACAATAATTGTTTTGAACATGTAAATCAGTTTGTAAGTGTCAACTCTCTAAAACACGCGCAATAAGCATAAAATATTTTGTCATAGTAAAGTATAGGGAGAATTTTTCTGGGGTCAAGGGTCGAGGAAACATCCATCAAGGTTTATTCGTGTCTTTCGTGCACGTGCGGTTTTGACAGTTGACACATTTCCCAGACATCTATATGATTCTCGCTAGCCTGAATCCATCACTGTACGCACGTGCATGCTATCATACTCAGGTGTCGATTCACAATTTCCGAAAACATGTTTTGCTTGATTAGCAGTTTATTGCATAACTAACTCATTAAACACCCGTTCAACAAGGTCCGTAACTGTTTCCTATTCAATTTTTATCGCCTTGAAAAATTACTTCTCGACGAGGACAACTTTGCCTCGGGATGCAATACTGCTATGCAATTACACTCGTAAACATTAACAATCGGAATAAAATAGATCTGGGTGATTTCTCACAGATGTTGTCGAATAAAGAAAACGCGCGTCGCGACTCAAATAAAATTCTGGGTCAATCTCAGTGTTGCTGATCGATAACCAGAAATTGTTTAAACGCTTCCCTTCGCCCTAAAATGCCATATTCACGTTATTTCCGTATTCTGTTTGTTCAAATACTTTTAAACCATTCGATACAAATATGAAACAAATATGATTCCCGTAAAAGTATTGAAATCTAATATAAAGGCATATGGAAGCCAATTGACAAATATGGAATATTTAGAAGCAGGGGCAGGCAAAGCTTATAAAAATTATAAAGATGAAAAAAATTAATTTCTTGCGAGGTCCCTGCGGGGTGCAGACACCTCGGGTCAGAATTTGACCAGATGGCCTTCATATTTAGAGACTTAAACACTATTAGAAGTGCAATTGCAATTTGGAAGCCCAAATATTTTTCAAACAGTGCTTACAAAAGCTAGAAAATATCTTACGACGCAAAGTTCGGGTACCAGTCGTTTTACAGCAGGGGGCCGAAAAAATTTCTATGCAAATGCGACTTTAGCTGAACACTCAATAACGGAGTCTTCCTACCTTTATCTTTCTCCATATCTTGCAGAATATTCTTCGACAGCGATAAAGCTTGGATAGCAGCTCTCGCCAGCTCCTGTGCGTTCTTTTTGTCGGCGACCAGTGATTTCTAGTAGAAGGACATAGTGTTAAAAAAGGAATATGTAATGGGATTTGAACTATGTGTATGCCATTTCCTTTAATTCATAATCTCAGTCAATAGAATTTATTTGAAACCAAATCTTTTGCACTGAAAATTAAATCGGTTATAATAAAAGTGAAGGACATAATTTTTCCAGGGGATACAACTTTGTAGATTTGAACAAACTGATTGAATGCAGTTATAATCGGATCGGACGACATATAAATAGACTCGAACACACACAATATCAAAACTAGGTCTTTCCTATGGCACTAGACAATTCGGCATTTTGCAGCCTTTTATTAAGGTAATTAGGGCACAAGACCGGGTCATTTGCAAACGTAGCACAGGAATCAAAACAAAAAACCCACGCGGCAAAATGTCACAAATAAAATGCAAACAAAACATTGAACGCAAAACTTTTGCTGAGCACGACAGCATTCACCTTTCCACAGCATTTTATACTAACTTCATCGCTAGATGGCAGTCTTGAAATACTTCGGGTACTATAACTTGGGGAGGTCTGTACAGAAGGGTTGACAAAAGCTATTTTGTAAAAATCATCTTTACTAACTTCGTCACTAGAGGGCAGTCTCGAAATGTTTTGAGAACTGTTGCTAGGCGACGGGTTTGATGACGCGTTCGATACAAATCCAGTGTCTGTTTCTGATGGATATTTCGTTGGCCTGGACAAAAGAGACAAGTATCAATATAGGAATTGCAGAAATATCGGAACTGTTGACGATATACAGAGAACAACCAGCGTTAGCAGAGCGATGTAATTCACCGCAGTTTGTTATTTTCATGTCGTTATTAAGAGGGTGGATTAAGTTAAGAAATATTTATTTTAACAGAGCCGGTCTATCCAATCCTCTACTCACTTTTCATTATCGCTGATTACATTTCCAGTACTTCCGCTAGAAATCCGTCCTCGAGATGTCGGTACAGAGTACAAAGGTTCGTCTATGGTTTGAGAAGGTTGCTGGTTGGTTGATGGTGCCGGTGCACTATCCGGTTTGGTAACAGTAGTCAATTTCGTAACGGTATCCGGTATCGTAGGTTGGTTAACCGGAGATTTTGGTTCTTGTTTTGGAGTTGCTTTCACTTTTGAATCAAATATGTATACTTTACTTCAATAAAGAGTCGTAACACGGAGGCAATGCACAATCACCCAGAATCTTGACTGTGGTAGTCTGTGTTGTGACATTTTTGTAAACTGTCAGTACAATGGCTTATCTAGGGTATACAGTCATGACTCGTGGAATTAGCGTCGTTTGGAGAGGGGCGCATAAAGAGCGACAAGTCCCAATCGTAAAAAGATTTAATAAATTAATTCTAAATTGGAAATAAATGAAACTTGTATTTTTACTCAAATAATAACGTACAAGTATTTCATTTCAACAGTAACCGTTAATAAAATTGTCAATCAACAATCAAGGGAACGCATATTTAAACTTTGCCACGGGCGCCATTTCACGTTGATATGCCGCTGTGTCAGTTAGCGCAATGGTTGTTAACTGTATATGCTTGCTGGTTGAAAATCACAAACTCCTTGTCTACGACTTCACAAAGGATGTAACAAATTATGCATAAAATGACGCACTAAAAAGCTTACGATCCTTAGAATAGCAATACCGCTTATGCGCTTAAGTACCAGATTCACGAGAAATGAATTGAATGACCTAGTTTTCGTGAGAAATATCCATGATTTCATTGTCTCATGAATATGAGATCATTGTTTCATTACCTGTGTGTTCTCTGAAGATTAGAGTTTATAGTCAAAGTAAATTACAAATTGAAAAATTGTTACACCTGGAGACTTGTTTGGATAAATGTTGTTCGAAACATCTCGAACTTACTGAGAATTTTCATTGAAATTTCCATGAAATTTAACGATAATAATTTAGGTTTAGATCACAAATCTCAATATGCTGATTGTACTGCCGCCCGCCTAGCTATGCTGTTATAAAACTTTGTAGAATAGCTGGTATACCTTTATACAGCTTGCATAACTATATAACTACAGAACTAAAGATCATAAGTTGGATTATCTAAACCCGATCTTAGTGTGACGAAGGGGAATCGTTTCAAAGAAATCCTAACGTTGGAAGTTAACTAGGTGCTGATCGGTATATGCATCAAGCCTCAGATAAAGTATAAAAAACTTGACGAATAAAAATAGACTCTTGGTGGCATCTGGGTTGTGTGTTCAACCCATCTAAGAATTGACAAAAATCGATTTAAAAATCACAAACCTGTGTGCTGTTGTTTGGGTCTGAAGCCGAAATCTATATCGCTCACTTGGTAATTTCCCTTCGGTTTGGGCAGTAGCGTTCGCCTCATCAACCATGGTTTTGGCCCGAGTCTGTTCTGGGCAGGTATGTCCGTTGTTTCGTCATAGATCTCGTTCACTACGTCCATAAAGGATGATCTCGTCGGATTAGATTTTTGTTGCAACTGATTACGTGGTGTTGATGGTAGCTTGAGTAATGACGACTTATTTATGACGTCATTGTTTTTGTTTGTTGATGACGCAATGTTAGTTAGATTTTTGTTTACAGTGAGGTCAGTGGAAGATGAAAGCCCACCGCTTGCGATTGTTTCGTCATCACTGGAAGTTGTGGAAGATAAATGATAATCTGCGTCATCGTCTGACGTCAAAATGTCGTCATCCGAAGATTCGAAACTATATTTTCTTCCTGTTGCCACGGGTTTCCGGGGAGGATCGATAATTTGGGAAAAGTTCTGGGTTGATTCGTCATTTAAAGGTTTCCTGCGAATATAAGTTGAATAAGTGAATTTAGGTAATTCCTGCGTGTTAGGAAAGATGAAAATGTTTCAACATATTGACTCAAAACAAGGCCATGATAAAGCCACCGATATGTATATTGTCGGCCTTTATAAGAATCCAAACATATAAACAAATGTTCTCGAAAGAATTTACTTAAGCAAGGTTACGCGCCCTGACGCTAGGTAGAGAAGCTCTGAGCCCTCTCTCTCTCACTCTGAGCAAAGCTAAGAACGAAAATTTTCTTTAAGACCGATACACTGGTAGAAAACGGATGAGGGCTCTTATCCAACTGAGTACAATGACTGCCGTGGGCTTTTATAGGAGCAGTGTTAATTCTAGATGCAAATGTATTTATTGATGATATATTGCAAGACTTCGACAAAACCCTCAAAGCAAAGTTATCCACTTGCAACTATGACTACTTCCATTAATTGCGAGTTTGAACTTTGTTGAACGAATTCATTTTCTATTACAAAATCTTAATTTCCAAATATTATTTTTATCTCTACCCAGAGAAAGTCCTACGCAATCCGCATTTATTATGGCCCTGCATGACTAAAAAATTGATTGTTTCCAGTTACCTACCCCCCCCCCCCCTTTTGCTCAGCCACGTTTTTTAATGAAAAATTAGTAATCATCCAGTTGGGGTCAGGAATGAATTAAAATTTCCAGCGCAATCTGCATTTCTAATCCTAACTGGATAATATGATCATATTTTAGTGGAGCGGATAACTGGAAAAAGTCCAAAAAATTTATTGGAAAAGCAAGTCCCTTGAAATACTCACATTTCAGTTCCGACGCTATCCTCGCGACCAGTCTGCATGTATTGAATGTCATGAGCCGTTGTCGAAGACATCTCAACACAATGAATCACTATTTCTATTCCTAGAACTGAAAATAAAAGACCTGAAGCTTAGAATCACGCTCACTTCCCTTATTGGCTGTTTTGGTGAAAATCATATGATGCCCACAGGGAGTTCGTATGTACAACCGGTATTTGCGCCGAAAAAATCACGGGGTACTGAGCGACAATGTGTTTTTAATATTTATAAGAGATCCAATTCAGTGTATAATGTGACATACCTATGTAACACTTTGTGGCCCAAACTACGTATAATGGCGCCCATGGTAAAGTTCAATGTGCGCCCTTTGACCGTTAATCAACGATTTTTATCGATGATTGTTGTTGAAATGAGACGTTATTATTAAAAATACGCGAGTCTTTTAAATTTTAAATTATTTTAAAAAATTGTTAATTGAAAATTGGTTCAAGTCTCCACCTCGACCCGGGCGTAATAAATAATCGCCGAATCGGAAAGATTTCTGTACTTTGAAATAACAGCGGCGCCTCATAAATCGTTGGATATCAGTGACTGTTTGTACAAAGCCTCGTTCCAGGCGAAATGCGCGAATAAGCGACTTATAGCGAATCTGAATAATAATCTGTTGCTATTTTATTATCGCTGCAACATTGATTTTTTAGGTAAAATAAGGATAAATTAGGTAACGATTATTATTAAGGAAAAACGTTTTTACGAATGCAAAATTTGAATGATCTGACTTATCCTAGTTCACCGGTTTTCAACCAGTGGGCCATGCCTTACTGCTGGGCCGCAGAAACATTTTCAGGTGGACCCTAAACCTATTAAAAATTGCGTTGAAGTTGAATTGAAATTGAGTTATTCAAAAATTTACCTCCGATTGCGTCACTACGGGTAATTCTTTACTGTAGTTATAATTATTGAAGTGAGAGTATCTATTTTTGACAGAAGAGTTATTTATTTCTTTTAGTTTTCCTCTTGCATAAAAAAGTCGCAGAATTTTTAGGCAACAACAAAAATGGGCCACGAAATATAAGAGGTTCAGAACCACAGTCCCAATTCAAGATAAACGTAATCGATGAAAACGAAAAAAAAATCAGTATTTTCGTTTTCTTTGATTCTATTTATCCACGGTTTGGATATTAAAGATAAGTCACTACCCTTCGTTCAAATTATCCGCGCCTGAACTATGATAAACAAAAGTAACAGATAGGGATAAGAAAATCAGTGTTCGGCAATAACATAATAGTACAGCCAACCCAGGATAAAAAGTGAACAAAAAGGGGGAAGGCACTCTCCGTTCGACTAACACCCTTCTATTAGTAATCTAACCTGATCTTGGTTTAAACAAACAAACATAATCCACCAATGTTTGTTATTTTAAGAGATTGAATGAACGCAAATCTAGCTTGTCAATGAATTTAATCTGATAATTCAGTTGAACAATGGAGATAGTGAGATATGAAACATTACCGGTGTGAGCGAAATTAGCAGCGGAAAGTTAGCAATGGTTCGTCAGTATCGCTGATTTAACAACATTTTTTTAAACCCAATTTTGCGGCATTTGCAGTGAGGCATAAGTTGTAACGCCTTTCCCAACAACCTTTCGCTCTATTCTTGAATGATTTACTGAAAATTAATATTCTTTTCACCAAATGAACCAACCGAGATACATGAAAATGAGCGCTTGCATAACTTCAAGAGCGAAGTAAGTCTGTAGAGATATTATTCAAGATATTGTTAGACATCAGTGGCTACTTTTGCAGTCTTGTTCGGAGAAAGGGCACGAGTGAGCGTCGTATTACGTCATTTTACAAAACAAAAATTTGGTCTGGCTACGCTCTTGGTATCGAGCTGTAGCAAGAGTGAAGACACCATTCCATGCAATTCAAGTGTGCAGTGAGACTCCTGAATCACTTAGAATCACGGCATTATTATCACGGCTTATTACGGCAAAAACAGAACAGAGCTACACCACCTGACCAATTCCGAGTTTATATTCCTTTCCTGAGTTGTATTTTCTCACTTATCTCATAAGTAATTTTGAGTTACATTTTTAACAGCGGATTGGTTATTAGAGTGACTTCCTCCATAGGGGGCTATTACACTGCAATATAGTGGATTCTTACGTAACGCACAGCTAAAACTCTCTTGAATAATGACGCGGACTTTCCATATTCAACTCACATCTACGTTCGAGTACATTTCTAACACGTACAAAGTTTGTTCAAAGCCTTCGCCACTGAAGCAAAAACATTTGAAATTTAAGAACGACATCGCCGTCACGTTTTAAAACAACAAATTAGTAATTATCTGGTTAGGGTCAGGGATGATTTAAAAATATAAATTTCCAGCGCAATCTGCATTCCTAACTTTAACCAAAATACTAACTGGATAATTACTAATGTTATTATCGTTGGCGAGTGTTTTTTTGCAGAGGCTTTGTACAAAAAGATCTGAATTTTTAAAGCAGGTAAATAAATATCTGCAAAACTGCTCATTGTATGATGCTAGTCTCATTCAAGTCAGCTCAATCGGCAATCTGAGCGTTCACCATATCACGACAAAAACAGAACAAATAAGCTCAACGTAGTATTAGAATTTTGGCCACTCGAGATGTGTGTGTACCAATATGGCGGTAACTAATTTTGTTCGCCTACTTTACATCTAGATGTGCAAATGGACTGAAACCTCTGGGCAGGAGTATATTGACTTGCTAAGACAGACAGTTCCCGAACTCGTAATAGAACTGAAATAAGGAAAATCGGAATAAAATTATGGCGTAGCACTAATCTTGTACATACACTACGGAAGTACCGAATTTTGAATACCTCATTGTGTGAAGTCTACTAGTGCTACCAGTCATCTATACAGATATACAGACGAATTTTACGGCTGCAACATAACATCTATTAAAACGCGCTTCCTCCAATTTTGTTACGGTCTTGCCACGACAAAAACAGAAAAAAAAAGACATGTAGTAGGGTATTAAAATTTGTAATACCTCATTGCGCAAAGTGCTACCAGTCAACTATAGAGACATGCGGACGAATTCTAGGGCTGTGACATAACGTCTATCGAAACGCGCTTAATTGAATTTTGTTGCGACCTTGTCACGCCAAAAGCAAAACAAATAAGACATATTGTAGAGTATTAGAATTTGAAATACCTCATTGTGTGAAGTCTACTAGTGCTACGAGTCAACTATACAGATATATAGACGAATTTTACGGATGTGACCCAACGCCTATCAAAACGCGCTTTTCTTGAACTATGTTACGGCTTTATCACTGCAAAACAGGACAAAACAGAACAAATTGAACAACGAAATACAGTAGTAGAATTTGGAATATCGTATTACGCAAAGTGATACTAGTAAAGTAAATTATACAAACGAATTTTATGGCTGCGACATAACATCTATCAAAACGCACTTCCTTGAATTTTGCTTCAACCTATTCAACCCGCAATTAAACTTAAAATACCTTTCGACAATCCTAAATTATACTTCTAACATCGAACACCTGAACAAGACCATCAAGATAATGAAGCGATATAAGGCGGAAGGAACGCCGTCTAACACGTTTCACTTATACCCCGAGGGGAAGAGACGGTCGTTCGCTGTTGAAAAAGGCGACGGATTTCTTAAATTTTTGTGTAACTAGTAGCCTGAGTAATAAAAGATTTTATCTGGCCGTTATTACGGTATTCTCACACGATGGCGTGAAATTTAGTTTGTGAAATGCAGTGAGACATAAATTCATTCGCCTTTTTCAACGCCTTTTTCCTCCATTCTTGAACGATTTACTGAAAACTGACTTTCTGATTTGCTATCTATAATTCTTTAACCAAATGAATCAACCGAGATAGATGAAAATGCGCGCTTATACCTTGGATAACTTCGACTCCAAAGTAAGTCTGTAGGAAGATTCTAAATAATGTTAGATATCAGTGGCTACTTTTATCAGGCCTCATTCGAAGAAAAAGAACGAGTAAACGTCGTATTACATTGATATACAAAAATGTTTTTTCTCGCCCCCTAAAATTTTAGCCTGGCTACGCTCTTGCCGCCAGGAAACCCTCAATTCCACAAAAACGTGGAAATTGTCCATTGGTTGAGAACCCCTGAGATAGACGAATTGGACGGTCATTTCATAAGTTTCTTACCAATTGTGATGGTTAAATAGCCAAAGCAATAATGGAGTGTTACGTTTCATTCAAATACAACACGAGTGCGCAATATTCAAGTGCGTCCATTGATTAATATGAAACGCAAGGCCGATTTTTCTTCCGAAATCGAACACAGCAAACTTCTACAGCGTTCCGCAAAATATACGTTTTGCTTTTCGAGTTAATATGACATCATTATTCTTGATGAGTTGAACAATGAACCATGGCAACCGCATTTTTTCATAAGAACAAGCATAGCAACTAATTATGCCGTAATTAATGAGTGATAATAGCCCGGCGTTTATAATCAATTAGCGATGTTTATGACGTAAATAATATAAACAAACAACAATCGGGCTGATATTTATACTGCAATGCTCTGAGTCAGATTAATTTTTAAACGGAACAAAACACAGGACACAGCAAGTACACGAATAACACTAGTCTATGGTGGCCCATCGTTGTCACGCGTAAAATTGAAAATAAAAATAAAAAATAAAATAAAAAACCGATAATAAAAATTTTTTTGTAAAAAACATAAAAATAATTAAAAAAAATGAAAAAAAAAAATTAAAATTAAAAAAAAATAAATAAATAAAAACGTAATAAAGAAAAAAAAAAAATTAAAAAAAAAAAAAGAAATAAAAAGGTTGACAACGATGGTCCGCCTCGTGGCCCATCGTTGTCACGCGTTTTTATTTTTAGAAAATTTGCTTCTGCTTGGGACCAACGTTGTCAGGCATAATCCTACGCGCACAAATGTGTTCCCTGGGTTTCAAACTCACTACTGATTTTCTTGAGCAATATTCAATATGAAAATGTTCTATAAATTCTCCATGCTACAAGTTCAACAAGAAGTAATATATTTATAATAATGATAAGAGAATATAGAATTGAATACGAAAATTCGGAAAATTTGTTTTTACGTGTATAAGGTAATTTAATTGGAGAATGCTGCTTAACTACTCAGTTGTCTGCACACTCGCGATGCCGGTACCGTACCGTCTTACCAAATACCGGTAGTCGGTTATAGTCGCTTTGCGTCTGACCGTACCGGTAGCCATACAATCACTCATCATCTCCCATTCTTTCACGAGTGATTGCATGGGTACCGGTACGGTCAGACGATACCGTACCGGCATCGCACGAGTGTCTGAGCAGTTAAGCAGCATTTTCCAATTAAATTACCTTCTACACGTAAAAACAAATTTTCGTATCCAATTCTATATTCTCTTATCCTTATTATAAATATATTGCTTGTGGTTGAACTTGTAGCATGGATAATTTGTAGAACATTTTCATGTTGAATTTATTGGATATTGGTCATGAAAATCAGTAGTGAGTTAGAAACCCAGGAAACACATTTGTGCGTGTAGGATCAAGTCTGACAACGTTGGTCCCAAGCAGCATCGAATTTTCTAAAAATAAAAACGCGTGACAACGATGGGCCACGAGGCGGACCATCGTTGTCAACCTTTTTATTTTCTTTTTATCCAATTTTTTTTTTCAAATTTTTTTTTTTTTTTCAATTTTTTTTTTAATTTTAATTTTTTTTTAAATTTTTTTGTTTGTTTTATTTTTCAATTTTTTTTTTTATTTTAAATTTTTTTTTATTTCTTTTTTTTTCAATTATTTTTATGTTTTTTCACAACTATTTTTTTATTTTCGCTTTTTCATTTTATTTTTTCATTTTTTTTTTAAATTTTACACGTGACAACGATGGGCCACCATACTAGTCCCAACCAAAGCTACCTGAGGTGCGGAACTGCGCCATTGCGCACGAACACCAGGACATTTGCGCAGTAAAATCTCATTCTCGTGCACTTAAAACATTACATCTAAGCATTGCTCTCATATTTTCTAAAACCTAGATAGAATGCACCGTGTAGTTTGGTCGGCTATTTTCAGTCGAACCTACAATGCCAGCGCTGGTCGGTGTCGCATTTCAAGAAGCTATTTTAGTTGAATGTGTACTTTGTTCGTATTCTGCTAATGAAATTTCACAGAGTTTGTAAATCATTCAAGACTCTGCTCATCATCAAAATATTCAGGCTCAATAAAACAAACATTTGCCATGCAATTTAACATTTTTTTAACGGGAACACTAGTCCTAACCCTGATAAAGAGGAATGTTGATCGAGAAGAGTGACTAATATGTGTAGTACAAAGCCACTTCCGAATAGCGAGCGCTTGGCAATTCCTGATATTTCTGGAAAACATAATTTCATGATATGCTGCCTTGCCTTGCGCAAGACTCTCGTATTATTAAAGTTACTTTAACCCAAGTATCTCTGCATTTTGTTTGTCTGTTTACTTTTTGTGTTGTTCATGTCAGAGAACCGAAATAAAATGATTGATTGAGCCGTGCTTTTGTATTCAGTCATCCTAATGACCCCTGGTGTTCCTGGGTCATTTTGACACCCCTCTATAATTTTTTTTAATATTTCACCAACCAAAAAATGCCAAAGACATCATTAATGTGTCCCTAAAAAGCTTATTTTCGTCGCTTTCCACTAAAACGCGCCCACATTACGTAGCGTAAATGCGTCCGACCATATGCCAGTAAGAAGAGAGAAATTTCAAAAAATTTCGAAAAAAAGTTTCTCACTTTAACGCTGTGGTCAACACGTGCTTGATATGCGAGAGAAAGAGTTTTCCTTTGGACGAGTTTTACGTCACCTTCAAAATAAAACAAAAGTGGGATTTGTAAGTGAAGTGATATTCGTTTTATCGAAGAGCATTTGATCGCGTGCTGTCTGGTATCTTTGTTTGTTTATTATGAGCCGGAGAACGTTGCTCGCGCGTTCAAAATACTTCGTTTTCAACTAACAACAAATATTTGATTATTTTTAAGCTTTGAAATACTCATACAAATAAATTTGACCTTGTTGCAAAATAAAAAATATACATAAAAAAAATATGATGACGTCACCGTAATTGAGAACACTCGGATCAAGCATGGATAATTTAAACTCAAAAATTTTGAGTTTTGAAATTGGTTTTGTTCACATGCAGACCACTATGAAATACTATTGACCCCCCAAAATAGAGTTAATTTAGCCATAATCCCAAGTTATGACACAGATCTGGAATTTATGACCGGGCCGATCCTAGAGAGTTTAGGGAAATTCATTAATTTTTCTTGTCTCTGCCAGATTGTGCCTTGTGCAATCTGATTCGCCTGGAGATAATTGGAAATATCCGACAAATGGCGCTGTGTTTTTCAGTCAAAAAGGAACGAGCGGTAGCGATTACGTTTCAGGGTATCAATGACAATCTACCCATGGTTTGGAGTTGATGCGAAATTGTATTTGAAACGAATAGACATGATGGGAAAAAGTAGATCGTGGGTCACCTGCGCCATATAGCGGATCACGGAAACCGCGAGGTAGAATTTGGTGAATAAATTTGATGTTTAATGAATGAGTTAAATGATGAACCATGTCTTCGCAACACTACTTATCCGTGCATTTCGTATGGCGCAGTACATGAATATTCATATTGGTATGCGATGCCATGTGGTATTTTGTATATCCCAGAAAATGAAAGATCTTCAAAATATGATCTGGTTCGGAGTAATTTGTCTAGATGCTGTTCCGCGTAAGTGTTAAAGTATTGCTGGGTTCTTACGACATTGCATCACGACAATCAAAGTCTAAAAGCACGTTACTCATAGTTAAGTGTTTCACTGGCTGAATAACTTCAATATTATTCCAATTCTGCATTCAGTGATTCGTTTACCTTTCAGGCGGAATACTTCGTTCACTTCCATCATGGGCAAACTACAACCGGCGGGCAAATCCGGTCACTAGGGTAATTCAATCTGGCCCACCTGATGTGCCACAACCAAACTTAAACCAATTTTTGATGTTTCAGCTAAATAAAAAGAATTTGCTGAGATTGTGATCTAGTTTGAGCACGAGGTTTATTGTTTTCCACTTTTGCAACACTGCAAAATATTGTTCCTAAAATGAAACTTTTTACGTCACATTCGCATGGCCCGCCAGTTTATGTGGGCAAAATTTTTGGCCCCTGATCCGAAAACCTCGCCCACCACCGGCCCAGATGTTAAAAACATGACAAGCCTGGCGCGAACTAAACGCCATCGCAGTAAAGTTTGTTACTGTTCAACAAAACCCCCTTAATAAAATGCGCAATTGTTGTTCTAGCCCAGTTACAGATTTTCCTGGCGGAGTTCATTATTCTACTCTTGTCACTTTCTTCCATGAAGTTTGAATTATTGTGATAAGCTGATACGACTTGAACAGTGCTTAGAGATGAACTGGCATCGCTCCTCTACATGAGCATGGAAGCAGATAAAACTAAAAACAGTTCAGTCATATTCTTGAAGCTATAAATTCCAAACATGCTGTAACAGTAGAAAGCCCCCTTGTATCTCATATAACTAGGCGGGCTTGGCGCACCGTGCACGTCGGATTACCCTGCGTGGGTCAGCAGGTTCGAATCCCGTGCGAGGGATTACTGGACTGCTCGCCGCCGTTGGGTGGTTCACGTAACCGCTGGTCGGTTACGGCTTCTTCCACCACCAAGTTTATCCATCTGAAAACAAATAACTGGCTAACTAATCTCATACCAGACATGGACTGGTAGCCGGACGCGACGCCGTGGTTCGCCATAATCGGCTTTTTTCTCCCCCGGGTTAAATATGTAAATCATGTCTTATCCTCAACTAGCCGTCGTCGTATCGACTTTCCATTTAGCAAACTCACCACCAGAAGTCAGCAACACACGTAGATTGTCACAAACTCACCGATTGAAAATAAAATCACAAAAATAATCAGGAACAAGAATAATAAAGGTGTGGAAAGTATCATAGTGCCAAGCTTGGCTCGAATATGAAAACAATATACTGTGTGACACCACAATACCAAAGTGTGACATCATAATATCATTTATCGCCAGAATACAATAATCGTTCTTGAATAAAATTTCAGCCACAAAGTTGTCTCATACTTGTCGCTCTATAGCTTTCCATGTGGCTGGCAATATAAATGAATGATGTAACGTTCATGCCACCGGGTGCTTGGTCAGACCCTTGTTCAAGAAGAAATACTCTGATAAGACAAAATACCAATTCATATTTTGAATTCAAGTTGGGGGTAGTTTTAGTATGGTGCTGGAATATGATTGAAATAAGAGTACTCCTGTAGTATGTGTACCAGGTTAGGGTTAGGCCATAATTTCTTTCCAATTTTAGTTCTGTTACGAGTTCACTGACTGTGTTAGCCAAGTGAATATAGGTTTCAATCCATTTACACAACTTGATGTGACAAAGGCGAACAAAATTAGTTACTTCCATATTGCTACACGCACTTCTGAGAACGCCTAAATAGGAACTGGTATATTATTCCCGAAATTATGGCATACACATGATCGAGCAGATAGATATGTAAATTCCATCCCAAATACAAGATATCAAAACCTATGAAAAGAAAAGATCTTGCGCTAGCCTCGATTATGAAAGATGGAATTCGTGATATAACGTTCGGGCCAAGTCTGACACAGTGATACTTCCCACATAATAATGAGGTAACAACGGAGATACAGAGAAGAATAATGCAGGTTGTCACAGGGACTGACATGGAATAGTTTTAAAGTGGTGACGTCATAACACTGATGACGTCATTGACAATAATAAAATACAACTCCAGAACACATAGGTTGGTAAATCATTTGATAATTTGCAGCATACTCAGGAGGTATTGAGTGACTAAATACTTTTTTTTCAAATTTTCAAAACTTTGTTAAACCAAAAAAAGTGTTACCTCTCATGGTAATGGAAATTTAGTGATGTCATAGCTGATGATGTCACTGACATTAAAAAAAAAATTCTCCAAAAACGCATGGAATTTACTGGGATGCAACTTAGAGATACATGGCAAGTAATGGATTGTTCAGATATTTTGAATTTCAAGTCGGGAAAAAGTTTACAAATGATAGTAAATGATATTCAACTTGGGCCCACTAGTGGAATATGTTGAGACAGTCAATAGAATTGGTGGGCAATTATAGTAACGAGAAACACACTAGAATATGCAACATTCAAAATTAGAAAAAATTACAAATTGTTTTATACAATCAGATCGGATCAGATGATTTTAAAACAATAAGGAATTCTCAAGCAATTTTCATTAGGAGACACATACTCAGAGTTTGGTATTCTAAATTATGAAATTATTCTATGAAATTTCAGAGTTGATTGAACAAGTATTTGACAAATTATTCAATTTGATAAAGCTTATGAAATACATAGTCATATATTTCCCAAGTTCCTTTCGCCATGCATACCAATTAGGAATTTCATGAAAACAATCACTTTGCTTTATAATTATTTGACATTTGAATTTCCATACTGACTAAAATATGTCTAACGACATCATACCTTTCCGAAGTTTGATTATCAAATATTTGTCAATTAATATTAAATTATAACATATACCAGGATACAAGCTGAATCACTATTTTACAGTAATCAGTTAAAAGTCAAATAACAGGCTGCCAACTGCTCACATTATCAAGTCTCAGATTACGCTGCATTCACTGCACCATTATTGTACAGTGGCTGTTTGCCGGTAACTTTGTTCACAGATGGGTCTCCATTACTTCAGAGTCAGCCAGCCACTAAATTCTCTATAATTTTAGTAGCTTTTGGCATTTCAGTGGGTCCCGTAACCAACATTCCCTTATTTTCTATTTTTTCTAATTTTCTGTGAAGACCTTTTTTTTGGAGCTCACATGGCCTTCTATTCCACGCAGCTCTTAGAGGGAATGTTGCCTGTGAGTTATCTAAGACACGAGTCTTTTAACTTCTGAGTGAGTGCAATTATCTTTTCCTTAAACTTTATTCGTCCACCCCTACATGCTGGACGGGGTCACTTACGACAGGTAACTTTACATAGGTATAGTGCTTCTGAGGACGGTCATTGAATATATTACTGCATTACATTGCACACTAGGGGTCGCTAGAGAGTCCACCGCTAGATGGCACTGGTGTACATATAATTGATATTCGGTCTGGTGTTCATTTCGTTGCTATAGTAACCATGGTCATGGTTGACTGCAGGAATCAAAGCGTTCTCTGATGGCAACGTTGCTATTGACAACGATGATGCAGAGCTTGTTAATGACGCAGGAGAATTATTCGCTTGGTCATGCAAGACTGATAATCTGTCATGTGGAACAGATGATGATAGAACTCTATGGCACTCCTGGTGGCCTCGATGTTCGGTTATCATAGCAGCTGTCTCTCCCGTTGCTGTTCGTTGACGTACGTCAGCCTTATTCTGTTGAAAAAATACAATTAGAGTCAGTTTACTGTTAGAATAGGTATAGAATAGGAAAGATGATCAGTTTAGTCATAAGACACCACGGCTCTTCATCAAATTACTATTTAGGTCTAGTATGAACTGGTCCATCCTAACGAATCAAGATTAGAGGGCGGGAGAATCAATCAGCAAGTGAACCACCTAGTGAGTGAATCTGGTCATCAAATAACTATTTCTAGACACAAGTTTTTGTGTGTAGATAACCCAGAGGTGGGCACGGTTTGTGTGATGTAAAAAGTTACATTTCATAAATAATATTAACAGTGTTACAAAAGCAAAAGTGGCACAACTTGACCAACAACTAGATAAAATGATAGAATAGCTGACCGCAAGTGAGCATGACATTCATTCCCCCAAGCACGGGCGTAGCCGGGTTGGAAAGCCGTATGTTAAATGTAAAAAGAAGCATTTTTATGTATCATACAGAGTAATTTTTTGTAGCTTTTAGACACTCAAGATTCTTGAAACCCCACAGGGCTTTATTCAAAGCAAACTGCGTAAATTAAAAAGTATGTGAATGAGTAGGTAATAATGAATCAACAATTACCCAGAGTAGGAGTTGCAGCATAGCAAGATCCCCATGGTAAGCAGCAATATGTAACGCAGCACGATGGTCTCTCGTCGCTGGTGCATTTATGTCACTAGGTGTCGCATGTGAGAGCATTTGAACCAACAGGCGCATGTTGGCGCTAGAGATTGCTTCACAAATAGTGGCTAAAACGTCGCATTCTGCGGGGAGTGAGGAGACGAACTTTTTATGAATATATTTGTCACGGATGAATACTTCTCGTTCCTCCCTAGAAAATATGAGTGAAATCTATTAGTAGCAGCTCCACTATCATTATTTGTCTTACAAGGGCTCACTTACATAAAAAATGTAACATCGAATCGTGTAAACTTATTCCTATCCAGAAAAATTTTTTCTGGATAGACGAGCTGACTTTTGTATTTACACCACAGAAAAGGAAGTAATAATAGTTGAATAGTAATAGTGGGTGTTGACATCGATGACCGCATCGCTCCCTCCCGTCCACACTAAAACAATTTTATTGCTGTTACTCTTTTACTGCATTAATGACATGACAAAATAATAAATTTCTTTTCTCTCTGGAAAGAGAGGTATTGACTCAGGACAGGGAGAGAGAAGTGTAGCGAACCGTTTGCGCATAGAGTCACCCATCATCAGCATGCGACTAGCTCTCAGCACAACATTTCGATGAGTATGACTCACAGTTTTTTACAAGCTTAGCAATTATGGGACAGGCGGGAAGACAACCAAAGACAAAACTAATTCTGATGACTCAAATGTGAATGGATGGAGATTAAATGTAATGCGGTGAGTCAATACACGGCAAAAAAATATAATCATTACTCTACAGACCAACGACCAGGGGTGGGCAATTACTTTTTCTAGTGGGCCAGCTACATGGTTAATAAAACTTTATTTCAAAAATTTCTGTGGGTTCTATGGAATTCGTTTTTCACTTCAACGCTTCGTGTGGGCCGCCTGTTCCACACCCATGATATAGACAATTTGATTCATAAAAAACACTTTACCTTGTTGAATGTGGAGTAGGTTTAATAAATCTGCCCACATTTGCTTCATAGACTGAATTACAAACTCGGTTTCCAACTTGCTTCATAACTGCACTGCATTCTATCGGCCAATCATCTAGTTCTGAGAAAATGTTTGGATTAGTTAGCGAGTAAAATTGAGCATCGGAAAATTTCAGTAAATCATGTGTAGGATGGAAATTTCATAATTATCCTGGGGGAGAAGAAAGTCGATAATGCGGCAAAATCATATGACGAACCATGGTCTCTCGTCTAAAAACGGTCCATGTCAGGTATGGGATTAGTTATTTGTTTTCAGATGAGTGGATTTGTAATTTGCCCCATCACAGGTAAATTTTAATTGGAGCGTTTGAATTGGGTTCTGAACTTTTCATATTAAAGCTGTTGATTTAACAATAGTAATATTTCTGGTTGAGGAGTGCATATCCATATTTATACAACTATACTTTTTTTATTGATTGGGTTTCTACAAGTCTAACTATTTATCCGTCTTCTGAGGAAGTCTGACTATATCTCGACGAAACGTTACAGAAATAATATTTGTGTTAGTGTGCAGCAGGGCTCTTGAATCACTAGGACAGGGTTTCCCAAACTTTTTGGGCCGCGTACCCCTGTTGGTGAATCTTATTTATGACAGACGCCCTGCCATATAAATTTTCTTGCCTAATCAGCGAGGAAGGATAATGTTTAATTTGACAAAATAAAACTCATGAAATGGTAAATACTAGTAGCCCAACGAAAATTCGATAAGATTATAATCTATTTGCCCACTGATCAGAAGATCCCAGTTTGAGAGACCCTGATTTAGAATATTCTACTTTTTTTATTTGCAACCTAGTTTGATCCATGTAGTCTAGTTGCTAAGCCGTCTTACCAGCCCATACTATGCTTGGCACCAGAAGTGTGTGTACAAATATGGAGGTAACTAATTTGTTTCGCCTACTTTACATCAAGTTGTGTAAAGGTAATGAATCCTATGCGCAGGGGAATGTTCACTTGGCTAACACAGACAGTCCCTGAACTCATAATAGAACTAAAACAAGGAAAATCATAATAAAATTATGGCCCAACCCTAACCTGGTACACACACTACAGGAGTACCCACAATCCCACTCACCTATTGATCGGACTCTTGAAACATGCGAACCCAGATTCCTATGAATCCCCGAGCACTGAATGCACATCATACATCCAAGATTGAGAGAAGCCCACGTAGGATTCGGACAGTCACAATCCACGCATGTATCGTTACCAGGAATGCTACGAAACACTCCCACATCAACGGGTGTCATCATCGTGCAGTCAGTCTGAGAAAATGTTTTATTGTTAGTTTTTCTGGTATTGCATAGACAATTTTTTGAGAGGGCTTGAAGCTAAGCTATTTTAGATATTCAAATTTTTTTATTTTGGATATTTATGTTCCATCCACAAATTTTTAACGTGTTTTTTGAATATAACATCATACTTTCGCCTGACTATCAGTTATTTGTAGCTTATTGTTAGCTAGATATTTTTGAGACTTTTGAAAATTCGAAAAAGGGGGCGCGGCTTAAGTTTTAAAACCACTCACTGATCTAGGCGATGTTAGAAGGTCCGATATTTTCTCATTTCAGAACCGTTCAACTCAATTTTTACATTCACATTTTTTTATTAAAAGATGGGTAAGCGAGGCTTTTGCCAGGAACAATAATTTTGCTTTGACTTTAACTGTTTGATATCAACCCTACCTAACCCACCGCAAATTTTAAATTGATCAGACACAGAATTTTTCATTTCATTCAAGAAAAAAAGCCCAAAGACATCATCATGTGACATAAGAATGAACAATGCATCGTCTATTCTGATTCTGATCAAAATTCCCAGTTATTCCCCCACTAATATATATTTACACTCCCTAATAAGAGTATTTTTTATGGGCCCATTCATCTTTAGGGTTAGGGCCGAAGTGAATGCTCACCCTCACTAAGAAAAGTATTAGTGAGGAGGGGGTCGGGGGTAACTGAAAAAGGTCCCAGAATTCTCTGTGACTGACCTTATTTTTGCTTGATGCTCCATTCTGTAGGACGTTCATTATCTGTTGCTCGATTACAAGCACCCACTGGTCTCTCTCGTACGACGTCGGGCATGAGAAATACCAGATGTTCCCATCCATGGACACAAGATGGAATTCGAAGTCTTCTAAAAAATATTTGGTTTATTGAGATGAGTTCTGATAAATCGTTTTTATTGATAGTAGAGAGAATTTGTGACAAAAACATCAAATTGACCAGTATTTTCTCAGTTGGAGAGCACACATACGCCAAAGTTTTGGGGTCAAAATTTGATACTACTGAAGTATGCGCACCAAGATGTCGCACAACTTGAACCCTAACCTGGTACACAGCTTGAGTTCAGGTTGTGCGCCATCATGGTGCACATACTTCAGGAGGTCCCAAAATTTAATCCTTTTGAATTGTGAAGCTGAAGCCAAAATTCCTTAGAGTATGTAGCCAGCGTCGTTGGCTAAATGGCTTGAAATTTGAAGTTGGATGCAAATTGTCAATGAAACACAGAACTCTATGGGTAAGAGCAGACTCTTGAGTTCAATAGAGATAGTAGAGAGAAATTCTGTCGAAAACTGGAAAAACATCAAGTTGACCATCAAGTGATCGCTCAGTTGACCAGTTAAAAAAGCGCACGTAACACCATATGGCCACATATGGCTCAAAATTTGCAGTCGGATGTGAATTTTCAATGAATCTTGGAGTAAGAGCAGACTATATAAAAGACAAATACCAACCACTGTTCTTATCTTTGCTTGGAGTCGACTTTGAAGGAACGTAAGAGAGTCTGCCGGGAACTTTGACTGTTGTTTTCACAACTGAGATTGACTTGCCGTGGACATTCTCCATGTAGTCCTGGATGAGAAAAGGATGGAATAAGCTTGGACTGGAGTAATGCACAAACATATCTGGTATTTGATAGATGGGAGCCCTATACTGGAAGTGAAAAAGGTACATAGATTTAAGCATCTCTCCCATGTTAATTTGGTATTGCCGGTTCGTTACACCCTGGGTGAGGTGATTAGCATATCACCAAATTAGTGAGATAAAACGCAAGGTTTCCCGAACTTCCAATATATTAAAGTTTTTGGTGACCCCTGTCAAAGCGCGCCGATTCTCTGACTCTGACCCTATGTACTTTCTGGAAATCGTGAGATGAATGTTTTGCAGTAGTTTCAATAATTGTGTTACAAATTAAAAGTCTAAAAAAGTACAGAAGATATAGTACTTTGTGTGAAATTAGTGTATTCTTTGCGACCCTAAAATTTGTTATGTGTCCCCTCTGTGGGGTCGTGACCTCCAGTTTTGCAAATCCCTGGTCAAATGCACGTTCTGACAACTAGCAATTATCAATAGATACAACTATCAATAGATTAACAAAATTTAAATGTTCAGTTCGGTCAGTGATCACCATTAACAAATTTGGGATTGCTTTCCTTAAACCTAGATCCTTGCATATCCATGACAAAGAGAGCGATGCTTAAATATATGGACACAAAGAAGCCGAGAAACGGAATTTTCAAACATATGACATCATCGCACATAAAAACCAACTCCATAGAACCCATAGAAATTTTTGAAATAAATAAGAGTGACCCTCCTTCTAGTGAAAATGCAATGTATAACCATTGAAAATTGGTTCAGTGGTTATTGAGAAAAGCGATTTTTTTACAAGAAGAAGAAAATACCAACAACATGATTAACAACAACAAAATATGCATCAAAGAGTAGTCACTCACATGCATACTGTTGAAGTATGTCAGGATTCCTTCATTGGAGAGAGTCACGTAACGTTTCTTCCATTCTCGGTTGCTGAGCTTCGGTTTTTTACTCCGCTTATGAAGCCAACCCTGAAAGTGGAAACATGGGTGATAAAGAGACATCTACTGGTAGTCATTGTATATCCTCATATATAAGTCGAACTTAAACTAAAAAAAAAGTTGCCAAACTAAGGGGCTGTTTAAACGTGCATAACTCTGATCGCACTCTAACGAAATGACATTATGTTACCTTAATTCCAACAGCTATAACGTCTGCTTATATGCTAATTTTTATAAATTCACCGTTTTAGAGCCTTTTTTAGGGTGGCGCCCTATATGCGAGTAGATTGGCATTCATGAGCACACAATACACTGTCATAATACTATAATACGAGTTGGAATTTCAGTGGTTTTCGGAAATTTGCTCCGAGATGAGTCTCCTTTGTTACACCCGATCTGTTTAACAGCTACACCAACCTGTTTTATTGGAATGTTTCTGCCAAATCCGACATCTTTTATCATTTCCTGCATCTGCTGTTCCTTGTTCTTGCGTTTCTCTTCAGAATCACTGGATTTGCGACCCTGGAAAATAATTAGGATGACAATCTCTCCTTGAACAAGGCTCTGCACAACATCAACTTATAGATACGAATACCCCTACTAGCAGATCCTGGTATGCAAGGAGTTTGTTCAGGACATCTCAAACCAGCGGTTTCTAACCGGGGGCCATGAACCACCAGGGAGGCCAAAGTGCAGTTGGAGGGAGGTTACAATTCATTGCGTAAAAACTGATTTTTCATTTCCCTTTACCAGAACCCTCACCGTTCTCCCTAAATTCATTTCTCGATAAAATTACTTCACAGGGTATTCTCACTTTGTCGAGCATGAATTGTTTGAAAATAATGGGATTTGTAAACCACCAATCGAAATGGAGATGGGGGAGATGACGAGCATGGAATTTCTCTATCCCTCTTTGAAACCATTACAAAGACCAATACTACTCAATCGCACTCATTCATTTAATATACAGCACAACGTGGATGCAATGGCTCATTGGCGAGTGTGTTGACTGACATCAAAATCCAAAGTACCATTACATATTCCTTTTGAATGCTAATTCCAAAACTTACCGAAAACAGGTTCGACTTCCGTCTTCCGCTCTTACGAAACGGTGTTGGGGTGATCAGCCCCAGCATGCTATCGGGGGATAAATAGTCTCTCAGAAAGTTGGAGTTCAGCAAACCCCCGTTCTCGTGGTATGCAGATGAAGTACTCATGCTACGATGCAGTGGGGTTCCTGGGGTTGATAGGCTTCCACTACTAACGTGGCTCAGCATATGAGGTTCTGGACGTTTGCGATGTGAGATCACTTTCTGGGCGGCTGAGAATAGAAATGAAGAATTGATTTGGTTGAAAAAAAAACTTCATTAGAGAAATATTAATTTAGCGGTTTTCACTGCCCACTGTTTGTTGATTTGGGGAAAGAAAATCATTATGAGAGAGAAATATTAATTTTGCCGTTTTCAAAGGTTATTCCAAGTTAGTGGTTTATCGCCTTGCCTTATCGCCCCTGAGCAGCTGGAAATATAAATGTTAAAATCCTATAGAGGCATTCTCATGATCACTACTAAACAACAGCTATTCCAGTTCGAGCAGGTAACCTTTTCATATTCTTTCTTTTATTTTCAGGAGGCAGAATAGTATTTCACACTATAAATAGTTAGTTAATAATAACAGTTAGAACAGTATCCAGCGGTGGTTTTGCGAGTTAAAAACCTTCCCTTTTGAGGTTAAAAAAAACATTTTCCTATATCATATATAGCAATTTTTCAGAGCTTGAAGTTGAACTACTAGCAAAAATTGTACAGAGACAAACATCTCACCATCTTGAAATACTCGATCCACATTCAGTCCGTACGTTGCGCAGGTCTCGTAGTACGAACATCTCTTGAAGTCTGAGGCCAACTGCATTGCACGATCATTGAATATCACACGAGGGCAGGAGGGAGACATGGAATCTATGAAAATTAAGTCAGCCGTCATAATAAAGATGGGATTCGTGAAAACATGTAAGGCAAAGCATTGGAGTTAATTATATTAGTATGGCAGGATTTACTCATATGCTCCTAACTCCAAGCCCAGAGTGTAATAAATTAATTAATATAATAACGAGGAATTCAGTATAAAATATCCTGAGTGATTCAAATGTCTTGCTGCACACCATCATACAAATATTTCTGTATAGTTACGTCTGCATATTCAAACAATCAGTGTAAAACTATGGAAGTTACGCACAGTAAATATTCAATAAAATCCGCCTTGGAGAGCTGAGGGCCCAGTTGGGGACCGCTGAATCACAAATTAATACTTCATGTTACCTTGAGTGCCAACCAAAACAATTGGAACATTTGTGAAATCTCGATGTTGTGAAAGTCTTTGTCGTAGGTTATAGATGGATTGAAACGAGGCTTCATCGGATAGGTTGAACACGAACACTATGGCATCAACCCAAGCTGCAAATTGTGCGTCTGGAACACCTCCTTCATTGCGGACTAGCAGTAGAGAGCTCTGTCCTCCCACAGTGACTTCTTTTTTGAATCTACCGCCCTCTGGTGCCTCATCTTGGACGTATGTTCCCGTCAAATATCTATGAACTAAAGCGGATTTGCCACTGTTCAAACTTCCAACAACGCCCTGTGAAACACAAAATAGCTTTATTAGAAACAGGCAAATTTCAATCTAAATATTTTTATTGAAGTTTTATTTCAATACTGTGACATTAGGAAGCAGGCAATCCTTTGAAGCATTTATTTAAGTTAAGAAACAAATATAGATAAGACTCCAAACAAGCAATGAAACAGAGACTGGATAATTTTTTTATTCTGCAAAATTCCGGATTCCAACATAGTTTGGATATAAGTAATGGCATTCTAGGAGATACAACTGTCTATAAATATAAATTTTCAAAGGATTTTAGAATGAAGGCTATTAATCATAAGAATATGATACATAGGTTCATAAGCTTTAGTCTTATCTTTATCAATTTAAGCATGTATCACTCTAGGTCCACAAATAAATTAAGCAATATTTGATGCATGTTTTACTTTCATCGTATCGCTGGCATTTTCTGTTACTGATCTATTAAAACAACTGCTCGTACTCGGGGGAAATCCAAGGCTCTTTCAACTCTAATTATTTATTCCCAAGACAAGATGTCTGCAACCCACAGGCTTTCAGATATGAATTCTGAACCTTAAAAAATTGACAGACAGACATCGTTCAAGTCGAACCCAAAATAGGAACACAATTTGGTTTAACTTTCCTCAAAATTATTAAACTGTCCGGGCAATACCAATCATGGTAGCTCAACTTCATTTTTTGTCTCAAGCTTCAATCGGAGCCGAATTATCTCATAAAATTATTTTGAATTTATAAACTTATTGAGCTATACTTTATGACACCAAATTACTGAAAGACACTTACCCAATGACAACGATTAAACATACTTTTACATTAACAGTTTGATTATTTGAAATAGATTTCTAAACTAACATCCAAACTATTCAGAAATACTTAGAAACAAAAGTAACTTTACTGCATATTTTTACATTCTTTAATTCTCCTAATAACATGACAATTCATCTATTAATAACTTGGTGTTGTGAAAGTTTTCTGGGATTATATGTTGACTGTAAAACAGATTAATGGAGTGGTATTCAAATTAACATGAATTAACACTTTGGTATATGGGAAAGATAGTGGCTTGAAATTCATTTCTCACAAATTTAAATTAATATTCAAATTATCATGCTTCCGGCTGCAGAGAGACATTCTGGAACAGTGTTTACTGCACAATAAAATGGACATTCTACACAGCGAAGGGAAAGGTTGAGAACCCCTTCTCTATGCATTTTGATCCATATAATTGCAAGGATGTTGCAGTAAAATAAGGGTGACTATTCTTAGTGAACCAAGTGTCTTGCTGCACTGAAAAAATTTTTCTGGGGTATTTCAGAATGTAAAGATATGGCTTTGCGTTATTCCACATTGAAATCAATTTTAATATTGGGTTTTTGGTTAAAAATAAATTCATTTTAACTACCTAAAATGATTTTTTTTTGGAATATTACAATTTTCAAATGACATTTGACCTATTTCAATTCCTCTCATCAACCGTGTTACATTCTTCATAAGACAATCACGACCACATAATACAGATCATTAGAAATCCGGGAATATATTTTGACAACAAACATAGAACATGAAAGCAGGAGAAATATCGATCTATTGCACTGGTTTTATTGAATTGTTTGTTTTTACTTGGGATTAATAAAGAAGGAAAATAGGTTTTTGTTCTCTGAACTCGCCTCTGCAGTTTATTATAGATAATTAAATTCAGACGATATTCATTAGCCAAAAGTGAAAAAATTGCTATCCTGGGCATATTATTGATATGTTTCAATTTGAAATCCAAATACATTCTACTTTCTAATAATGATATATTTAACAAATTTGTGCAATTTTACGGTTATTGTAACACCTTTGATACACTTTGTTTAAGTTTTATCTGAAGGTATAGGAATCGCCACTGCAGTGTTTTAATGAATTCGATTCGGATGGACCAAACTGAGTGATGAATTCATTTCGATATTACATTCTCAAATACGACATATCGGATCAAGAAATCAGTGTTTTTTAATTGAATAGATTGTGCAATGCATAACATAGGTGAGGTCAGGCTCAACTTCACTTAATATTTTTCCGTTTTTGAGTTTCCTTGTAAAATTCACAAGATAGCTAAAAGACCACAGTTTCTCCTCAAAACGCAGATGGCCTTGTCTAACCCGCGATGCCATCAATCATCACAGATAGCCCCGCCTCCAGCCTTCCCACAACGCAGGTGTCTCTGTTGATGTGTTGACAGGATTACGGTATTCATGAAATTGTTAATTAATCACACAAGCTCAGTTGCGGCTCTATCTTGTGTAGGGCCGGTGTTCTGAGAATAATTTGTTGGCAATGTAATCAAGTGAAATGAATTATATAGAATAATTTTCAATGGTATCTCATTGAATTTTTTTTTTATGTTATTTATTACAAAAATAAATTCCAATCGAAATTCTGGTCATGAGTCTGTCCTATATTTTTTATTAGGGTCATCAGGACTATGGTTCTTAATTTCCCATGATAATATAGCTACCCAATAATAATTAAAGCTTTCTATACTTAACAGGAATGCCCATGCCAGACCACAGATCACCAATTTTGAAAACCAATCCACGCATGACAATAGGCGTGGACCCAGCCAACTCGCTTGTGACAGGAAAACCCATGAATTTGCTCTGGTGCTGGAAGCAATAAAAGCAAACCTCAATATGCTTTATGACATCAGAACCATCTTTACACTTAATTACATTTGCCTATTTGTGCATCACAAGCTTCAACCAGCCTGAATAATGCAATATATATAGATTCTGATATTGATTGTTGACTGGAATAAACACAAAGTGAAGATTAATCAAGAAACACTCGAACACAGTGAATATTGCTGTCAAATTCAGCTTAAATCAAATTGGAAGACAAAGGCTTTTTTAATAATAATGCAAAATGGCATAATTTAGAAATACTTGAAGGTTGTTCAATGAAAGAAATAGGGTTAACCTCATTTCGAAATAAATTTAGCATTGAACCTTTGAGAATCTACACAATCTAGCCATCACCTAACAGAGCCATGAGTTCAAACTGAAATATAGGGTGCCCATAAAGTTTAACATTTTTTAAAAATTGCAAAGGTAATTTATCGATACCATATATTGTTTTTGCCCTCACATATTAAATGAAGTAAAAATACATAAACAATTACTGATTAAAAACAACAAACCTGGTCAAGATATATTGAGAACTGACTTGAAAATTGAAATTGTAAAGGGACTTTATGGACACCCTTTAGTACATCTTTGGCCATCAAGTTGACAATAGTAATATTTGGGACTGCTATATTTAGTCACGATATCCCTGTTCATCATTCTGGCATTATTCACACTACGTGGGTTGCTGTACTTTAATAAAATATTGATTGTTCCCGTACAATTCCTCTACTATTGTGATCAGACACTTGAGTTTAACAAGTACCATTCAAGAGGGTTTTAAATATCTATGATGTAATAATGATATGTGTGATGAAACAATGCACTTGAGAGATACTTGGACACGGACAGGAAGTTCATTAACTGTGGTTTTACTTCATGGAAGATAAAACATTCTGGAATTGTATTGACATAAACTGCTTTAAACACTCGCGTCTATCGGTATTTAATAATAACATAAAAAGATTTATTGTTCACGTAGCTATACGCACTCTAGTAGTTGCCCATTACTTCACTCAGAGATGATTCTCCTATATTTCAGAGATAGTACGTGCCTTTCCTTACAAAACTACTTGAATGCGGATACATTGTAAGCATCTGTATAGTCGCTAGGAAGACAACAATAATACCTTGCCATACAAAGCTTATGTAGAAAACTATTCCAAAAGGGGTATCCCATGATAGTTGTTTTTACTAGGCTTATAGGCCTACATAGCAAATACATGCACATGAGGTAAGGCCACCGATAAGTTGCCAGAAATGGAACAGTTAACAGGCATCAAAGCCAGGTTATTATCTCACACAGCCAAAACAGCACGATGCTATGCTGGCAATTCCGAAAATAGCGCGTTAATTACTGAACATGGATCTGGCTTATTATCAAGATTTTGCACCAATAATTTGTTCCGATAATCACTTGTTCAAAAGACCTAAGTTGCGAATCATGTTTATTTGCTTTGGCTAGAAGCCATCTATTTACACTCATGGCCTCACTTTCATTCATTTTTCTTGTAAAACGGTTTATAGGTTTTGTATCTCAGAGTTCAAATTAGTTTCCTAAACACCAGAAGATATCTCATTTATCAAGCTTATGTTGTCGGTATTAGTTTCAGATGTCCAGTGTCGTGAAAACATAACTTTGTTGTCAAAATCAAAGCCGACACTGTAAAAACTTTTGCATTTTACCGACTATTATTGAATGTGGAGAGTAATTATAAGGCAATTATGAAACACAATCTATTCACAAACGTCTAAAATTGTCTTATAAATCTTATCGATTGTATTATTGGTTCCAGATATTCCGAGTATTTATGGCAAAACACACGACACTTTGTTGCCTAAATTGATATTTTCGATTCTGCTGAACATTGTTAAATGTGGAGAGTAATTAAAAAGCAATTAAGCCTCACAATCCTTTTTAGAATCTCTAAAATTTATTAAAAATCTTCTTAGTGCCAGTTTTAGTTTGAGTATTTATGCCAAAACACTCAAAAACAATAATTTTAAAACCTGCTGAAAAATAGAACGGTTTACAATGTTTTTTATTTTCTGAAATTCGAGAAAGAGAGTGACTTGTGGTACAACTGTCCGATGACAATACCATCAAAGAGCAAACAGCAATTTGAGTTAGTGAAATCTCAATTAGTAGAGTAGTGAAAAATTAGTAGAAAATTAGTGAAATCTGTTCATAATCCCATTGTCTGAGTGATCACATGTTCAAGCAACCATGCTAAGTAACTATTCATGAACATTTGTTTGGCATAAAACCAGCTTTTTCATTCCCCACCACAGTGAATATTAAAATCTGACTCAAATATCCTCAAAATT